AAATTCATTAAGATTTAGCGCATAACAGTAATATCGGAATCACAGCATTTAAACCTTTCACTGCCATAGGGACGGCTTCAGCCGTCCCTGTTATTTTCGGCGTATTTGCCATATGGACGGCTTTAGCCGTTTCTATAATAATAATAGTAATAATAATAAATTAATAATAATAATAATAAAAATAATAATAAATATAAAGAAAATTATACCATCGACAATAATTATTATTATACTTACAATTTTGTAAACATATTTAATTATTATAATACTAATAACACATAATAATAATTATATTAATTAATAATATAGTAATTTCTTAGAAAATCCTCTGGCAAATAGGTGAACAATAAAACAATAACCCTCTGGCAGGGAAAGGGTTAAGCACCAATGGTGGTAATGGTGTGCATTGAGAAAATAAAATGTTTCTTCTTTGTACAAATGTGAGTTATAGAAAATGTACATTAATCCCTGTTTTCAAACTTTGATGATATCATAATATATACCTGGATCGTCAGTCATCATTGTTCATGACTACTGTTCATAACACTATAATTATGAATCAAAACTGTTTGCATTTTGTTTAGAATTCAAATTTATTGTACAGATAATCTGCAAAAGATCTTAAGTAAATCTGAATCTCAAACAAATTGAAAAAGAAGAATTATAGAAGTGTACTTTCATCTAAAGTCAGCTAGCATGATATATTAATAGAAAAATATTAAAGGATTTAGTCTTTGTAAAGTTCTCCTACAGACTTGCAAAAATTTTTAACAATGTTTTAATTAACAAAACAATTTTGTTCAAATTTATATCAGAATATTTAACATAAAACAGGTCTAACTCAAATATTTGTACCATTTTTACCAAATTGCAAGAGGGAATTTGAGTCTAACTCAAGTTAGTCTTGTATTGCGCTCAGAATTTCAGCGCAATAAAGGTCTAACTCTAAAATACACAATTTGTAACACTTTAATAAAAAATTATATAAATGGCATTATTTCTTATTACAATTAATGTTAACATAGCAAAAAAATATTTTCTAATATAAGTATTTTTGAATAAAATCAGTTTTTTGTCTCTCCTGAACATTTTCAAAAATAGCAGTTAGACCAGTATTGCGCTGAGCCATCGAAACAGAGTTTCTGTAAGCAGTTCTCTTATTTGAAACAAAAATAAGTTGAACTTACTAAATTCACGTTGAAAAGCATAGTATCAATCACCCTTCCTGAGAAAAATTGATTTTCATTGATTTTCAATAATTACGTTTTAAAACGTTGTGGACGTTTTTTAAAACGTTGTGGACGTTTTACTCAACAGGGTATTCTAATGGGCTATATCGGTAAATAACGTAAAATTTACCGTTTTAAAACGTTCAGAACTTGTTTTGAAAAACAAGGATTGTGAGTCTGTTTATTGCAGTTGAACGTAATATTAACAGTGTTATACTGTATGGCTTTGTTGTTCATCGTATCCAGTTGAACAGCCATAGCGTAATATTTTGATTTTTCATAAACACATTAAAAAACCAGAATGTACGAAAACGAGGTTTTTACGGGTTTGCATGACACAAAATTCAAGTTTTACGCTGATTTACGCTACGGTTTCTAGAAAGGTATATTTTGATACGTTTAACTACCCTATGGACGTCTGTCGTAAAATAAGACTGGCTTTCAGAAATGTAAAATTTCGATACGTTTTCTTATGCTTTGGCCGTCCTACGGGTATAGCGGATGGCCGTCGAAAGGATATGAGAGACACAAATAATGTTCAAAGAAAAAAAAAGAAAGAAAAAAAAGTTGCCGCTTCTGGGGCTTGAACCCATGCCCCTCAGTTACAATGCAGTTGACAGTAGTTCTAGCCTATTTGAATACTCTTCAAAGTGGAGGTAATTAATGCATTAGGTGGATCATACCTTATTAAGCTGGCTACACTTAAAAATAAAGGGATCAATGGCCTAATGGCAGTTAAGGTATCTGCCTCTCAAACCAGGTATTATGGGTTCAAGCCTCACTAGAATCACCAACCAAGAGGAGCCCATGGCCAGATTTAATGTTGTGTATACTCAGGTCTAGTCCTTTACAAGCTTTTGGTATACTTTATTTATAGTGGCAACTGTATCCCATATGGACCACTCACTACAGGAGACAGTATGGGTAATATCATTTTCAATTACGGAAATCCTTTCTCTTTTATAGTTCTTAAATTTAATGTTTCTGGTTTTAAAAGTAAGCTTTTTCCATCAAAGTATATTAAAATGCTAGATAGAAATGTGATAACAGTTTATATGTTAACCTTGAAATCTGCACAATTTCCGCATGAAATAAAAGAGATAAATTCTAAGTAAGTTAGCAGAGAATCTGTACAAATAATTACCGGGATATAGATTGGATTGTCACTCCTTATGTAAGTTAGACTTGGCACATGTCTGTTGACATTGGATGAAGGCCTGACAGATTATTTGAGAAGTAGTGGGTTGGGGGGAATAGAATTGTTAGATTAATTCATCTTACAAGTTCTGAAAGCTGATTATCAGCAACTGTTGGTGGAATTGATTCAACAGCTCTGAATCAACTCCATACAATTAATGTTGTAGAATTTAAAACTTTCATTATATTTAAAACCTGTTTCTGGAGGATTTAAATTCAATTAAATACCATTATTTGATGAAATTAAAAAAAGCTCTAGATGAAATGGTAAATGTCTATTATTTGAACCATAATAGTTTATTAACAAAGTATATTTTAAACTTATTTTTTTAATCATAAATCATTTACTGATATAATGAAAATAGCATATTAGATAGACCTATTTTAATATTAAGTCTGTTATAATGTGTATATTTAGTGTTATAACTGACATAAAGGAAAACATGTTTTCATATTACATGAATGTTTTAAAGTCTTTGAGTAAATATCTTCTGATACATTTTTATAGCAACTATACATGTTAAGCTTGAAATGTCAGCAATACAATAATCTCTCTCTTTTCTGTAAGCTAAATTCAGTGCCATAGACAAACTACTGTTGATTTATGATAACAGACTAAGAGGAGGTCGTCAAGAAATGGTAATTGGGCAAATAATAATCATTGATTTAACAACCTCCCATCAGTATATTCTAGCATTCTCCTATTACCTGCTAGCTATAGCCAACAAAGATGTGCAATAACTCATTTACTGGTAACCACCTTTTCTCGGTGATGATGGCAAAAAGTTGTGAAAAGAAATAATGGAAGAATTGCTGGTATTACACTGCATAAGAATGGGGCGTTATGTAGACAAAGTAGACTGTGCCATAATATACAGATTATTTCAACAGACTGTGCTTAGCAATTAATGTAAAGTGCCCGGAAAATCCTGAGAATGAGGCTGGAATTAATTAAAAACATAATGGAGAATTACTCTTTTATTTCTTATAGTTGTATTTTATGGCTTAATTTGCTTAAAGATAATGAATCCACCCATACATAATGGTCGTTAATTGTGGAATTTAATATGCCATTAATTTTATTCCGTTAGTGAGCTTAGATTCTGATACCAAACATTGCAAAGACAATCTAGTACATAAAAGTTATCTTCTTTTTCTGTAATGTATGATAATATGTAGCACTTTTATATTATAACAAATAGAAGATTATCGTTTTTGCTTTGCCATTTTTTCATTCTTTTTGGATGTAATATAATAATTTCTGGTCAGAGTACCTATTAACAAAGATAATAGTCTGGTCATTATAACTAAAGCTCCGAAAGACATAATACTATCATATATAATATAACTTAAGTATACTTTTAAGAATGCTTTTTTCATATTTTCATATGTATATTAATATTAGTCAGTATCAAAAATTAGACATGTAACAAAGCTGATACTGGCCAACTCAAATGATATTCATATACATCTTCATTTATTTACATTACCAGTAACTTGTTAAAAAATATCATTTCGGTAATCTATAATATTATTTATGTTTTAATAATGGATACAATCTGACAAAACTCAAACTGTTGACTGGTAGATGAAATTTCAAATCTCTGGTTAAGTCCATTGCATAAATTAAGCACACTACTAGAACCTTAATATTCAAACAATGCATCTTCATTCAATAAGTAAAGAAATTCTAATCAAACTTCTATGATTTTTACATGTAAGCAGTTACAGCATCATCATCATGATATAATGACGATACTTTCATGACTAAAGACATTTTACATTATCATTATGAAAACATTCCTTCAGGTAAAACTGACCTCTAGTATAGTATTTATAAACTGAATTCACTTTACTTCATTAATTTCACGGTGGATTAAGCTCTCTTCAAACTGAAGTGTTTGATTTCAAAATTATTTCCTTTTCATCTTGTTATTTCTGTTAAATAAAATCATTTATAAAGTTGTTGAACCTCGTTCTCCAAACATGGATTGAGTAACACATATAAAGTGGTCAGACTTTGTAATAACAAACTCAATCAGTTCAAATCCTGTTAGTGTGTTTACTTTATGTCTTAATATAAATATCTAAAATAATCTGTTTATCATTTATTTTGTCAAATCATTCTGTTTCAAACTGGGCAACATGAAAGGTTTAAGTTTAAAGTAAATATTTTCTAAACTTTACCAATTAGAGATCCCACCTTAACAAAATGTCAATGAGAATCATCAATTTCAAAAAAGAAAAATAATAATTTTTTTTTGAAAAAGGTGAAAACTGAAATTAAAGATACACATTATGACTGCATCAAATGAAAAAGGAATTTTCTCAAAAGTCAAAATTGTACTAATGAAGAGTTACATTATGTACTTTCGCCACCTTAGTATGACCAAGTCAACCCGCACATCTGTGTAGTCTGAATGAAAATAATGATTATTTGACTGCTCAATTTTACCATTTTGATCTTTAATCATATTTTCATAAACAACCCCAAGTTCATATAAAGATAATTCTGTTACATAAAATTAATGTATGAAAAGGTCTCATTATGTTAAATCAATTCACCATACTTACCAGCACCAAAGGCAAAGAAGAAACTTTCTTGCGGATTATTATTGAGAAGTCCAGCTACTCTATCCGCCATTCTCTCATTTCGCTTATTTATCAGCTCTGTCTGGAAATATTCATTTATAACTTCTGCCATTTTAATCTCACTCGGAGGTACAGAATCGTTCAGTATGTTTGGCGGGACCTGCGCAGAGTCTTTGTTAAATATAATGTCATTCAGGTCCCCACAGTTATAGTGATGAATCAGATCATCCGTTGTATAAGGTATTGCACTATTTGAGAGTCGGTATGATTCGTGTTGCCCTAACGTCCGGTTCAAGGCATACAAAACCTGAAATATATCAACATACAAATATAATCCTCCAGTAATAATGAAGCATTTCCTCTTGTCATAAATAAATCTATATGTGTCAATATATCAAACAGAGATAAAGAATTGTAATAACTTAATAACTGTAGGCAGGAAATTATGTTCTACCAAATTATTTCAATATTCTATATGAATGTGTAACTCTGGAATATGATTTCAGGAAAGAAGAATTTGATGAAACACTCTTGAGGTTTTAGTGTAAATCTTGTAAAAATGTGAAGAAAGTTTAAGTCTAGTGGTATGGAAAGGGACATTGCAAGTTTAAGTCTAGTGGTATGGAAAGGGACATTGCAATCATTACAGTGAGTTTGTCCAAGACCCTCTAGCATCACTTTACAGCTGCATGTAATTACAAACAGGAACTTAAAGATAATCAAATCTACAGGAGCTTTCATTATTATCAAACTTAAATGTATTATCATCATTACAATTCAAGATAAAACACACTTTCACAGAGAGTTTCAAATTGTTCGAATATTTAGCAAGATTCGAATTCTATTTTAATCTGTGGAAGTTAGAAGAAATCTTCATCTATTATCAGCTTAATGAAAGGTATGCATGTTCCAATTAACCACGGAAACAAAAACAACAACAAGAAACTGCTTCAGCCTCTAACTGTCAATTAAAGGCCACATAAAAAATTCATGGCTGTTTTTACGGCCCATATAATTGTAACAATACAAGGCGCATCTTTCACATTATTTTTAATGAACGTGTATGTAAATCGTCTTTTATTACTGGTCACAGTCCGATAAAGATAAAATACTACAACAAGTAAAATTTGTACGCATAATTATTTATGATTTTTATGCTACATATGTTTTCCAAAAAAAAAAAAAGAAAATGATTTATTCATACTAACATTACAAAACAAATGATATTGAAGTGTTCTCAACATAAAAAATAAACAAAAAAATTTGATATTGGTTTAAAGAAAAAATTAAAATATTTTTTTCTAATGTGGTACCTATTTTTACTTAATTTAATTGTTTTCATTTCAGGAAGGTTATAGGAGAATGGTTATTTCTAGGTCAGACCCGAACTGTATAATATTACTTTAAGAGTTTTGCTAACTAAATAATTGTGTTCAAATAGACCATTTCACAGAGAAGAAAAATGACCAGCAAGGACGTTCCATTTTGATAACCCTTCACCTGCTGAATTTCTTAAATGAACTTGTCCAGCTTTCATTTTCAGAACTGTCCATTATTAATTTAAGGGATATCAAGATGAAAATTGGATGTAAAAACAAGAAAGCTATTATCACCTTTAGTTCCAGCAGGTTATAGAATAAAATAGCACTGATTGACAGGTATAGTAAAACTCATTGTAATGTCACTCGTTATATTATAAAACTTTTCAGCTTCTACAAAAGGAATTTGAGAAACTTTCCTATATAGATTTGAGATGCTAGACTAGTTTAGTTGAAATTTCTAATTATTTTTATTTAATTACCATAATATAGCAAATGATGAGAATTAAAGTTATGTCTTTCCTCACACCATCAATGGATATATAATGAAATAACTTGTATAATGCTTTTTGAAATAATCTAACAACATGAGACTTCCTGCCAGTGTGAGATAGCTAAAAATTGGCAAAATTATTTCAGCTAACAAGACAGGTTAATGAAATGTCACCAGGAAAAAGGAAATACCATCACCAGGAGTGCTGTGTTAAAGTATAATAGTAACCTTTTACAATTAATTATACAGTAGCTGTTTTAATACATTTTTCTTCTTTATTAGGCAATACGGTTCAAGAAGTAACTAGATAACCTTGAATATGTCTTATATCACAATATTGTTAGAGAAATATAGATTGATAAATGTACACCTCTATATTGATAAACGTTTAATATACCTGCAAATATTTGATAATATTTTGTTACGATAAATACTAGTATTTTGTTATCTGCCCCAAAAGAGCTTAAGTTTCTTTTTAATGTAAGTTATAGTTCATTCCTCAAACTAAATTAAAGAGAGGATTTAAACAACTGCACATTTTAGGCCTACAAGTGAAATAAATCTTGTTATTTTGGAATGAAGACTACTGTACGTTTAGTGTGAAGCTACCGTAAATCAATGGTTTCTGTTCCTTTGTGTCCTTTGATCTGGCAGATATAATAAGCCACCTGTTATGTTAACAAAATTTATGTGTTCAATATTTCTTTAAGAACTAGTTACAGTTTATAAATGTACCATATTTCTCCGCCTACTCTGCTACTCAGGCTTGAGAATGCTATTGTTTCTTGACGCTTGATTCCACAATATGATATCATAATCATAAGTTAACCATGTTACAGTTATTCCATAATTATATCTTAATGATTTCCTATACAATTGACCATATAATTTGAAACAAACAAAATCTTATTTTCAGTTCATTAATTAGTCTTACACAGCTTTAAAATGTTAAATATGAGACCACAATGTTACCATTCTGTCAAGAAAGACATGCACAGTTTGATAGAATAGATTTTGTAAATGAACCAGGATTGAAAACTAAACAAGAAGCAGTTCAAGGATATGTACATTATCTGTTACTAGAAGGAATGTTTTCCTGTCATTATAGCACCCTCTAGTTCTTATGCACCTTAGATTTGACTTTTGATCTATAAGTGTATCAAATTATTTCAAACTCCTCTAAAATATCTACCATGCCTCTCAATATTAATTTGACAAAATGTTGCTGAAGAGATTCAATTAATGAATTATATATCATAATTATCAAAAGAATTAGGGAAAACGCTTAACATAAAATCAAATCTTATCTTATAATTCATCTAGAGAGTGGAATCTCAAATACCTTTCCTTCTTATCAAAGTATGATACACATACATTACCGTGGTAACCAATTCACTTCCTAGCAAATTTATTATCAAATTGGCCACCCACTGAAAATTTCTTTAACTGTTCAATGAGGAGGGGATTGTTTTGACACTGTTTAGTAAAATATTTAGATAACTTCTTAATCTTGCACAAGCATATCTGTTAAAAGATTGTTTGTTGTTGTTTTTTCTTTTACCATAAGGGCAAAGTTATCTTATCTGTTAATTTAAATGTTTAAGATAAACAAATTAAGTGAGTATGAACTAATTTACAAGTCATTATGACCACTCTATTTTACATCATGTATTTCAACACTGATGAAATTCACTATTATGATTGTCTCAAATTGGAAAATTGAAAAAGACTCATCAAACCTTCCTGTCCAAGTAGCTGTTACCTAATCATAATCAAAACCATACAATAACGCTCACAAATGTTTCTCAACTTCTAACTCTTCATTAAAACTTTCACTAATTATTTCCTTAATTTCTGTTGCAATTATTTTGAAGCAATTTGACCTATGCCCTGTTTCATGATTGTATTCTATCATCAAGTAATTCAAGCAATTATCATAATGTAAAAGTTCAACAACTGCATTCCATGCATTTTGCAGTTTTGAAGATTAAACATTCTGAAGTTATCAAATATTATTATTACTTATATACATAATGTATCATTTTTATTTCTCACATGTTAAGTTAATTAATTAACAATTATAATCGTATTTCACAGAAGGTAAGAAATTTCCTTATATTTCTATGAAATTAACAAAATATCCTCAAAAATAATTATACTACTGAAATATTTTCACTAATGAATTTCAATGTCTTATTTCAACTCAAATCTTCATTCCTTAACATGTAATTATACAAATCATTGCGTATAATTTAAAAACACATTTCTCTTGCGTTGGCAACTGGAATAAAAAAACTTATTTCTTTAATTACAAAGTTGTTAAAGATATCTATAGTGAAGCAGGTGAACAATTTGTTACAAGTGAAAATCCCTATGATTGTTGAAACACTTAACAAATTACCTGTATTCTATTTTCTAGAAGAAAAGACTGGGGCCTGTTTTATCTATTTATGTTTTATCAGATGTTTCTATGTTACATGCAATGTGCCTTATGTTTCACAATGTCTGACAGTCTGTATACATGGTAACACATACCCCCACATGATTATTATAACATTTACAATTGTTTAATATACACTTTATATTATTTCTCCGTTTATCTAGTTTCTCTAAGATTAGAATATGGATACAAACAAGTAACTTAATTTTTGTATTTGCCATGTAACGGTTTCTTGTTACACTTAGCAACCTTTCTGCTTAAAATTTGTCAAAATTAAATCATATACACATACATGCACAGTGTGTTAACTGGAGCGCAACAGGGGGGGAGGGGGCTATGTGCTCCCTCGTACAAATTAGAATAGCCTTGTGTTCCGATGCTCTTTCTATTACATATTGCATCTCATAGTATAAATTTTGTTTCTCTTCAATCTGTCAGATTAAAATCAGCTCTTAATTTATGCTATATGCATTCTACATGCAAAAATAACTTAAGTAGATCTAATCTTTAGTTGGATTGGATTCTCTTAATTGCGATTATCACTTCGCAAAATGGAAAAAAAAACTGGCCAAAAATCTGACTCTTGTACATAAGCTTTGTAAACATTCTTCAAACATTTTAGTTAAATATTTAAATGTAACGATATACCTCCAGTTAAACGATGCACCGACTTGAATGTCTTGAATGTTAGATAAATGACCATAAAAGTACGGAGTGGTGACACTGGAGTATAAAATGACTTTCTAAACCCTCGTTAATTTGAAAGTAAGCACACTTGAGAATCAATGATAAATCCGACACTAAAATTTACAACATGAAAGTTAAGACTGACAGAGTAGGTTAGATGTATCAAAAGTAGGAGTATCATCGCAGTCTTTGTCATATGTCTTCTCTTCACTATTTTTTATTGTCATCAAAAGAATTTTTTATCTAGTAGCTGTAATTTGATCAACTTTAATTTAGCGAAAGGGATTTTTTAAAATAAATTGCTTACAATAACTGTAGGTGAAAATCATTAACATCAGTTCAAGTACTTTCCACTATATTTTCTCAGGTTTTTTTTAATTTAAATAAAATTAAAATGAAGGCGATTTTTATGATTTTTAAAAAAAAAAATTCATATTTATACACCAAATAAAATGTTAAAGTTCGTCAGAATAAACAATACTGTGTTTTTGTTGCTTATAAATTCTCAGAATAAACAATACTGTGTTTTTGTTGCTTATAAATTCTAACATTATTTTACAATAAATTTTAGATGCATGAAGTATAAATATTAAAACAAAGCATTACCATTAAAAACATTTACAAAAAATTGCATATAATATCGTATACATATTCAAATCTATGTTCAGTTTTTTAAACAAGCTATTATCATCATATTTTAAATACATTTCAATTCAATAACAGGGGAACAATTTGCAACCATTTGAATTGCCAAAAAAAAAAAAAATAGGAATGGTTTGCTATTCATTTATTTTTTTCTTTACTTCCCTTTCATTGCATGTTTCATCAAACAAACGTTTACGGATGTGTAGTAAACAAGGCTTAATCTGACAGGTATAATTAAAAGAATATCTTATACTGCAGTAAATTTTTATTTAACTTGCAGTTTCTCAATACCTCTTTATCTAAATCTTTATAATTCAACTTCGCCCAAATATGCCTTTATAATCATTCAAGTCTCAAGCTTCAAACATTTTCCACTTTCTTTGAAATAAAACTCTTGTCACCTAAAAATTAGAAGAACGCGTATTTCCTCGCCCTTTGAAATTCTAACTATGAACAATACGATATATACCGGTACTTGTTATAATAGTTTTAGTGCTATCAATTATGATAATTAGAGACGTATGTCATCAGTATAGCTGCATGCCAGCCAATATGTCTGTGTGTACTGTGCGATCTTCACATTATTTGCTGCTTAATTTTTAAATCCCTTTAATTAACAATAAAACAGTGTCAATACTTTAGTGAAATTGGCGGGTCATTAAGATCGGAAAGACAAAAAATAAACAGGAAATCTTTCTCAGTTTCTCACAGTTTTAAATTGGACAGCTAAAAAAAAACCTTCCACAATAGTATTATATTGCCCGGCATGGCCTGTTACATTCATTATATGCAACATAATCATTCAGCGACATTCTTTCAACTTTCTTTGATGTTAACCTAATGAATATGGATGAGGCAGGCAATGGGTGGACTCAGTCATTTCACATCTCATCAAAACTTTAATATATTCAAAAACACTTTCCAAAAACCTTCAATATAAAGATTTCAATTTACACTCCAAAAAAAAAATGTGGGTCTCTTTTTTCTCTCTCTCCCTCTTTCTCTTTCATTCCCATTCTTTGTAATAATACATAATGCATCCAAGTGAATTGTGGCATGCAAGTTTTGATAAATATGCTTTGACAGAAAAAAACAATTCTTAAGAACATTGTATGCTAAATTTTTGTTGTAAAATGTAGTTTTGAAAAAATTGTGAAACTAAGTTGCGTTGTTTTTTTTACTTATCAAACATTTGAAAGGATTTTTCTGTTTTGTTTGTGTTATAGTGTACTAAAGCATTTTTTCAAAAATGAAATTGATCAGTACTTATTGTAAATTTACAATATAATATTACAAATAATGCAAGGTACATTTCTTGTTTATTTACACGGAAAAAACAACAACAAAAAAACAGAAAAAAAACATGTCTAAAAAATCTAAATTTTCCAATTTGTGTAATTATGGTTAACTAAAGTTTACAGTAGTAATGTAATCATGCCAAATACAATAGAGTTATTTTTTGTCAAAGATGCATATTAATTGTAGCGTTCTACTATTTAATCAGATGTAACTTTCCTTCCATAAGGTCGAACCAATTAATCGGTCCAGTAATATTGCATAGATTGTGAGGTTTTATTAAAAATGTATGTTAAAATATTGGATTCAGTCAGGCTATATTACTACATGTCAAATATTTTGGGGTGCGTTTTTTTCTAAAATGTTTTATATGAAATCAATGAATGTAAAATTTGCATGATATAGTATAACAAGTCAGCGGTAGGACCTGGGTTGATTTATTAACAAATGTTTATCAGCGCGTTGATTGACAGATTTACGATACAAGAAGATAATTAAACATTTACATTGATATTGAAAAGTGTACCACTTTCCTACTTTACCCGAATAGCAAGATATACAAAACTTTTAATGTGACGAAAATGCTCAAATCTCTTGACAATTTAAAGTGCTTTAAAGAAAGCAAAAAATGCGTTCAAAGTCACGATAAATATACAAGTGATTAATGCTAAAATTCTTCATTTTCTTCATTAAAATGCATGTTTTTTTTATCTTCATTAATATTCATTAGTTTGTAAAATATGTGATCCAATGTTTTTCTCAACTAAATTATCCTATGTTCACATGGGTATATGGCCTACTAAACATAAAGCTAAATCCCTCTTAAATTCATCAATCTACTTATATGAGACAATCTTAATTTGTAGAAAGAAACTGTCTCAGCACTTTTTTGCTTATTCATTCTCCCTTTGGTATAATTAGCTATGAAAACTTTCTTCTATAATCAGAAAAATCTTATCTCTTATCCCCAACAAAGTGTAATGAAATCTCCCTTAATTCCTTTACAAATCAATAAGTCCCTGCTGGGGTTTTCTATCTATAAGTAGGAAGTCTCAATAAAAGTTCTGTAATTTCTAGGACTTTTCTTATATAGAATTTTATAACTGATTTAACAGCAGGATGTCTTGATTGGACGCTCTTGTCTCAGTGTTAATACTTTTAAGGCTCAGAGGAAGGAAGCCAGGTATTGTGTAACTTTCAGGTCAACAACAATTAAGATTTTAATATTAATCACATCTATTTAGTAAGTTTTAATCTGTCTTAACAGGATTTTAGATAAGGAGAGCTTAATTTAAGTTCGGCATGCCACCTATATATTCCACAACAATCAGCTTATATTGGAAGGAATGCCACAAATGTCTAGCGCATTACATGTAAATATTAATTCAATTAACTTCACTTATTGAAGTTATTTAAGACTGTTTTTTGTTGTTGTTTGCAAGCAAAAGATTTAGAAAACATATAAAGACAATTCCCTGTAATGAATATATTTGTTTGCATAATATGGATATACATGTACGAAAAAGTAATGCTCTTTCAGAGCACGCACATATTTTATATTTTGTGCTAATCTACTGTGTGTTTAGAAGAAAATTGTGATAGAAATATTAACTTTAAAGCAAGTGTATAACTGGAAAGCAGACAGAAGCAAGAATGAATAGTCCAGTTATTCTATTGGCTAATTTATCATTATTTTCCCTAGGGAATTCTCATTTCCTTTTTACCCTCAGACTAAATTACCATAATCAGTAGAGAACAAAACAAAATGTCATTTCTGTATGTGAATGGCTAATAGTCAATACAAATGGTTTTTGACCAACAATGAACTGTCTTCTTCAATTGTTATTAGCACAAAGTACAATTATGCTTCAATTGAACGCCCCAAAAATGTGGATAATAACAACATGACTGTATGTAGAAGTGTAGCTTTAAATAAGTTGGGCTTCATAAATATAATTTAAGGATTCGTTTCTATTTCATTTTCATACTAACCTGTGAATAATTAAGATCATTTAAAGGAACACATTGTTCTTTGACTTTTTCTACGGCACCCGTAATTTTCCCAAGTCTTTCCGCCTCTTGCGCTAAATATAGATCAAGGACTGGAATTTCTCGTGATTTGATGTCACTTTCTGTCAATGAGTTCACAAGCAACATGACCCATATTGGTCTCTTCCTTTCCCAGTTTCCGGCTATTATATCAAATAAATAATCACCATATAAGCCTTTACCCTTTTGATCTGGAGTTATCCATTTTGGCATTTTTTCTCGTATATATTCTAAATGCTCTTTTAATCTCGTATAAATATCTTTCGGTAATACATTTGAAAGATTTTCACCATGAGGTAATAGCTGACAATTAGCTAAAGATGTCATTGTATATGGGCTGGTCAGGTCCAGCTCAAAGTACACATTTTCCGACTGTCTGAAAGCAACCTTGGCATTTTCTGGAATGTGGTCCCAAACTCTTGTGTATGGGACATGAATTGTTCCGAAGAAGTACGAGGGTGGATCACGCTTCACTTTCCACAGAAACGACCGCACAACTCCATCCTGAAAGAAGTATGAATGTAAAATACCAAACATAAATATAAAATACAAATAAAACTATAAATGTTAACCAGAACATGAACTTGACCTATTTCCACCTTTAACCTTTTAAAGATAAGAACTCTCAAGTGTAATAATAAGCAAATAAAAGTGCATAAAAAATCAGCACAGAAAACATAAACTTTGCCTTTGTGCAAATAAGACAGTTTAAGCTTTATTTTGTCAGTCTTTTCCATGTTTTGCTCTCTTCTTTAAAAAAAAGTCAAATAATTCAAAATAAAAGAGAGTTCATCAACATTCATTTGTGGCACAACAATAATTAATATAATAATGACCTTCACATGCTTTATAATGAAATAAATACTGTAAGCACGATTATGATAATTTTATTTGCCCATTCATTATCTGTTATAACATTTTTACCTTTCTTCTCATAAATAAAGGTTCAAAACTTCTGTTTTATTAAAAGAGAAATATATTCATAAATTTTAACATCAAAGGGATAAGCTGAACAATAATGTTTACATATTTTTAAGAAAAATAATATTTACATAGACATTTTATAATATCATTATACTATAATATAATCACTCTCAATTAAAACTTATCCACTTTGATAACAGGTTTTCTGAGGTACGTAAATTATGAAATTCACTGACACACATATTGCACAGAAAAAGGTATAATAAAATCATTGCCTGTTACATTATGATATCATTGCTTGTTACATTAAGATGTGTTTTATAACAGAGATGCTATACTAGAGGGATAATCTATTTTGATATATATACATTGTATCAATCTGTATTACTCACAATCTCTATTTAAAATACAAATGTATGATAAAGTTTTAAATATTATCATTTTTAATACCATTATTATCACATAAAACGCGGCGCGGGATTGTAATAAAGCCATTTAATAAAAACAATATTACACTAGTGTAATAACACTTTGACGTGACGTCATTTGCGCTATATAGAAACATAGCGTTAAAGTGCGCTAATGTTAGCGTTACACTATAGGCGCGTCATTGAAAAAATACTCGTTTCTACAGTTTACTGTTCTTATGTTATATATGTGATAAATAGAATATTATATTCGTGTAGATTCAGAGGAGACTCGCATAATATGATTTTATTCAACTTGTTCAATAAATTTAGTACTTAACTACACTCATTCAATATCCTCTATTTACATTATAAGGGAGCTGAAATGATAATTCTTTGTTTTCATTGGACAATTCATTTTTGAGGGTATAAAAAACTATTTTTGAAAGTGTCTGTATACTGAGAGAACAAGAAGTTAATTATGTGAAACCTATTTTACAACAAAATTTATGTCAGCAAAACAACAATATCCTTCTTCTCTGTTTAGTTGAAATAAAGGTCTAAGAAATGAATTTATATCAAAATAAATTTGAGAAACGTGTGCACTTGATTTAAATATATCTTCTGAAAAAAAAAATTGACCCTAAATCTCTTATACTGATACTTATAACCAGTGAGAAAAAATTGTGCTAACAATGTAAAACATTTTACAAGAAAAGTCAATTAACCTCTAATGTTAACTCTATTGGTCTAACAACAGGTGCTTTCATCAGAATTCAGTCAGTTCTCAATGGGAGATTAATTGATAAATTACTTCCAATCAGAAATAATATTTTTGTGTCACACTTTTTAATGTTTACATACCAGCAACTGTATAATGTGTCCATTGTTTACACATAATAGAAATCTGAGTGGTCAATCTTTAAAAGAATTTACAAAAACGTGGCTTAATCATTGTGGTATTGTGGAAATGTTTTTGTAATGTTTAAAGTAACACTCAAAGCAGCTTGGAGTGTCAGAATTTTTAAATACTCACACCTGTAACCATATGTTAATATTTATTTTTATGAAACAATATTGATGAATTCTTGAAATGTTTATCATCATATATATACAAATTTACTCTTGGGGAATGTATTTATTAGCTAAAATATTTCCTCACGTTAGAAATTTATTGGGCTAATAAAGATTCCAAAATTTTATCTCTAGAAAATTACTGGTTATATTTAGGTCTTTGCACTAATTGAAATATTTATTACTATCAATATATATAATTTCAAAATCATCAACTTTGTACCTTCAAAGATGGTGCAAATCACAGACTTTTGAAATATATTTTCATACATTTTTATGATTTTTATAATTACTAACAAATAGTATTAATTATGAAATACAATTGCTTCACATTTAAATGATTATTTTATATTTTTCAGATCTTTTTTTTTTTTTTTTTTTGCCAGGTGGAAAGAAGAAAACCCTTTTCATCTTGTTACTTTTCATTTACAATGATTAGATATGCATCAATTTTAGATTATGCCATGCTATCAGTTGCATGGATGGACTTGAATAAAATCGGGAAACATTATCTCCAGAAATTACATAAGGGAGAAGATCGCTGTGCAGCAACCCCTGATCAAATCTGTCATAGGATAGGTCTGACCACCCACACTTAGGTCATACTATCAAATAATCCTCTATAATTCAAGATACAATTGTCTGAAAACAGGGCAGAAATTTGGTTATCTTCTCCCCCAAACTTATCAGTAAACTTAATCTAAATTTGTAACTGATATCGTAAAGAGTTTGATTTAGAATGATTCAGCGGGTGACTATTACAATTGAAAGTGATGAAGATGTTGAATGATTATAAAGTCTAAAAAACTTTTATTGCATTAAAAAAGTTGAAACATGAGAAGAGAAGGAAAAGTAATATCACTCAGATAAACTTTTTGAAAAATTCTTACCAATTCATACAATTAACTAATTAATATTGTAAGCAATTTTATCATGCTTTAAATTTTGTTTCATAGATATATCTAAATTTACTTTAATTTCCATACGACTACAAAATTTATCCAATATATTCACGTAAATTATATTATTTTACAAATGATTTACACTATATAAATTTATCTCCCTATATTTTCAAATGATTAAAAACTCACCTATAATTTCTAGATCTACTAAAAAAATAAGTTCTTATCAATTTGAAGAAATACTTATAATTACATATTTAATTATACCTGGTTGTCTGTTTCACACGATCTGTATTTTTCTTCCTCTTCATTTTGTCTCTCCTTTAAAACTGCACACCAAGTTTGATGTAAAACTGTTACATATATTATAACTTTGAAAGTTACAATTTTCACCATCTTCAGGCATTATAACAATATTTTCTGTACCATACATTCCATTAATTGTAAGCTGTCAGTTTAATTTACTACATGTAAATCCAAGTTTTACTATTTTATTAGATCTACCTGTCCTGGTCTAAATCTATAGTAAAAACATTTGCGTATTTCTATCTTGTAAAAATTTAGCGGCCACAAAACGTAGTAAAATTATAATGTATATATTTATCTCCGTATAATAACTGTGTAGTGAATCTGTGCCGACGAATGAATGAATGGATTTTCTCTTCAATAGAAAAGATCAAAGGCTTCTGCTGCTAATCTCCTATAGTTTTGTCTGTCAGCTCCCGCTGTACGGCCATGAATGAAATATACCGAATAACGAGACAGGTGCGTGTAATTTGTTAGACGCGCTCTCATTGGTCAAACGTCAGCACGAGTAGGGCCGCTCAAAAAGTAGTGATTGGCGCGATAAACAAATTGATTAATTGTTTTGATTTGTGTTTTAGGGCCGCCAGTTTATCAGTGTCAGTTTATGAAAAACTGCCACCACACTTCTCTATGTGTCTGCTCATTACTCCACAAATGCCCATAAAAACCTATGTAGAAAATGTTGATTTAAATCTTTAGGTTTCATTAACAAATGTATCTTTTTTTAGCTTTTTTTTTTTACAAGATTTTTGTTTCAGAAAAAAAATGTAGATCTAATGACTTGGGAGAAGAAAATTACATTACTGTATTTTTGGTGGGTATTTTACGTTTTCAAAATCAAGTTTAATCAATAGTAAGAAATGTGTGTAACATAGATTGCCTGTGCCAAAATGTATTTATCCACATAAAATATTATAAACATACACTTTTGGGCTTAAAGCAAATGATTGCTTATTAATATATTATGTTTTGCACAGATTTATATTGCCAGCATGTATGGAAGACTGCATACGTAATAGCAAAAATCATTAAAATTCTTGACAAGTTGTTTAGTATTGACTGTATGATACCGAATGACCTTTTGTGATACCATATGACCTTTTTGAGAGTGTAGCAAATAAATGTCACTGTGTATGACTTCTTGCAAGCTTCTATCCTGATTTTAGTAGCAATTCTTTGGAGAAACTCACACAAAACAGTATGTAATCTGGGACTTTTGACTTAACCAAACTATTAATTGCTTATATAATGTTATAGATAATATTATGCAAAGATATACCAGTATTGCATAAGGCATTGAAGGACACATTATGACAAAATTGTTAAATTCTGCTCATTTATCAAAACTGCAAGAATTTTACATACCAAGTGAGATGTAGATGGTTCTTAATAAATTTGCAAGAAATCATACAGGTGTCATATGACAGTAGTGACCAGAGTTATTAAGGGCTCAAACCCATGATCTCATGACTTCTAAGAAAATGCTCATTTGCAGTTTCTCATAGATATATTGAAGAAATAAAATCCTAAAAAACTATGTACATTGAGTATTTCTGGATGGCATATTTAATATAGAATTAAAACCTTATTTCTCTTTAGATAAAAATAGCTGATGGTTTATACCCTTAACATAAAGTTTATTATCTTATTATACCATGATTATTTGATAAAATAAATTATAACAGTTGATACCAGTATTTAGTCATTAATTTTGTTTTACACATTTTAAACAGCTTATAAATATGTTGTGGTTATGTTGTGCGAACAATCAGTATGTTTTACAACAGACAATCTAATATTACATCTCAGCTCTGGCACCATTCAAACTTTTTTACTACCAAATGAAGGGAGTAGCTGGAGTACAAAATGTGGCCAAGTTCATCAGTGGAGACTTACTTTTTTGACCTCATTAAAATCAAAGCAACCACATTGCTTTGAAGAAATAATTTTTGAACAATGTTTTTTCCATGCTTAATTAACAAAACACTAAACAAATTACCCTTATAATTAATTTGTGACAGTTGAATTTGTAAGTTCTTTTGTACTCTTTCTTTGCAGGATGGAATTCATCATAGTTTATATCACTCAAATTAAACTGTCTTGTATGTTTTAAGTGGTGCTTTAAAGCTGCATGCTTCTAAATGAGCCAAAATATTTTTTAAAAATCCAATTTGAGAAAACTGCACTAAGAGTTTAAGAAAAGTAAAAAGATTCAAGATTCAGGTAATAATTTACACGTTATGTACATGTACGATTAATGACTGATTTTATCACCATATTTCTACTATGTTACTTAAAGCAGCACGCCTCCAGATTTATGCTAATTTTAATGAAAATTTTGAAAATGTATTTGAATGTGTAATATTGTGAAGTAACCAAAAGGAAACAATTTATACATTATCAATGGCACTTACAAACCACGTAAACTACCAAAAAAAGAGTCAAAATATGCATAAATAGCCTTTACTGCGTTAGTAACGCAGTAGAAATACGGTTGTAAATACTGAAAAATCAGTCATTAATCGCACAAAATATGTAAAATATTATTTGAATCTTGAAACGTTTTACTTTTCCTTACACCATAGTACATTTCTGTCAAGTTTGATTTTATTGAAATATTTTGACTCATCTGGAGGCACGTAGCTTTAACACAGTAAGGGCTAATTTTGCATATTTGGACCTCTTTTTAGTAATTTACTTGGATTTGAAAGCTCCATTTGCAATGTGTAAATTGCTTTCTTTGTTCACAGAACAATATTTTACTTTTAAATACATTTTCAAAATTTTCATGAAAATTAGCTTCAATCTGACGGAATGCTGCTTAATATGCACTTGAACATGTCATTATACATATTGATAGAGTTAAAATATAAAGAAATCATATTGGTCCATGATTTAATAGTTCTTAAAAAATACATGTACCTAAATTCTTATAAATTACCCAATCATCTTACAGTAATAGTTTTCATAAATGTACATCTATTCAAGTAAACTATACTATTTTCCAATGCAACATAAAGACTTTTTAAGTGCAAGAAAATATAAGAAATAAATTTTTGTTACCTTTATGTTCTTTTTTTAAAATTAGATTTTTTGTTACCATGGCATTAAATTCAAAAGTGTATATAGGGGAAATACGAGTAAAAAATAATTAAATTTTCTACTTAAAACTTGGCGCTATTTCTTTGAAACATAAACCTATGAAGTATATACTACGCTCTTAAAATTGTAGTAACTTTGAAATTATTTGTAAAGATCATAAACTTGTTTAGATAACCAAGATTTTGTTTATCATCATCAAAAATCCTTTTATCAAATAATTATCATTTTACACATGTAGGGATAAGATCTTGTTTTTATACCTTTAGATAAATGATAAATCAAGGTTTTATAAATAACAACAGAAATGAATGTTATCCAGTGTTTAAATAGATAAATATCAAGATGAAGGTTAATACCTCTGTCGAAAAATATCCCTATATCCTCTGGCAGCCGTTTGAAATTTTGAAAATTACATTATATTTTAATTATTGTAGAGATTTTAACTGTAACAACTATTTTCAAAATGAAATAATGTTTTTAAAAAATCCAGAGAAAATAATTAAACTTTCTTACTGTTAGATAGTTTAAATTATTCATACATTTATTATATTTGTAGATAATTTATATTTAATGATAATGATTTACGGTAAACTAAAATATTCTGATCTGCTTAAGATCTCACTTTGACAAAAGCTAAAATATGGTCTTAATACCGTATATTGTACGAGAATAAACTTGGAGGGAAAAATCTAATTTTAGCCCCAGTGACCTTGACCCAAGCATATATGTCCATCAGAGGTATCAAATAAACACAAATAATTTCCAAGACATTCGTTGAGAAATAATTTGTAGTGCATTAAAGTTAAAAACTAAGGGAAGCAATCAGGTAATATTATGAAGATTATCTACCAGAATTATCTCCACTGATAAACCTTGTCACAACTTTTCATAAGCATTTTTATATCATATCCAAATATACAGACTTATAAGGGATTAACACTAACCTAAGGTGGTTACACCCCGATAAATAAGTGTCTATTTGATGAATTTTATTTATTAATCAATCAAACCATTGACTAGCAGATGTATGTACATGCCAAGAGTATTTTTTAAATGACTGAAGTACTAACTGACATTATGAACGACAATTTCTCGACAATCTCATGAAATAAAAATCATGATACACAAGGGATCTCATTGGCAGAGTGGTTTAGGTTGCCAACTTCAAATCACTTGCTCCTCAATGCTGTGGGTTCAATTCTCATCAAACATTCTTTCATGTGAAGAAGGTATCCATCTAGCTTACAAAAGGCCTATATACAATTTGGGCCTAAAATTGTTAGTGGGCACATGAGGTTTTCCCCCATCAGTAAAGCCAAGATATCACCTTAATGGCCTTAACAGAGTTGGTGTGACTTAAAACTGAACAAATTGGGATGAAAATTTAAGCAAATCTCCCTCTTTTTTTGTTAATCATATTGAATTCTATTGAACAATTTGTAAAATTGGTATTGTGAATGTCATATAGTCACTTTTATACATATCATGTTAATTAGAACCTAAGCTACACAAGATAATTCATTTAGGCACAAGCTAGAACCCCAAGTAAGATCACTAATCTTCCCTAAGCTAGCACAGGAATGTTGTATATATATAATTATATATGTATATCTATATTGAACTATCCGTGGCTAACATGATAACATCTTAACTTGAAAAATTCAACCTCACAGAATTCGAACTTGATGGTCTCTTAGTTGTAAAACTTTAAATTTGCCACAGCTCCAGGTGTGCAGACATAAAAAAATTCAAATTATAACAAGCCTTGAAAAATTTATATGTCAACATTTGAAATTAAACCTACATGTAGTTGATGACATGCCAAGTGAATGTCACAAGTAACATTTTTCTTTACGGTCAAGATAATTAAGGACAACAAAATTTATATACATGTATTCAACAAAGAATAAATTCCAACATTTCTTATCCTTCTATTTTAGTTTTATTGTTTTTTATTCATTCAATAATAACTTTTTTTATCAAACATGTTATCATTTTATACATAAATGTATTATGACATGATATACACTGATCAAAATGTAGACAGTACAATAACAAACAAAAGAAAATCTAATGATGACAAATGATAAACATCTTATAATGTAATGATGAAAGCAGAACATGTCCAAATGATAGACACTTCCATTAGCCTAGTATAGATAGAGAGACAGTGTCTGATGTAAACATGATTATTTTACACATGTAAACAATGGTAATGATAATGTCATTTTTCTTATTATCATACAAAAATGTGTTTACTATTAATTAAGTATGTTTTCACAACTGGCTCAGATTCAATACTTAATAGATATATTTCAAAAGAAACTCAAACAAATAAAACAAATAAAATTTATCTTGTAAAAGTTTTGTAACCTACAATTTTCCATATTTAAATTATTTTTTTTGTTGCATTGCATCATTTCCCCCCCAAAATCATGGTGTTTGTGTTTCCATGTTACTTTAAAGAAAACGAAATTTCGATAAAAAAGTGTAATTTCGTTTTGTCACCAAAACAACCATTCAGAAGTTTGTCAATTATTCTGCATTAATTAGATATCTGTATTTTGAATTGTTGCTTATAACACAAACAAAAAACTATTTTGGGAAGTCACAAAACACTGCGGTATATAAATAGATCTATAGTACATACATTTTCTATAATCAATTTTTAATCTTTGTGTAAGGTCCATTTCTGGTACATCCTACCAGGTAATAAAAAATAAATGAGCCGCGTCATGACAAAACCAACATAGTGCGTTTGTGACCAGCATGGATCCAGACCAGCCTGCGCATCTGCGCAGTCTGATCAGGATCCACGCTGTTCGCTATCAGTTTCTCTACTTGTTATAGACTTTGTAAGCAAACAGCATGGATCCTGATCAGACTGCGCGGATGTGCAGGCTGGTCTGGATCCATGCTGGTCGCAAACCCACTATGTTGGTTTTGTCGTGACACAGCTCAATTGTTAAGTTGTTGATATCAAAATATGAAGTAATCTCAGGATTAACATTACCTTATTGTTTTGCTGTTGTTGTTTTTATTGTTAGACAAATCTGAGGCTTATATGGTGCATCTTAATCATCATAATGCTCTCTTTTAAATTCATATTTAATTACATCTACATGTATTAACATTTGATTTTATAAATTATAGATCTTCAACAAAATCCTGACTAAAGAAAAATGGTCATGAATGAGAAACAATTGAATTCAGATCAATATTTCTTAGACTTTCTTCAAAGTTAAACAAAAAACAAATCTTAAACCTGATCAACAAATGTCCTCTAGCATGTTGAATGCCTATATACAGTATATATAGTATATAGAACACAATTTGATCTGCATCTTATATCTTAGCACATTTCAATGGCAACTAATAACTGTAACATTACAATGTTTTCACAATTTCTTTCCATTATTTAGTTCTTGTGCACAAAATATTCACAGAAATAGAAACATGTATTATTCTCCTCTTCCTTTACCAGGTCTGTTACCTCCCCCACCTCCTCCTCCTCCTCCACGGCCTCCGCCACCACCTCGACCACCTCCTCGACCAAATGCTCCTGTATACATATATATTCATTTATTATATACTTATAAATGAAATATTGAGAAATATTGATGAAATAAAATGCATATTTTCATTTTCCGTATTTTCACTGTAAAAATTTATTTTTCACTGCAGTGAAACATATTTTCCGTATTTTCACTTGTGTCTTGCCGGACTACTTTCTTTTAAATTCTGCCAGTACACAAAATTTAAGGGAAAGTCTTTCAAATTTTAATGTCAATAAAGAGAAAAATGTATATAATAAACAGAAAATTCAAGTTTTTTCTATAAATACACGATTTATTTTCATCTTGTGGCATGAAAATTACCATATTTCACTCGTGGCTACCGCCACTCGTGAAATATTTATTTTCATACCACTTGATGAAAATAAATCATGTATTTATAGAAAAACCTTGAATTTTCTGTTTATTATATACATTTTTCTCTTTTTTGAATATCCTCTATTTATTATATACTTATAAATAAAATATTGAGAAATATTGATGAAATAAAATGGGTATTTTTATTTTCCGTATTTTCACTGTCAAAATTTATTTTTCATTGCAGTGAAACATATTTTCCGTATTTTTACTGGTGTCTTGCCGGACTACTTTCTTCTAAATTCAGTCAATACACAAAATTAAAAGGGAATTCTTCCTATTCAAAAGGTTAAAAAAATAGAAAAGTTAATAATAAACAAAAAATTCATCTTGTGGTATGCAAATTTTCATATTTCACTCGTGATATATCTAAGCTCTAAGCCTTGTACCTTCAGACAAGAAGATTTTTAAGTTTTTACTACATACATATAAGGAAAACCTATGACCCCCCCCCCCCCCCCCCCCCCCAATTTTAACCCCAGAGCTATAATTTGAACAACTTTGGTAGAGGACCTATAGGCGATATCATATACTAAATATCAAAGCTCTAGGCCTTGTACTTTCAGACAAGAGGATTTTTTAAATTTGCATTTTTTAAACTTCTTTTCTAGCCCTGTGACCTACTTATGCAACATACCAGAATCATTTGAACAACTTTGGCAGGGGACCACCCAAGGATCATTCCTGTAAAGTTTGGTTATTGTGCAGTCATTGGTTTTTGAGCATGTTGTGCTCAGGTGAGCTAATAACATAATTTAATCTTATAACAATAAATCATCTGCTTATAAACTTTTCTGAAGCTTTCCTTTGCCAAGTTCCTGTTGCCATGACAGGTTTTTAGGTCACAGTTTTAATCTTTCAATAGTTCCACTCTGCATCAATATAGACCCAAGCAAGAAATTAAATAAAGCAAAGAAAATATTAAATGAACCTATCACATTATGGGATATCCTTTTTTTACTGAAAACAGAGATATGTATACAACTAAAAGATCACAAAATGATCTTACTTGCTATTTACATATAGTTTATAATCTATTCTCTCCACCTAGAAGTCTATACTAGATACTTGCATTTACAGTCAGATGATATGCAAATGACAGTCCACTGGATTTAATCAACTCTATATAAATCCTTCATTTCCCCCCCCCCCTAAAACTTACATACAAAATGGAAAAAAAAATACAAAAATATTCTAACCTCTGCCTCCACGACCTCTCTGACCACCACCACGACCTTTCATCTCACCACGACCCTTTGATTTTTGGATGACCTCTTCTTTGACCATGTCTATAACTTCATCAGGAATTCTTAAGTATTTTATAGTGCTTCCTCTGATATAACATTCTGGCATCCTCCAAAATCTGTCTCCATCCTTTATATCAGACAATAATATTTGTTAATAATATGGCAACATTTCTACAAACATATGTCACAAAACTACTGGCCTTCTGCAAAATATAAATGATACCCATAGCCTGTAAGCATTTTTCCACTTAATAAGAAGTGTAAATTCAAAATGGATAGTTTGCCTTTTGATTCCAATACGGATCTTGGTATCTTTAATATTGGTATTGGCTTTTTACAAACTTAGATACAAAGGAATAAAAATAGTCAAATATTTTATTCTTTTTATACAATTTCTATTATTTTTAATTCATAATTTAGAACAAGAGCCCGGTTTGAGCCGGGTGATGCTCCCCAAATAGGTTTTGGACACAGGAAAGTACACCTCTTGTATTTTCAGAGTTATGTCCCTGGAAAAAGTTCAAAGTGTAATAATTCCAAAATTAGGCAAGTCAGAGTTACTGTTCTTTGCACTGCACTTCTATCAATGTGATCTATCAACCTACAAAGTTTCTTGATGATATCTCTTATGAGTTATGTCCCGGACAACTTCAAAAAGTAAAAATAAACAAAGGGCAATAACTCCAGAATTAGGCAAGGCAGAGTTATGATTCTTGTGCACTGCACATCTACCCATTGAGATATATCAACCTACGAAGTTTCATGTTGATATCTCTTATAGTTTTACAGCTATGTCCTGGACAAGATTTTTCTAAAAGGGGAGATAATTCAAAAATGAGGCTTAACAGAGTTATGGTTCTTTTGCACTGCACCTCTACTCAATGATATCTATCTACCTACAATGTTTCATCTTGATATCTCTTATAGTTTTAGAGTTATGCTCCGGACAAAGTTCAAAGTGTTAAAATTAACAAAGGGCAATAACTCCAAAATTAGGACAAAAAGAGTTATTTTTCTTATGCACTGCACATCTACCCATTGAGATCTATTTACCTACAAAGTTTCATGTTGATATCTCTTACAGTTTAAGAGTTATGCCCCGGACAAGATTTTTCTATAAGGGGAGATAATTCAAAATTCGGGCAAAATAGAGTTATGGTATTTTGACACTGCACTCCCCCTCAATGCCCTCTACCACTGTATGAAGTTTTCACAATTTATCTCCAAGGGTTTTCAAGTTATGCTCCGGACAAGACAACGGACGGACAGACAGACGGACAAGGCGCCAACTATATGCTCCCCCGAAATTTTTCGGGGAGCATAAAAAATAATGAATATTCTCTGTTTCTGACGAATGTTAGCATTTTGATATTGAAATCTCTAATATGGATAATAAATCATAAAACAGCAAGTACATGTATGTGACAAAAATTCAGCATTATAAAGGTTAATAGGAAAAGAATAATTTCATAAATTCCTGATTAATTTGTTTTGAAAACAAAATAATAACAAGAGCCGGTTGAACCGGGTGATGCTCCCCGAATAGGTTTTGGACACAGGAAGGTATACCTCATGTAGTATCAGAGTTATGTCACAGACAAAGTTCAAAGTGTAAAAATAACCCAAATGTTGTGCATGACACATTGTCTCAATATGGTGATCATTTTTGTGAAATAGTTGTAAAATCCAACTTCAAATAACGAAGTTATGGGCCGGACATGATTTTGCTGCAAGGTCATGCTGTGACCTTGACCTTCAAGGTAGCAACCCGAATGTTGCATGCGACACGTGGATTTAATATGGTGATCATCTCTGCGAAATAGTTGTTAAATCCGTCTTCAAGTAATGAAGTTATGGGCCAGACACGATTTTGCTGCAAGGTCATACCGTGACCTTGACCTTCAAGGTGGCGACCAAAATGTTGCGCGCGACACATTGTCTCATTATGGTGATCATTTCTGTGAAATAGTTGCAAAATCCGACTTCAAATAATGAAGTTATGTGCCGGACACAATTTTGCTGCAAGGTCAAGATGTGACCTTGACCTTCAAGGTAGCGACACAAATGTTGTGCATGACACATCATCTCCATATGATGATAATTTCTGTGAAATATTTTTAAAATCGGACTTCAAATAACGAAGTTATGGACCGGACACGATTTTGCTGCAAGGTCATGCTGTGACCTTGACCTTCAAGGTAGCGAGCCAAATGTTGCGCGCGACACGTCGTCTCAATATGGTGATCATTTCTGTGAAATAGTTTTAAAATCCGACTTCAAATAACAAAGTTATGGGCCCAGACACAAATTCGTGTACGGACGGACAGACAAACTGACGACTTTATGCTCCCCCAAAATTTTTCGAGGAGCATAATAACTGTAAAAAGCATTCATTGCAAAAAAACATCTTTTCAAATTTGATGGCAAATAAGAATGAAATTAAATTTGATGACAAACCACACTGAGCAGTAAATAAAATTGGATATTTTAATCAGAATGGGTACATTTGGTAACGAAAATAAATGAGCTGTGTCATGACAAAACCAACATTGTGCGTTTGCGACCAGCATGGATCCAGACCAGCCTGCGCATCCGTGCAGTCTGATCAGGATCCCTGCTGTTTGCTTACAAACCCTTTTACAAGTAGAGAAACTGATAGTGAACAGCATGGATCCTGATCTGACTGCGGGGATGCGCAGGCTGGTCTGGATCCATGCTGGTCGCAAACCCACTATGTTGGTTTTGTCGTGATGCGGCTCAAATATAATATCATATTAATAATATAATAGTTTACCCTTGAAGTACAAATAACTTCTCTAAGATTGATATTCATCCAGTTATCACAGCTTACTAAATGTCCGTTGTATGTTTCTCCATTCTTCAACTCCACCAACTGAATTAAACAAAACAATTCATTCATAGAAATTATAACCAAAGAATGAAATAATTTACAAGCACCATATGTGAATTTTTATTTTCAATTCATTTATTTGGTTGGATTTTTATTTACAACAACAGTGTAAAGGTCATACAGCTATAAATAGGAAGACGTCAGGTACAGTAACCTGAGTAGTTTCACTAACTTACCTCCATAAGTGAGTCAATGTGATATACATACATGTAATTATATATAGTCACTTGCAGGACCTAAAGGGGATAAAACACTTTGGAAATTAACCACTCAGCCACCCATTTTATTTCATTAGCAGCTGTAAAAAAGTTTTATGTTGGCAATTGGTATAATCATAGTGAATGAGTATTTTTTATGGAAGTCAAAATAGTGAAAATACTAGTACTTTGTTTACATTTTACTACCTTCATGTCACATAACTTCAGTGCTTCTTAACATAAAGGTGTGTCTTGATTTGATGTTGTATCTTGACATTAGAGTGTAAGGCACTATTACACTGGATCTAAAGACTGAAGACTTGCGAGTAACGATCAAAGTTGTGAAACCCACATTTAGTCAGTGTTATGTTACCAGAAAAAAGTAGGTAAGTGTCAACTCTTGGGTTTTTTAAAAAATGAAATTAAACCGGGGAATACAGATGATTATAAATTTTAAAATTTCAAAAAAATTTTTTTAAGCAAAAATAAACATAAAAAATGTATGTTTTGTTTTCTTTGTACGTTTTTGGGTTACAAAATAATTTTTTATTGTATAAAAATTTTTGCATTTTTATTTAAAAAATTTTAACCTTTAAAAATGGTTAACTCCCAGTTCTCAAAATTTGATAAATGGAAGCTGAAATATATAAAATTAGATATTTTGTCGAAAGAAGACACAGGTTTTATCAACAGAAGTGACTTAGACTGTTTCAATGAGAGGTGTCAGTAGAAACATTAAACTCAACTAAACTATTATCTAGTAAAGAAAGATGATTGTAGATAAGAATCAATAGTAATATACGGTATTGCTTAATTAATAAGACGAAAGCCCAGGGCTTTTATTTGAACAAACTTTGTAGACACTTACTAGAAGATGTTTCATGCTTAATATCTTAACTCTAGCTATTTGGGTTTTTTCAAAGAAGATTTTTTTAAGTTTTTGCTATACACATATAAGGAAAATCAATGATCCCCGGGGCGGTGCCAATTTTGACCCCAGGGCTTTTATTTGAACAAACTTGGTAGACACCTATTAGAACATGTTTGATGCTAAATATATTAGCCATAGCTCTTTGAGTTCTTTAAAAGAAGATTTTTTAAGTTTTTACTATATGCATATAGGGAAAATCAATGACCCCCCGGGGCGGGGCCAATTTTGACCCCAGGGCTTTTATTTGAACAAACTTGGTAGACACCTATTAGAACCTGTTTGATGCTCAATATCTTAGCCATAGCTCTTTGAGTTCTTTAAAAGAAGATTTTTTAAGTTTTTACTTTATGCATTTAGGGAAAATCAATGACCCCCCGGGGCGGGGCCAATTTTGACCCCAGGGCTTTTATTTGAACAAAATTGGTAGACACTCACTAGAAGATGTTTCATGCCAAATATCTAAGCTCTCTAGCTCTTATGGTTTTTTAAAAGAAGATATTTAAAGTTTTTTCTTTCGGTTGCCATGGCAACCAGAGTTCTGCATGGAATTAAATTCTTTGAACAATTTTTAAAGGTGACCACCAAAGGAACATTCCTGTGAAGTTTGGATGAAATTGGCTTAGTGGTTTATGAGGAGATGTCATTTAAAGTAAAAGTTTACGGACAGACGGACGCCAGACGAAAAGCGATCACAAAAGCTCACCCTGTCACTTTGTGACAGGTGAGCTAAAAATGAAAACTAGAAATGTGAAACGGGTGCCCCCACACTTCACTGTTTTGTAAATCTTATGACTCTAGGTCAAATATGTTTTGGGATACATGTGACACAAGTTGAAAACTAAAAAGCTTTTACTAAGTCAAGGGCAAAAACTTTACAAACACTGAATAAATCCACAAGCAAAGCCCAAGATACATTAGTACACATGCTGACCAACATTCATGTCACTTTCAATTGTCAGGGATCATTCTGGTCAGGATTTTTAGTGAGAGATTTTCTCTCATTTGAGAAATTTTAATGAGAGAAATTAGATTTTCTTGAGAGATTTAAGGTAGCTCGCTACTTTCCGACCGAAATTTGACAATATCTCAGATCTTGATGATTTCTGGTATACAGACATGTAGATATGTAAGCTTTACTTCTGCAGCATTAATTTATAAATAAACAGCGTTACTATGACGTCAAAGCGCCCTCTATCGGTGGCGGCGAAATTGCGTGTTTTTTTATCAATAAACTGTCTGTTATTATCAATTTTTCATCCGATTTCCTTCATTTTAATTTTATAATGTTCAGTAAATGTATGTCTTTGTAATGATGTCTTTCTTGAACATTTGCTAAATACTCTGCGATTCTACGTTATTTTCCCTCTCGTTCTGACGTCATATTTGATGCAAATATCGCGCGATATCGCAATAAAGATTGTGAAATAATAAAAAATCAACACGGTGAATTTTGCTTTAATTTTTTTTAGCATGTAGTGAAGTCATAAAAGAAAATATTTATGCAATAAAAATATAGGGTCAACGCGTAAGATATTTTGCTATTACTATTTGAATATAAAATAAAGGGTGAGTAAAACGTAATGATTTTGGTGACGTCAAATATTTTTCTCAAGGAAATTTTCACGACTTTTTTCGATAAATAACATACTGACAGGAATAAAAATGTGTGAAAACCATCAACAACAATAGTTTGTAGACATGTTCCGTAAAAATGTTCTTTAAAAGTCCTGGCAGATGCCTGCATTTCGATGAATATCTTCAATTATATACATGTACAACAAAATCAGGGTATAACTGTCTGCAAAAGTTGGTATCAATCGCTGAAAAACTGCAACGAATGGATATAAATACCTCGAGGACTGAAAGACAATTCAGAATATTGAAAGATATAATTAAAGGGCCACCTAAGTGGAAATTATAAAAACATAAATTTTGCAAAGAATGTCAGAAAAAAAGAAGAAAAGGCTGATGCAGTCGCAATGTCATCATGTTATGTATATCTCGGTACAACATAAACTTCCATGTTATCATATGTAACAATTTTGAATTGTATATATCAGTTAGTAGGAACAGAGACATAGATAACATCTATGTCTGTGGTAGGAAATAAATCAAATTTACGTTTCAAAAATATATGATCAACTGGAAGTAGCAACGATTTGAACGTAAGCCATGATTCACTGGTAGTCTTAATTATATTATAAATCTAGCAGACATTTAATTCAAAAATTTTCTAAAACGTATAAAATTTATTTATTAACAGCCATCAGATATTCTATTTTTTCTCTCGCAGCTAAATACCCTGCACTAAGCGTGAGACTCACATTTAAAAGCAGGAATCACGCTCTCATGCTTTGGCTTTAATTTCTCACGTATTTCACATAATTACAGATATTCTTATTTATTTTAAACTAGCTGACTCGCGGTATGCGTTTACTAGCGCATCTTTGAGGCGACCTGAAGCCGCGATCATTTCTCGATTAAAGGCGAAAGTTCCGTTGATTTATTTTGTATGTTCAGAAGCGGAGAATTTTGCATATTAAATACAGATTCCCTTGTATTGAAGACCATGTAGGGATCCTCAATTTTTGAGAATATGGTTGTGGGAGAAGCTCGTTTTTTTGTCTGCACATAATGCAGTGCTATGTAGAGCCTATGAAAATAATGAACTATGCATTTTATGTTTTATATTTTCTTATTTTTTAATATTGGGTTTAACGCCGCTTTCAACAGTATTTCAATTAAAGCGGAGGGAATTTAAACGGTACCAGTGTTTCCCACAGTATCAACTTCTCTTTGGAAATGAATGACAGGAGTCCGAGGTGGACCTTGAAACATTTCATAGACAGTAAACAATTCTAAAATATAATCTATTAGTAACAATAAGCAATCGTGTCTCGAATCCATGCCTTCCGAATTCAGCGTAAGACCACTTTACCGATTACAACGTGGCAACAGAAGAATATTCAAAGTAAAAAAAACCTGATTATGATCTCCGTTAATAAGGGAGAAGTCCATTTTATTGCTAACATCATAAACACGTGTTGTTGGTGTGTGTTTGAGGTTGTTTTTTTTTTTCTTGTTTTTTTGTTTATTTTTGTTTTAAAGCAAACTGTATTGTATTAAAAAATGAACAAGATAACGTCAACATAATACATTATTCGTATTCAGTGGTAACAAAAGTTGCACAAGTTAGTTAATAATTATATTTTGTATTTAACTAAAATATACAGTATAACCTCTACAGAGAAATGCCCTTTGTTGCCTAGAGTGGTTGCTCTACAGAGGTAAAATGTAGTGGAACTCTTTAGAAATAAATAATACTTTGAGGGCCGCTATGTTATACTCGATACTGTACAGTAATGAAAAAACGGTAATGAATCCGAGTTGAGTAATGGTTATATTGGGTGTACATTCGAGTCTGCAGTTGCGAATATGCATATATATTTTTTTTATTCAGTATGATTTTGCTTCCAAAATAGTTTATAGTTTGTCACATAAGTGCTCATTTTCTAATTATCATGACATTTTAATTAGATTATAATTATATAATCTATGTATTGCACAGACTTAGAAAATGGTAAGCAAAAATAAAAACAAAATAAAGGTTTTTGTTTCTTGTACAGTTTGTTTTTAAATATTCTTAAAGGGACTCCAATGAGGTTGAAAAGATAAACACATAACATTTGAATTTCTTACATAAATGAGCTGGGCACTTTTAAACAGAAATATATGCGAAAATAGTTAAGAATTATATACTTTGAAATAAATTGAAAATCGTATTTTTATGTTTTTGTTAGCCCGATTTGGGTGAAAAGCGTTTAAACACTTTTCATTTTGAATAATTATTCTGGAAAAACGAAGTGCGCGAATGCTCTGAAATTTTGCACAAATATTCGTGGAAAAAAATATTTTCAGTTCCATCATGTCAAAATACCTCAGTCCCTTTAACATATTTGAATATTATTTCTGAATTTTATTTATCACTTATTTCGGCACATTTGTATGCATATCTATTTGAATTGTATTTTTTACGATGTGTTTTGACACCGAGGCTCGTCTGCCTTTATATGATTTTATGAAAGTGTTTAAGACTGAATGTAACGTAAAATAAATATTCTACGGGTAAGCGACCTTATATTCTTACTACATCCATACAGCAATATGTGAATCTTATTTTTTGCGCTGAAACTAGTTAATTCATATAATAATATAACACTTTAACAACATCACATTATAAAATTAGAATTAAAAGATGTATGAGACTGTGTCCTGCAAATTAAAAAAGTATTTAAAAAGGGATTGTCGGATTAAACATTGTAAAATGTGCTCATCTAGCGCATGCTTTCAATGAGAAAATAATCAACAAATTTAAAAAATATATACATTTCATCAATCCCTGTGTTGTTTTTACTTACTATCGTAATGTTTGACGTAAGAAAATTGTTATTTGGTATTATTCTTTGAACTCCAACAACTATTAACGTCACCAAAATCATAACGTTTCACTCACCCTTATTTTATTTTTAAAACAGTAATAGCAAAATATCTTACGCGTTGACCCTATATTTTTATTGCATAAATATTTTCCGTCACTATCTCACTACACGCTCGGAAAATTATAGCAAAATTCACCGTGTTTGAATTTTTTTTTATTACACAATCTTTAATGCGATATCGCGCGATATTTGCATCAAATATGGACGTCAGAAAGTAGAGAAAAATGACGTAAAATCGCAGACTATTAAGTAAATGTTAAAGAAAGACATCATTACAAAGACATACATTTACTGAACATTATGATATTAAAATGAAGGAAATCGGATGAAAATTGATAAAGAACAGACCGGTTTTATTGATAAAAAAGACGCAATTTCACCGCCACCGATAGAGGGCGCTTTTACGTCATAAGTAACGCTGTTTATTTATAAAATAATACTGCAGAAGTAAAGCTCACATATTTATATGTTTGCATACCAAAAATCATCAAGATCTGAGATGTTGTCATATTTCGGTCGGAAAGTAGCGAGCTACCTTAATTTACATGATGGGCGAGGTTAAAATATGGAAATTTCTAACTTTTTAAAATCACTGCACATATAAACATGGTTTATCTAATGAGGATATAAGAAGATGTAGCTCTGTTTATTACAGTGATTTTTGTTTTCACTTTTTTGATTCATTCTATGCCTTTTCTTTTGTGAATTTTTAAACATAATAAAATTCTAATTGTGAAAAATAAATATAACACTTTCATTCTGAAATATAAAAGAATTATACATGGATATCCGCTACAACTATTATTTGCATATTTTTGTGTGATTTTAGCATTCTTTAGATTGTGATTAGACATTTTCCGGCTCAAATTGCCGTGCGAGATTTTCTCTCATTTCACAAATTTCTCTGCGATTTTGGTGATTTTTTTGCGAGAAATCGCGGAAATCGCCCCCTAGAATGATCCCTGATTGTAATAGCCGAAGGGCCTGCTCCCAGAGCGAGCTTTACAGTAACACGAGTACCTGCTAGATAGTGATGGTTTTGAAAACTTTCGTCTGAAGTACTGAGTTGACACATCGCAACTTTTCGAATAACAAGATAACAATAAAAGCAGAATAATTCTGATTGAAAACGGAAGCATAGACTGGTGTCCTGCCACTTACATAGGAACCATAATAGAAAGTGGGAACCAGAATAAACGGAAGCAGTGTATAAAATACCGAATAACAATTTTAAAACAGAAAACGTAAAATAATAATGAATGATTATTTTATACTATTTCACGATAAAAGTAAATCAAGCTAGCTTTGAGGCTTTGCCTTTTTCATATTAGATACTTACATTATTAATCTCTTATTAATTTCTTTTGATTTACTACATAAATTTTGCTTTGAACAGGGTTGTTAAGCGATATGTCATATTAACTTATTTCAGTTTTCTATTCTGATAACAATTTTTGTTAGCATATACTATTCATTTATGTGTTTAGATTTGTTTCTAGAACAACTATATGTTTTCCTGGTCCCAGGTATAGGTGTTACCCGATCCAATTCTCGAGTACTTTTCTGGGCAATTCTAATGATCATTTGGAAATTTATAAAGAAATATCCGAAATTGTTGTATCCGAATTGTTGTAAGCATGAACAATTACTAAATTGAAATTTCAGACGAGATGTGGAAGCACATGTACTCCTAAATGAAGTTAATAAGGCGGTTAAAAGATATATGATAGACGATTACAAAATTTTGGACGAAATTATAGGATAATTACCATTTTTATTTCGACGTTTTCCCCTTATGTCGGAATGCCAAATTTGCCGGAAAGCAGACGATTTTAATTAATGAAATAAGCTGTTGTATTCACACAACGGACAAGAAATAGTTTATTAGATTCTCTTAACAAATGTAGGACATGTCTTCTATAAAAGAATTCTTTAAATAAGAAAATGTGATGTCGTAAATAATAATAAAAGACCAACTTTAGGCAATACGGAAAACGTGAAACTATAATCAAACTTTTAATTAGGACTTTTCTATAATTATGTCTTCCAAACGGAAATCTACATCACCTTCAAAGGAAAGTGCTTCAAAAATATTGAAAGATGCATGCAGCAAAAATATTTTAAGTAACCAATTCAATTCCCCTACCTGCATCAAAAATTGCAAAAAAGCTTGGGAGGATAACAACTGTTATTCCTTTACTGATGGTAAGCATCCAGGAAATATCTTACTATATTAAGTATCTTGATAGCAAATTTCAATAAACTAACAATTTGACCACAACTAGAAAAGAAACATCTGCAAAACAATAATCTGTTTAAACTGGTTTATAAACTTCATTCAGTTGTTGGAACAGTTGGAGATTTACATACTGTACATGAGTAAGATACAATCTGGAACGCACCTAATGTAGATCTTCTGTATATCTCCTGTCTGTGGTGCATCTAGATTGCTGATCGACCTCCATCATCAGCATGGTGCTCGCCGTCATTGATATTTCGGCCCTTATCCATGTATACATTGTATCTGCTGGCGAGTGGGCCCACCGTCTTACGGTGTGGAGGTTGATTGCTTCCAGCTCTTCTCCTTTCGTCTCAGCCACAGCCAGCTAGACGCACGCTCGGCAGTTTGGCTCAGTCTCTGGATTGTCCTACGTCTATCCTTTCCAGTAGTTCCTATCGCTGTCATCAGTCGGCACACAGATTGCAAACAGAACCCTCGCACACCTACTTCAATAGGAAACAGCCATGTATGCCAGCCTCTCTGTCTACATTGGTTGAGTAGCTCTGTATACTTTGCTTTCTTCCTCTCGTAGGCCTCTTCACATCTTGTCTCCCAAGGTACTGTTAACTCAATCATGATGAGTTTCTTTCCTTTTTCAGACCACAGTACAATATCTGGTCTTAAGTTGGTCTGGACAATACTTGGGAAAACAAGCTTCTTGCCAAGATCCACCTCCATGTTCCAACCTGTTGCGCCATCTAGAATTGATGGTTGGTGTGGCGACTGTGTCTTGGCAGTTTCACCCGGTTTCACAAAGTTGATGTGACAAAGCTTGGGGTTACCCCTTCGTTCCTTTTTCCTTTCACCTTCAAGCCAGTCAGCCACCTCCCTGAGGACGTTGTCATGACGCCATCTGTACCTTCCCTGTGTCAGTGCAGTGGAACAGGAAGAAAGGACATGCTCCAGAGTGCCAGGACGATCGCACAGGTCACATGCTGGATCCGTTGTAAGTCCCCACCGGTGGAGATTAGCTGGGGAGGGTAAGAGGTCATGAACTGACCTGATAAGAAAGGATAACCGTAATGGTTCATACTTCCATATGTCTTCCCAAGTCAGCTTCCTGTCTATGGTGTTCCATGTAGTCCATGCTCCCTGTGCTCCCATCTCTACTGCTCTAGCCTGTCTTGCACTCTCCTCTGCCCCCCTGACTTCTGACTGAATCATGGCACGTCTCTCCTTCTGGTCTGCCTGGTTCCACAGGGGTGTCTTGGTAGCACCAATTCCCTGTCGTCCCACAGCGGTCATTCCCACAATGTCCTTGAGCTTAAGTGAGCTTTCAGCCTGGTTAACGGTCTCTGATGCTGACCACTTCCTGCCTGTACGGGTTACAATCCCTGCTTCCCGGATTTGCTCTGGGGAATCTCTGAGGGTGAGCACCAATCTTGTCTTCGCTGTCTTGAATTCCTCTACCAGTGAAGAAAATGGGAGTTGAAGCTGATTGCTCTTTCCATACAGTCCTACACCGGAGAAACTGGGTGGTATTCCTAACCACTTGCGAGGTGTCTGCTTGTTATCCTCTCTAAGGCTTCAATTTTAGAGCTTGGTATCTCATACATCATCATAGGCCAGATTAGCCTTGGAAGTAAGGCATGCTGGTATAACCAGGCTTTGAACTTCCCAGGGAGATTGCTTTTGTCAATTTTCTTAAGCCCGTCTTCCACCTGGTTTTCTAGCTTCTTGACATTGTCACCATCTTGCAAGCTTGCATCAAACCACTTCCCTAGGCACTACAATAAATTACTATCAGATTAACACTTGATCATCGTCAGTTACCCACAGTTTATACTCTGTAAATACTACATTATCAAATCTATTTGTATCTTTTGACATATACCGCAAATTTGAAGCTAGTTACTTGTATTACATAGGTCAAATCTGTATTCTTCCAACAAATGTAAAAAATAAAAATGTGAAGTCTTCTACTTCTACATATCGTACTGCTTTAAAATCGTTTTCGATCACTGTAAGCAGGTATACATTGTATACATTAAAGAGACAGATATGAGATACAAGGGAATCCTGGAACCAGTCCCTAGCTCTTATTGAATAGACCCCTTGGTTCTTTTACATGCCCAGTGTATAAGATTAACGTGTATAGCACTGATACATGTGAGGATTACCTGGATTTCTTACCAGTACACCTCTAGGTAGGTGGGAAACTCTGAAAGTGTCTCTGAAAAATCCCAAGGGTGTAACCCAGGATCGAACCCGGGACCTCAGGAGTGATAATCAGTGGTTTAACCAACTGAGCTACCACGCCACCTATAAATACTGTACGGGAAGTCAAAGGCTGTAAGCCTGGGCTTTTGATTGCCCGGCTATAAACTATATGTGTATATTTAAAAGGAAATCAAATAAAAAACAATTAAAAAAATATAAAATTCTCTACCCATCAGTCAAATTTTCAGTATCTTTTTTAGTTGGGCGCCATAATCTTTAATGTAACTCAATGATAAATGCTAGGATATTCCGATAACATAGTAATGAAATACTGGACGACACTGTTAAAACAAAAATATAAAATTAAGAATGTTTTTCTCTGACTTAGCCATTCATAGACTTTGCTTACTTTCATACTAAGGAAAATGCATGATTTTTATTATTCAAAACTAGATGGCTCTCACTTAAAAATTTATAAATAAATAAGCAAATTACATATTTTCATAATGTGTTTTGTTATCCATACTTTATGTCTTTAATGATGAAAGCTTTCAAATTTACTATTTTCAGCTTACTAATCTTGAGGTATGACATTAAAAAATTAAATATCAAGGTTTAAAAAACAGGTGTAAAATTGTTGTAATCAGGCTTTGACACTTAATACTTCTTGAGCAACTTGTCAGTATGACCACTTGATTATAGAAGTCAGTTTGTCCTCCATCTTTCAGTTTGCCTCGCTGTCCTGTTATCACAGTGTCTGGCTATTATGCTGTCCTGTTATCACAGTGTCTGGCTATTATGCTGTCCTGTTATCACAGTGTCTGGCTATTATGCTGTCCTGTTATCACAGTGTCTGGCTATTACGCTGTGCTGTCCATCTCAAGACTGACAAAACAGAGGAATGTGGAGGGACATATTTTTAGTTTATTCAATCAGATACTATTTTTTTTAATGATTTATGTTAATAAGAGTGTATTAATAACATTGTGGAGTTGTGATGATTCCTTTCTCATTTAATTGAGAAAAAAAAATGCAAAAGACATCAACAAGTAAAATGAAGTGGTCTGACAGACTAGATGCTTAGAAAATCAAATGGTCTACTTCAAAATCCAGGGGTCTAATAGACCATTGGACTACGCTTATGTCAAGGCCTGACATTCAATTTCCATGCAAACAATTTTAGTGTAATAGAATCAAATGAATAACAGTCATACTCATATACTTGTAATGTGGTAATATATTAATAAGCAGTTGAATAAGTTGAATGATACATTGTAGGCAATTACTAAATTTCAGAGTCATCATGTGTTGAGGTCTGTCACAAACCTTTCCGACATTGTGTTGTACCAAACTTTCTGAAGGATCAGGAAACTGTTGAAGGATTACAAGATGAATTGTTAGATCTTGAATTCTCTGAGAAAAATAATGACCTCTACAAATTTCACCAGGTAAATGAATAAAGTCGAAATTGAACAGATATGTTAGACAGCTTGCTATGTTACCTGTGATGTTTTACGATTATAGTTTATCAAATTTTATGATCAGTAACTATCTATCAGATCTGATACAATAAAAGCAATGAAGTCTTTTTAATATTGATATTGACAAAGTATTATTAGTTATTTACAGGGTACAAGGTCTGATTATGATTTATTTTTTAATTGCAAGTCTTTTAGCCTATTTTTTATATAATTATTACAAGAAATTAACTGATAAATTAATTGACTAATTTACTTATTAAGAGACTATTTAATTTATATTGTTGATATGTTTTACTAGACCATTTGTTAAAAGATACCCCAGTACATTCTTAAGGTAGCAAAAAGTTATCACAGTCATAGTGCCTTTATTTCAGAGCACTGAAGATCTGAAAACTGCAAAAACTGAAAATATAATGTCCTTCAGGTAAATATGATATATATCGTGTAAATACAGTTTTTTATAAGTTTCTGTAAGTTAAAACTTGACATATTTTCCTAGATAGTATTTTTTTAAACAATAACATTTTAGATTAATATTGTACTGACTTGTCATTTTACATCATTTATTTGTTTGAATGCAAATATGTGTTGAGCCACACCCTTATTGTGATTTTCATAAATATATAAATGATAATATAAATAAATAAATTTGGCAGTATTTTACATGCAGAGCTTATTGTTACAATGACTATCAATTAATACCAGTAATGGAAAGAAATGGTCTACTTGAGCACAAGATGTAATAGTTAGAAAAACATAATGACATAAGGAATTCAGGTAAACAATCCTTTTTGAATAAGAAATAATGTATACATTTTATGTTTTATTACAGGAAAATGTTATGTGACACATTTAGAGACTGGTTGATACAGGTGACTGGTATAACACTGAATGAAACAATAGATGCATTTTGTGCTCAATATGTACATACAGGTTGGTTCTTAGATATTTTATCCCTTCATTGTTACAGTAATTAATGCATTTATCAACATTTTATGAATGGTTAAGGTTTATGCATTGCATAAATTGGAAGTGAGATTTATTTCCAGTTTAATGCATTTTTCCCTTACAGTTATATTTCTTGTATGTTTAAGGACTGTAAGTAGAGCTAGTTTTGTCTGATATATGTTTAAGACTGAAATAATACTGAGACAGATGAAGTGTTATTACACTTCTCATAGTCATGTCATTTATTGAATAATACATGTAAATAAAAAAGATGTGGAAAAAATATTGTTTTCTGTGTGTTTCCAATATTATGTTATAATAATAAACTATATGTGTATATAGATTGATGTATTTTAGATACCTTGTTATGTCATGATGATGAGCTTGAGGGGCGGAGAATAGCGTACATTTATTATCTGGTCGATTCTTGGTCACAGGAAGATGGTGGATGTTTGGATCTCTTTAATGTTGATGGTATGCTGAATGTTTTCAATAAATTTCATGAATATATTTTAAAATGTTAACTTTATATTCCCTTGCCATAAAATAATGGGAGAAGGGGCATCATTTAATGAAAGCCTTGTCCGTTTGTGCTTCTTATTATAAAATGTGTGGATTTATCTCTCTGTTTGCCCCAAAGGTTGGCATAGGATACCTAGGTGGTTACCAGAGCAAATGTAACAGTAAACATTTTTTTATGCTTTTGATGCTATTGGATCAGTAAGCCCTTATGTGGCCTTATTTTCTCTTACCTGACTAAAACACAATAAGGAGAACAAAAGTGTAGCCACATATTTTTCTGTCCACTTTCTGCCAGGGCCATAACTTTGTTATTCATGGATGGATTTTGAAATAGCACATTGAGATGATGTGTCAAATGTCAGTTCAAGGTTTGTTGGCCAAACAAGGCCACACTTAGACTTGAAAGGAAGTTTTCATTAAAGTACAAAATGTACATTGAAAGTTCTGTTTGTTCCACAAATCTGTCATTCCTGGATGGATTTTTTGAAATAACATGGCAAAAGTGTGTTTAACATGACGATATTGCATCACCGGTAAGACACAGGTCTCTAACCCAAAAGATCAAGGTCAAACTTGTACCTACAAAGTCATAATATGATTATGAAGAAATGGTAATGTCTAGAACACTACTTTTTATCATCAGTAGACATATTTTAAAATAAGTTATTCATAAATGTTTTGTACATTAAGCTGATGTGTGTTATGCATAACTAAGGCTTATAGCTAGCTTAAAGGTGAAGGTAACACATATCTTAAAAGAAAAATGAGCCATGTCACGACAAAACCAACATAATGGGTTTGCGACCAGCATGGATCCAGACCAGCATGCGCATCCGCGCAGTCTGGTAAGGATCCATGCTGTTCGCTATCAGTTTCTCTACTTGTAATAGAGTTGGTAAGCGAACAGCATGGATCCTGATCAGACTGCGCGGATGCGCAGGCTGGTCTGGATCCATTCTGGTAGCAAACGTACTATGTTGGTTTTGTCATGATGCGGATCAAATATGTTCTTATTTTTGCTATCCTTATAACATTGTTTTGATATTCATCGTTGTATTGCAGAAAATATACAGCCAAATGAAGTGGTGAAATCTATTCTACCAGTGAGAAATAATTTTGTATTTTTTGAAGTGACACCTGGCTCCTATCACCAGGTAAGATTATGTAATGATTATAATTATACATTTATAGTATCACTTGCAAATAGATTGTTACCAAAAGGCATATCATTATTTAGGCATTGAACAAGGAAGTACAATGTACCTGTTTACCTGAATCATACAGTGTTTCTGCCAGCTCTGATTTTCTGAGGGTCTTTTATGAACCCCTGTATGATATTTTAGGGGTCATTTCAAATTCATAAGGGTCATGCCAATAAATTTAACAAAAATGTAAAAAAACAACAGGTAACACTTTATAAGTTTTATTTTCTAAGGACTAAGGCACTTTACTTCTTGCCAGAGAACATTTATGTACCATCATGTAGTCCAACTATATGTGAATAAAAATATTGTTAAATACTTGTTTTTGTATTATATTTTTAAATAGTTATTTCAATTTTTTTGTCAATTTATTCACCTGTATATATCATCAACAAAATTACACCATTTATACTGTGCTCCTCTTAGTTCACGGTACTTAATGCTTTGAAACCAGAAAGAAAACAACAGATGAATCTTATGGTACAAAAATTGTCATAAGCAATAACATATATTTATCTATATCATATCTAGGTATTTTCTGCTGTAATGGCACAAGGAAACAACATTATATTCAGGCATGTCAATGTTAATGGACCATACGTAGACCATATGGCGGCTATTTTGAAAATAGTATGTCATCATTTAAATCGCGGTAATGGTGTTACATTTCATGTTTTTCATGCTTCAGTTGAAATTTCTACATGTTATTTTGCTTGATTTTAAATGTTAACATTATCCTTACTTTGTAACTCAAAATTTATTTTTTCAACAAACAAGAACATTTAGAAAATGATGATTCTTTCAGACGTATGCACAAAGTTAACGGACTATTGTTGCTTTTGGCAGAAATCTGTAAAATGTTGTTGTGTTTTACATAAAAATCTTGAGATTTATTTTTTTTTGCACAAAAGCTTTGGTGTATGAATAAAATATGTCAATTCTGACCAAGTTTAACACCGGTCGTTTGAAAATATGCCATTACCGTGAATTAAGTGATGACGCGGAATTAGTGATGTTGAGTATATAATGGATTGTTTTTCTTTCGGGGAATTAGGGTCATTGTCAACATTTTTTTATATGATACTTCTTGATGGTCATGGACAACAATATTTTGTGTAATTTTCGTAAAGAAATTGGTCAATCTCCACTATTTTAGAGCAGACGGCATTTTCCAGCAGACAGTTAATTCGTTTGCGGAATATGACGACAACAAAATAAATAATTTTGTCTGGGCGCTTTCAATATATGCAGTATCGTATAAATGAAAGCGTTTATTAACTAGTTGAAATTGGCTAAATGCCGGACCACGGACCCGGTAAATTTCATTTCTCATTAAAATTATATAGTGGAGCCCACGATAAACATTCCGTACATTTTATTTCTGTATATCTGACTCGTGTTGAAATCAGCGACGGTGAAATTCTTGCGTCACAAAATACGCACTAACTAAAATTCATTGCGTCATGGCCGAAAATAGTGCGCCAAAAACGCGCTCTGGCAGAAACACTGATCATAAACTTTTTTGCTTCAAATAAATGATTAAATAAGCACCTTTTGCATGATTTTATTTACTAAACTTATTCATTTATATTGCTTCAGTGGCTATTAAAAAGTTTGACTTTATAGTATCTTCATAAATATTGCCCATAAAACCACTTTTATAGTATGTTCATAAATATTGCCCATGAAACCACTTAGTAAAGACATTAAATATTGCCCATGAAACCACTAAGTAAAACATTAAATATTGCCCATGAAACCACTCAGTAAAGACATTAAATATTGCCCATGAAACCAGTTTGTAAGACATGAAATATTGCCAATGAACATGAAAAATTGCCAATAAAACAAGTTTGTTAGACATGAAATATTGCCAATGAACATGAAATATTGCCAATAAAACCAGTTTGTAAGACATGAAATGTTGCCAATGAACATGAAATATTGCCAATAAAACCAGTTTGTAAGACATGAAATATTGCCAATGAAACCACTTGGTAAGACATTAAATATTGTCCATGAAACCAGTTTGTAAGACATGAAATATTGCCAATGAAACCAGTTTGTAAGACATGGAATATTGCCAATGAAACCAGTTTGTAAGACATTAGATATTGTCCATGAAACCAGTTTGTAAGACATGAAATATTGCCAATGAAACCAGTTTGTAAGACAAATAATATTGTCAATGAAACCAGTTTGTAAGACATGAAATTTTGCCAATGAAACCACTAAGTAAGACATTAAATATTGCCCATGAAACCAGTTTGTAAGACATGAAATATTGCCAATGAAACCATTTTGTAAGACATGAAATATTGCTAATAAAACCAGTTTGTAAGACATGAAATATTGCCAATGAAACCAGTTTGTAAGACATGGAATATTGCCAATGAAACCAGTTTGTAAGACATGAAATATTGCCAATGAAACCAGTTTGTAAGACATGAAATATTGCCCATGAAACCAATTTGTAAGACATGAAATATTGCCAATGAAACCAGTTTGTAAGACATTAAATATTGCCAATGAAACCAGTTTGTAAGACATTAAATATTGGTAATGAAACCAGTTTGTAAGACATGAAATATTGGTAATGAAACCAGTTTGTAAGACATGAAATATTGCCAATGTAACCAGTTTGTAAGACATTAAATATTGCCAATAAAACCAGTTTGTAAGACATTAAATATTGCCAATGAAACCAGTTTTTAAGACATGAAATATTTTCCATGAAACCATTTGTAAGACCATTTTGTAAGACATGATATTGAATTGAATTTTGTAAGACATAAGATATGCAAAATTTGGTATGGTAAATATTGAAAAAAATTTTTAAATAATTTTGGGAAAAAGGAAAATTTGGGTTTAAAAAAAATTGAAGTTTAAATATTCCCATGAAAAGGGAAAATTTTTTTAAAAGAAAAAAAATTTTAATCAGTGGGTTTTTTTCATGTCCATACAGAGACCCGTCTTATTAGAAAACCCCCCCAACTTATCATATGGCTCTATAGATGTTGTAGAAGTTATCTAATTTTTAGAGAAAATAAATTTTTTTATGTTTTTTCTTTATAAAAAATTTTAAAATAGAACTTTTAAATGTATAAGCTTTACTGGGGATTCCCCCTTTTTTGAAATTTTGAAATGTGTTTTAAAAAAATTAAAAGCTAAAATTGAGAAGTCATCAGTATGGAGTCTGGTCAAACTGGTCTTTAAACCATTGGCCAAAGCAAGTCATTTTTAATGGTTAGATCTTGAGTAATTCCATTTAGTGATTTTATGTTGTATTCAAGCTTATGGTTTGAACTGTTAACTGTATTTGACTGAAAAAGTTTGTCTTACTGTCTTATTGTCCAACAGATAAACATTTTCAAACTGTTTAGTTGAGTTTACAACGTCTTTGTCATGGGAAGTGACAGCCAGTTAAAGGGAGTGGTGTCCTAGTGGTTAAGGTGTTTGCCTTACAATCCAAGAGCTGTGGGTTCAAGCCTTACTGGGGTAATGAACATGTTTCCTAATAGGACACCGGTACTGGTTAGTTCTAGAAAGCAGACCAAAGAGGTTTTTTTATTCCCATGTTTATTCAATTTGCTTGAAATAGAATCTTGTAGATTCATTTTTCATTGATACTTTTTCAGGATGATATATTCTTTGACTGGATAAACCCAGTATATCTGAGTGTTGGTGCTCAGGGCAGTATTCAAGAGAAATTTGAAAATGAATCTGAAATTGAATTACAAGATTTTCTTCAGGTATTGTGCTTCATTTTACTTTGACATGAAATTTATTTACTATTGTTATATGGCAGCAACATATTTTAAATGTACCGGTAACCCATGTTGTTATCTTTTTAATTTCACATTTCACAATATGTTGTTTTAAAAAGTGAGGTACATTATATATATGATAGTTATATTATATGTTCATTGATACTCAAATGATTAAAACCTGAAAGTAAATACAAGTACATTGCTTATAAAGTTCATTAATAAAATGATCATGAGCTAAATACTCTGTTTCAGAAAGACAAGTATGAAGCTCTTTTAGAGGCTTTGAAATCTTCCAAAATGTGCTGGAAAAAAGTAGGACCATCTAACAAAAGGTATCTGTTGTAGAGAATTTGTAAAATACAAATACATGTATATTAAAATTTAAGAAAAAATGGCAAAAACACCAAAAATCACTTGTACTGTTAGATTTGTACTGTTGAATAATAAAATCTTAGAAGCAGTGGTCTAGTGGTTAGAATGTTTGCTGCTCAATCAGAGTGAACTAAGGGTTGGAGCCCTATTTGGGTCTGAGAAAGACTGAAAAAAGGATTGGAGCACCACACTAATACAGTATTCCGGTTTATACCGAACCAGGTGCTTGAATGATTAAATGCTAAAATCTTGCCTTTTCATCCATCAAAATCGATTTAAAGACTCCTAATTCATCACTTTAAATCGATTTACTGCTTATATATAAAAATGTAAAAATCAGCAAAAAAAAAGTAGTATTTGTCTATTTTGTGATCATGATTTCTGTAAGTGTCTAGAGGTTCTGCTCCAACACTGTATTGAGTTAAATCCTTTGGGTATTGAGCATGCTTCTACATGTGACACCAGAATTGGTTAGCTCCAGGAAGTGGACACAAACATGATTCATAAAAGTTACACAATTAAGTTTCAGTATATATGTTTAAACCAAACAACATGCAACAAAATCTTGAAAGTAGATTTTATTTTTTCATTTTCCTATATTAGTTTGATCTTGGATACATATTTCTGTTCAACAGGTGCTACAATCAGGCAGACGACACTAGATTACCAGACATTGTTCAGACATGTATCGATCTGTTCAAATCAGATGCCATGTTTCTATTGTTGTCAAATATGTCCGGCCTTAAACTGCATGAGTTGGCTGGAGGCAGTTCTGAATCCGAGTCTGAAGTAGAAAATGAGGAATCTAATCCTGAATCACAGGGGTCTTCATCTGCAAAATCAAGAACAAAGACAACAGAAACAGAAGAGGATAATGGGGATACTTCCACCAGTAATAGTGCTAGCAATACAAAAGATAAAGGTGCACTTATATAATTTTAAACTAATTTTTAATTGCCATGTTACTTATGTCTTAATTAAGGCAGAACAGTGAGATTATAACATGTTTATTAAATCAGTAACTTGCCAATAATAATGTGTTGTGAAATTGTCCTGCTTTGAATATATTTATAACTGTCCAATCATTGTAAGGTATTTCGAGAAACTAAACTACAAACAGTATACATTTTGATAAGACTGTGTAACTGATCTGTCTAAGTTCTGGTGTTATAATAAATTTTGTAAGTCTGATTTTGTCCCTGAATTGTTTAGCGTTCTCCCAAACTTATTTGCCTATATTCATATGCATAGTTTTAAAAATGACTATATTCTAAGATTTCCATTGGAAAAAAAATTAAAAAGATTTTAAAATGGTTCTACTGTAAGCATACAAACATGTATATACAAACTATAAGTATTAGGGTAAATAAATATATCAAACATCCTAGTTACAATTTACATAAATGACCACCAAATCAGGAAACCTTTTATTAGAACATAAAGCAATGACATAATTTTCTGACATTTCAGACACATCCTGTACTGCCAAGTGCCGGGCTGAAGTAAGACACTGGAATCATAAATGTTATACCCTGGTACATGACACTGACACCGAGGGGTCACAGTTTGCTCTTGATGTTATGTTTTATCTGGGTTGTCAAGGTATATCTTCCTCTTTCTAGAGAATGCACCATCTGGTTAATTTTTACTTGTGTATATTTTTTTCTTTAACTCTTTCATAGGTATAAAGATATATGTTGTTGAAATTTTCTTCATTTAAAGTATGTTTTTTTTTTCAACAATTTTCATCGGACCTTGTTAGATTTCTAGGAATCATTTCATGAAAATTTGTATGAAGTAAGAGGTCAATACCAGCCTAATTTATAGAAATTTTTCTTGTTTTACTCACTGTGACCTATTGTATCATGATGGTAATTTAATGTATATGGTTAAATACCAGGTATTTCACATTTGATCACATACGACGGCTGTTCCAAAATGTCATAGACAAAGACAGTCACTTTATCAGATATAACACAATGTATTGATTCAGTTAAAGGTTAAATGAGGCCATCATGAATTCTGTCAGTCAACATGAAAGTTTTTCATATACATGTAATTATAAGAATCATATTCAGAATAAAAAGCTTGTAATCAGGTAGCTTACTAACAACATTCAGTAATTTTGTATCGTGTGCCAGGTTAGTTTTACTGTTTATGATTTTAACATCATACAATGTGATATTTTAGATATTGGCTTTTTAATTCTTAATATGAATGGAAAAAAATCATGAAGAAAACAAATAAATTTTCTTCAGAAGTGGCATAGGGTTCAATTGAGAGTAACATTGTCTACAACATTTTGGGACAACCCTTGTACTTCAGATAGATACAAAAAAGTGTTGTCTGATTTACTCAAACCACATATAGTAGCATTTTGTAACAGCAATATTTGTTCATTGGTTGAATTGATTTCTTTAGTTTATTTATCTTATGCGCTTACTATCATTATTTTAGATTTAGTATATTGATCATATAGAGATATAGTGAATTTATGCTATATTTTAGACTGGGAAATGGATTATGGAGGATTTACATCTTATATTGCCAAAGGTGAAGATGAGGAGGTAAGAAATAAAATTACAAAATATACATTTGAGCCGCGTCACGACAAAACCAACATAGTGCGTTTGCGACCAGCATGGATCCAGACCAGTCTGCGCATCCACGCAGTCTAGTCTGAACGGGATCCATGCTGTTCGCTTACCAACTCTATTACAAGTAGAGAAACTTATAGCGAACAGCATGGATCATGATCAGACTGCACAGATGCACAGGCTGGTCTGGATCCTTGCTGGTCCCAAACCCATTATGTTGGTTTTGTCGTGACGCGGCTCATTTAAGCTTGATTAAGTTTTTTTCAGATTTTTAAAAAATAAAAGGTACATTTGTGTGCATTTATGTTTTGATTATATAGCTCTCATTGATTGTATATAATTGTAGTTGTATTACACTCTACAGGCTCAAGGAGATACAACTTTACACAATCAACTTTAGGTGTATAATCCTCCAGAATAGCACTTTTAATATTCACTATGTACAATAATTGAAGACAATTTTTTATAGCGTTTCATAACAGCAAGACTTTTTCCTTGGTTTTTCATTGATTTCTGTTGTTAATGTATGGACTTACTATAATTATTTTAGATCTAGTATTTTAATCATTAGAGATAAAGTAAATTTATGCTATATTTTAGACTAGGAAATGTACAACCATCTAGAACAGCACTTTTAATATTCTCTACAATGATTGAAGACAATAATTTACCAGAAATTATTTTATTCATGATGAGATACATTAAGGCAATATTAGTACTGCCAAGTCTTTCATTGAAATAAATTTCAAAACTTTTGATCAAATGAATATTATTAACTTAATTTAAAAAAAAATTTTTTTTATTACTATAGCTATTGACAGTGACACCACAACAGAATTCTCTTGCCTTGGTGTACAGAGACCAGGAAACATTACGATTTGTGAAATATCTCAACACAGACGTGAATAAAATGCCAGAGAAAGGATTTTATGATATATCTGCTGTATACTATGAATAAAACTGATTTTATATAAAATCCAGTTATTTGTCATGAATGGTGGTTTGATAATTTCCTTGGTAGTTCACCGGAGCATATCTTGCTCAAAGTTGAGCTATTGTGATCACTCGTTGCCTGGTGCCAATCCATTTGTATGTCTGCCCCAGCCACTCTTTTCTTTAAATACATGTACATGTATTTTCTAAATTGCTGAAACTTCATAGGAATGTTCCTTGGGTGAAACTTTTTCTTAAGTTTCTTAAAGTTGTTCCCATGCAGTACACTGGTTATCATGGCATCCAAAATTAAAACTTTAAAAATATTTTTTTAAAAACTTGTTTGTATAGTTTTAATACTATTTCACAAAAATGATCCTTTGGTCTACAAACATTGTTAAAATCATTTTATATAGTAAAAAAGACATGACCGATATGGTTTTGGGTTACTTTCTGGTGTATTCAGGAGGCAATGAAAATAACTTTGGTTAAACTTGTTGGTCAGATACTGTTCTGTTTTTCTTCAGCAATCTTAATGAATCCCCTCAATAATTTTGTCGGATCTTATGTGTTAGACCAACCTATATATTTACGTCAATACATTTTGTGTAGGAAAATACAATTAAGTCTTATTTTGGTGAAACTACATAGCCAAGAGTTTAGATATTTGTCATACAGCATTGTCTTGTTGGCCTCTAGAAAATTAGTATTAATCATGCCCCTTAGGTCAAGGTTGCACCTACCCCCCGCCACCCACCCCAACCCACACACCTGGGTCACTTACTTGATATGTAGTCTTGTATGAGAAAACACATTTCAGTATGATTTTTTGAAACTACAATACCAAGAACTAAGATGTTAGCATATAACATAACCTGGATGTCTTCAAATTTGATATAATTGTCTCTGGGGTTGATTATTTTTACAAAGTTAAATTCTGTGTATATTGCCCTGGCGTAATTTGCTGTGCTCTTGTTTTAATTGTCAGATTTAATGTGATGCTATGTCCTGCTTATATTGCTTATTATTCTAAAAAACCATATTTACCTTTACTGAATTCTCTAAATGGATTTGGATGCTTTTAATTTTTGGAACTGTACTATCAATTTTGGTGATGTTAAGATGAAATTTCAAAGATTCAAAATCCCACAATTTGGAAGTCTCACCTGAAAGACTGGTTTTAATTAGAGTCGGTATAGCAAGGAATCAAACTTGCGACCCCCTTGATTTGTAGTAACACAGTGTTACCACTGAATTACTGCATCCATTCTATCATAACCTTCTGGCAGCTGCTAAATTTTTTAAATTGACTGTTCCAGCTGTCATTTTAAGAACTATCCATAATTAGTCCCCTACCAGTTTAACCGGAGGGGACTTTAGGTTTACCCTCCGTCCGTCCGTCTGTCTGTCCGTCCGTCTGTCAGTCCACAAAACTGGATCCCGCGATAACGCAAAAAGTACTTAAAATATTTTTATGAAACTTGATATATGGATAGATGGCAGTATGGAGATGATGCACGTCTTTTTTTTTCTTCCTATGTTGAAAATTCTGGTTGCTATGGCAACAAATAGTCTGAAAATATGGCAAATTTAACACATAAACTGGATCCAGTGATAACTCAAAAAGTACTGAAAATATTTTTATGAAACTTGAAATATGGGTAGATGGCAGTCTGGAGATTATGCACATCTTTTTCTTTTCTTCTTATGTTGAAAATTCTGGTTGCTATGGCAACAAATAGCCTGAATTTCAAGATTTCTGATTTAAATTTTTCAGATTTCACCCTATATATTCTTTATTTCTTAAGGTGTTTACTTCAAACTTTAAATATAAGTTTCTGGTCATCAACCACATCATATGTGACAAGGTTTATAACTCTAGCACAAAAAATATCAGTATTACCTCCCTTGAACTTAGATTTTTTAGGGGAAAAAATGTTGTCTTTTTTAAATAACTTCTTTATTTCCTAATGTATCTACTTCAAACTTCATATATATGTTTCTTATTATCACTCAACATTTTTGAGAAGGTTAAATACTCTAGCAAGACTATTTCCAGAATTATGTCCCCCTTGAACTTAGATTTTTTTCGAGAAACTGGTATTTTCACTCCAACTTCTTCATTCCTTATAGGATTTACTTTAAAATCCCACATCGTAATAATATGACAAGGTTGTATAAACATAATTTCCTTACTAAGCATGGAAACTTAACACATTACTGTGATATAGACAAACTTATTTTATTATGTTTTGTGGTCGATATTTTCAAATACAGACTTCATCCTCAAATTCATTATAAATGGCAATACACAGGAGTGTATGACAATTAAAGAACTTTTTGAGGGACCGGTAGGGGACTACTGTATTGCCCGCAATACTATCATATGCTTGTTATTATTTGGGGTTAAAATTTAATCAACCAATTACAAATATTGACCCTGGTCAGACCTATGCAGACTGTCTTGGCTCTATACTGATAGCAAAATCTCATGAGTTTTGTTTCCAGCAGGTTCAGCTAATACAGCAGCCATAATCCCTTAATCCAATTGTACCTGTCTATTGGTGACTGCTTAGGGGATCAATTTTAATTGATTGATAGTTGATGGTAAGGATCACAGCATGAAAGTATTGCCCCTAGCATTATAACTGCACAATAGTTCATACGTAACTGCATGTGTGACCTTGACCTTAAATGGCTGGCTCATGCCCTCTGCACATATCATCTCAGTAGACAAAACATTTGAGACAAGTTTTGTGAAAAACTGAAAATCCTTCACAGAATGTGAGAAATATGGAGTGGAGGACAGACGGAATGGCGGATGGACAGACCAAGGGCATTCCAAGAATTCCCTCCTGCTTCGCGTAGGAGGATTAAAAATGAAGAAAGCAGTGAAAATCTACATTTATTTAATAATTCAATGCATCAAATTCATTTCCTTATGTCATATCACATACATTGAAAAAGTGATATAGAAATACATCTGTACAAAAATACACGAAACATGAAACCTGTAAACCATAAACAACTATCATAACTTAATACATGTAAATGGCATTTAATTAAGTTGATATGCCTGATGACACAGCTTCAGTTAACCCTTTACCTCATATATACGCGAAACAATGCACTTTTGAGATGTCCCCTCGTTGCCATGGTAACAGGAAATTTAAGACTGAGCATGTCCTTACAAAGGCAATGGTCCAGTCAACATTTGTGCCAAGTTTGATTAGTATTGAAGCATTTTTCATAGTTTCATAGCAGTTTGAACTTGTAACAGGAGGCTTTTCACTGAAAACGGCCATTTTTCACAATATGCTCATGTGGGAAAGGGTTAACAACACAAAAGTCTAATTTTGCCATTATGAACAAGACATTAACATCCATATCATTTTGCCATATATTTTACAAAAATGTTTCAAGTAACAGTAATTAGTATGAGAGGGCTGCCCCAGAAAGTAGTGGACTAAAAGAAATATGCCTGCTCCTGAAATAATTTTGAACACATTGTGTTATTTATCAGTCTAAAGTAAAATAAGACAAACACACACAACTAGTGTATCCTTCTTAGGGGTGAATACTTTGAAAATGAGAAATATTGACATTATATATGATTATGATGTTGCAGCTTTGGGTCCCATTGTGCAAAAATGTTATAATTTTTACTGAAGCCTGTTGAATATTTTGTATTTTTATCAAGCAATTGCCATTGTAACTGCCCAATAACACTTGCCTGATAATTATTTTCAATATCAGGTAAGTGATATCAAAAAATAAGCCCCGCCCATTTTAACGGACTTGTTTTAATACCTTATAATTCCCATTTTTATCAGCCTTTCAATTCTTCAATTTTATCTCATACCCTGACAAGTCTTGAATCAAGATGTGATATTTATTGTTTTTATTTCGTTTTCAATTAAGAACAAATGAGATAGTGAATAGTTAACCTCCAGCTTAATGAAGTGATGTCATAATTTATTTTGCAAATGACATGTCCCTTCACATTATTATTATTGTATAAACATAAGAAACTAGAGTAGACCATTTTCTCGGACAACATGTAAATTTATGTTTACTTTGTTTTGATGGATTGTTATTAAATAAGTGAGCAAATTATTTCGTTCAGAAAATAAGAGGCATGTTTGTGTACCTTGTGTTTGATTGCTGATTTGACTTTGATTGAAACTGAAATAATGGTGAACTTTTGAATTTGATATGCCCAGGGGAAAAAATGCAGTAAAGTTTATGTGATTCATAGGGATAGTTTTGGATCGATGTTTAAAGGTAAGAATCTTATTTTATTTCAATGTGTGTTGTATGTGTTGTATCTATTATCAATGGAAATTATCTCAAGTTGAATGAAAAAAATGGCCGCCACATAAAAATTCTAAACTTCAGGGGAGGAGGAATTTGTTTTCAAGAATTATTTCTTTGAACAAAAATGCCACTATCTACAAAATTCGTTATGTAGAGGTAACTTTTTTTCTAATTTTTACATTTATGTGTTACATGATAAATAGGAAAGCATGCTACTGTTTTTGAACCAATTTTATCAGGCTCGGCTAATATAGGCAGAAAGGGCTGGAAAGCCTTGCCCCTTTCTAGTCCATATCAGCCTTACCTGATAAAATTGATATCAAAAAACTGTAGCATGTTATCTCTATAAATACTGTTACGTATTGGGACAACCCTCATATTTTCCAAAGTATCTCATTAAAGCTCTAATTAATATGTCATATGGCTAAAATTTCCAGTTAATAAACATAATATCAATTTAAAAAAAAAACCTTTTTACAAATTATTTTACAGACAACAAAAAAAGAAAGAAAAAAAATTCTACAATATAAATATATGTGTCTACAGTAACAAAAATTTAATTACAAATATACAAAAATTGATTGTAAATTTATTGCAGCAGTACAAATATATCTTTATTGAGCTTTCAAAAATAATGAAACAAAAAAATGAACACATATTTATAGTAAATGACTACTGATAAACTGGTGAAATAAATTAATGCATAGGTTTGATATTCTCCTCGGCCCTACAGATCCAAATAAACTTATTCCGAATTTAAAAATATTTCAAGTTTTTTCCCCAGCTAATCCGTAGGTACAAACAAAATATTACAGTTACAGCTTCCAAAATTAGCGCAAATGGTTGACTAATCTATTGTGACTGGTAGAACACCGTGAAGCTGTAACAGTAAAGTTTGTTTGTACCTATGGATTAGCTGGGGAAAATCCACATTTGCCAAGTTCCGGATAACATTTATTGAAAATATATCATATGGGGACCAGTGTGAAAATATTTATTGGTCAATTTCAAATCAACAAATTAGATGCTTTCAAAGAACAATTTCCATTTTGGACCAAAATGCACATATTTTTCCTTTATGACAAAATTGAGCAAATCTATTGCGATTTAAATTTTAAACAGAACAAAACAAGAATCTTTACACAAAGGTTGTGACAACAAAATGTAAAAACTGTTACATAAGTTTAATATTATTTTCACTTTCTACAATTTGAGCATATTAATTAAAAGTAACATAAAAAGGAAAGGCACTAATTGAAAGATAAATTATGCTCAAATTCGTTATTTGAAAATACTGATAATTGCTGATACAGATAAAAGTCTCTTTTTAACTTTTAAATAAACAGCTTTTGAGCACACACAGAGAAGATATATTACGCTTTAAACTCAACACACTATTGGTAAACACAGTTGGAATACATAGTGTCATTAAAAAATCTGGCAATTTTTTGAAAAAGGACCAAATTTACTTGAACAGTAATAGAATATGTAGATTGCCATGCACAGTTTGTACATTCTTTTACTTCAATTTAGACATATTCAGTAAGAATTTCCTATATTTCAATTAAAGTATTTTAACCAAAGATGAGCATAGTATATATCTTCGAAACAAAATACAAGAAACACTACAGATTATTTGCTATATAAGTTCTTCATTTTTTTAAGATCTATTGACTTGTCATTGTTGGTTTTAATCCAGAAGTTAGCAATCCATTTTTCACCCTCTGTGACGGGACAACCTCCGTGTAATGTGTACTCATCGACCTCTCCCATCCAGTTTGTATCGTCGTCAATAAAATGATTATACCAGATGACTGCCTTTCCTTTTTTAGGAGGTACACGCAGTGTGGCATTCTCACAGTTCTTGTATAAATGATGAACTCCATCTATATGAGCTTTCTAAAATAAAAAATAAAATTACATTGAGGATATTGAATGAGTGAAGGTTCAATATGAAAATTACTGAATAAGTTGAATAAATTATATTTTGCGAGCCTCTGTAATAATATTATTATATTTTAATTTGTTGGAAAAATTTAGTAATAGACCATAACAAATGGAATATTTCATTTCCACATTCCTGAAAACAGTTTACAGTGAAAATAATCATTTTGTCCATTGATGCCCCTATAGTGTAACACAACATTCAGCACACTTTTATGCTATGGTTGTATAATGCAAATAATGTCATCCAAAAACATTTTGCAATACCATTTTTACAAATTTGAAAAAGCTGCATGCGTATGTGATAAAACCAATTATGTAATGATATAATCAATGTAATGGTATACTAGTAATTGTTATTAAATGCGTTTTTCCTAATCTGAAAAAACAACATGGCAATCTTTTTTATTAACATAAGTAAATGGGGTAAATGTGATCTAACATTGGGAGAAATTTGAAATATCCAACAAAGGAATGAAATTGAAGACATAAAATACCTACATTTTCATCTATACTTTCTTTGTTGGCAAATGGGAAAGCTGTTTCTCCTCCACTTTTAACTTCATTCAAGTAGAAAAGCACTGTCATGTACCTGTAAACAGAAGAGATATTATGGTTGAACAAACTTTTGCTATGTAATGATTATTTTTATGGGGTATAAACATGTATTGCAGAGATTTAGTTAGACCATGTACACTGTAATCATGTATTGTACAGATATAAGGGCTCGGGCAATGATATTGTTCATTGCTTTTTAACAGATACTTCACAGATATCATGTTAAGGGAAATATCATATTCACTGTACATAAACAAATATTTCACAGATATCAAATTATGGGAAATGATATTGTTCACTGCGTTTGAAGAGATATTTCAGAAATCTTACAAGGGATATAAGGGGAAATGCTATTTTTCACTGTGTTCACAGATATCATTTTAGGTTCACTGTGCTTTAACAGGTATTAGGGGCAATGATATTATGTTCACTTTGTTATAACAGTCATGCTAGTACAATGTCATTTGACAGTTATGTTTTTATAATAAAACTACCTGGGCCGTCACTGCAGGAAGCTATTTTACTTGATGCCCTGGATCATGCATATTTAAGAATGGCAACACAATGGTGAACAATCATGTGATTTTATCTGTAAATGCATGTTCTCCTCTCCATTAATGTATACCTACAATATGTGCACAGTTTTTAGGCTATGATAAATTGTCAGTAAGTTCCTCATAAAATAAAACATGTTGATATTTACCTGCAAATCCTACATTTACTGTAAAGTCCTCTATCACAGCATCTAACATCCTTTATGATATGGGAGGAGTCCAAATGAGCATTGTAGTGACCTTTAACCCCATATGTGACTACCTACATCAACAACAATAAATTTATATGAATGTTCTTAAAATATAATCATACTGACCTACCTTTTAAAAATACTAATATAGGTAAATTTAAATATATTGATTTTTGGTAGTACTGGTGTTTTTATTTAGGAAACTTGGTTGTCAACGAAGTAGGGCTAAAATCCATGGTCCCTAGGTTGAGAGGCAGGCAGTTATACCACTAGGACAGTGATCCCTATCCAATTTGGCCTTTCTCCTGGCTAGCTTTCCATCTCTAGTCATAATATTGACTGGACAAAATAATAAGACATTTGCTGGTTTTAAAATACATGTAGATAAATTTTAATATACATGTACTTTTAATATACAAAAAAAACAAGAGGGCCATGATGGCCCTAAGGTCGCTCACCTGTATATAGGCCCCCAGAGCGGGGCCAGTTTAAACCCCAAGGATTTTATTTGAACAAACTTGGAAGACACCAATTAGAAGATGTTTCATGATGTTAAGTTTTTACTACACACATATAATGAAAAATAATGACCTTCCCCCCTCTCTACCCCCCGGCAGGGCCAATTGTAACCCAAGGGCTTTTATTTGAACAAACTTGGTAGACACCCATAAGAAGATGTTTCATGCTAAACATCTAAGCTCTAGCTCATTTGGGTTTTTTAAAAGAAGATTTTTTAAAGTTTTTATTATACACATATAGTTAAAAAGAATGACACCCCTTGGGCGGGGCCAGTTTTGACCTCAGGGCTTTTATTTGAACAAACTTTTTAGACACTTACTAGAAGATGTTGCATGTTTAATATCTAAACTCTAGCTATTTGGGTTTTGTCAAAGAAGATTTTTCAGTTTTTGCTACACACATATAAGGAAAATCAATGACCCCCCGGGCGGGGCCAATTTTGACCCCAGGGCTTTTATTTGAACAAACTTTGTAGACACTCACTAGAAGATGTTTCATGCTTAATATCTAAACTCTAGCTATTTGGGTTTTTTAAAAGAAGATATTTAAAGTTTTTTCTTTGGTTGCCATGGCAACCAGAGTTCTGCATGGAATTAAATTCTTTGAACAATTTTTAAAGGTGACCACCAAAGGAACATTCCTGTAAAGTTTGGATGAAATTGGCTTAGCGGTTTATGAGGAGATGTCATTTAAAGTAAAAGTTTACGGACGGACGACAGACGGACGACAGACGAACGGCGGACGAAAAGCGATCACAAAAAAAAAAGAAGAGTATTGAAAAGAGTATTGTTGCTTGTCAGTGTTGGTGTGCTTAGTATGTACTTTGTCAAGAAATCTGTAGAGCATTATGATGAGGTAAAAGCTCTTAGATCAGCTTTTATAACGGCATATCTATAGAAATCAGCCTTAAAAGCCTTATCTTCTGTATCTATCAGTCTTTCAAACTACATGTATATCTTCTGAAATACTTTTTAACTTATAGTTGTATTTTACCTGAAAGTCACTGAGCCTTATCAAGTCCATTGGCAAATCAACCACTTGTGACACCCTGAAATGTATGATACATTACTGGTTAGAAGTAGGAGCTGATAGGTAAGACTTTTGTAAAGAGAATAATTCAAAACCTCAGATAATATTCCATACAGGTGTTATCATTCTTACATTTTGCAAGTCCTTATCAGTAGCTTATTAAGCGTATGCTTCTCATGTTATGTCCTTTAACCCACAATGTCATTGTTAAGATCATATTGATTTACCAGATTTACAAGCAGAACCAGTGACCCAGGCACCTGTGTAGAACTACTGACATTCTGTAACATGAAACTTCATATCCGTCAGGGATGCACATTTACTACTGGCAAATGAATCCATGTATGACAACTTGTGCATCCGGCAACAAAGGCTTTACTAATTTATTATGCTTATTTATAAATAATTCCTCACAGTTTCATCAGTGTTCATAACGAAAAAAAAGAGGTCATGTATTTCATGTTATTTCAATATAAAAGTGTTGTACAGAACACTTGATACCATTAATATGTAAAAAGACAGTATGAAGTTAGGTAATAGATTTGTACAGTTTTTCTTTATACATAGCAAACTGTGTCAAATTATCTTTTATTTATATGTCTATAAATGATTCAAACCTGGACTGTACGGCTCGGAATATAGTATCTGTAGATTTATCAGGGTAGAGCCATGCTTGCCGACTGTACCGCGAATGTTTCTCTGGATGCTTCTTGACAAATTCGCTCAAATATGTCTTCAACTGTTTTGGAGAAATTGTCATCTCTGCTTGTGTGATAAGGTCTATATAACAAAATAATGATAATAGATGAGAACACATCACAAATATATGAATCTGTCTACTACCAGCTACAAGTATATCCAAGTGCTTCAAATGGAGCAATTTATGAAAATCAGTGCTATTTCTTTAAATAACAATATAATGTAATGTTATGCCTGTAAGAATTTTGAAACATTCATTTTTTCTTCACATTATTTTATCTGTCATACAAGATATAAATGCTCATACTGAAAACAAATTTATAAATGATACAAAGTAAAATACAAGATATTTCAATTTGTAATTGGTGTTCAAATCTGCATCTATCTGCTGTTGTTGATGATAATGACAAGCATTACCATAAAACATTATCAAGATTTAACTTCTGTAAAAATAAATTCTCTAATAATAACTTGCCACTTTTACATTTCAAATTGTTTCACATTAATCATATACTGTGTTACTATGGTTACTGTTATACAGTTAAAGCAGGACACATTCATAATACATATTTAGCATGACAATGCTTTATTTGATATTTTCTAATTATAAAACCTATAAAGGATACTTGTTAATCAAGTTCAACAGCATTTAATTTTCCACATCAAAATCTACATATCTGTGATAATTTTAACTGAAATATATGGGTTTAGATTTATCAAGCACTTCTATTTTTATAGACTTTAGCTACGACTTTTTCCTGAAACTAACATGTTAATGATACACAGAATTAATACTGATAACACAAGTTTTAGAACAAGTAACATTTGAAACAAGCAATTATCATAGTATTGCAAGCAATCCATAAGTCCCCTACCGGTTAGAACCCCATCAACATTCTGAAAGGCCATTGGCTATTCACTAATGTTTCAATTTTTCTCTATTTTAAGTAAATTTGTTGGAAAAGTTCTTTAAAAGTGATCACAGGAAACATTTTTTATGAACAGACAGACAGACGGACTGAAGGACACTCTAAAGTTAATATTTGAAACATCCCTGTTACCAAAATATAACATTTTTAAAAGCAAAATTCTTAAAGAGGAGATAACTCTTGAATTAAAGATGCAATTTTAAAAAAAAAATTCAGCTCTTTTTAACTAATCACAAATATTGTTATATTTGCCATGTTTTAAGCCTATTTGTTGCCAAGGCAACCAATATTTTTTCAAAATAGGAAGAACAGATAAGACATGCATAATCTCAAGACTGCCATCTACCCATATGTCAAGTTTCATAAAAATATTTCCAGTACTTTTTGAGTTATCACTGGATTCAGTTTATGTGTAAAATTTGCAATATTTTCAGTCTATGTGTTGCCATAGCAACCAGAATTTTCAACATAGGAAGAAAAGAAAATGACGTGCATAATCTCCAGACTGCCATCTACCCATATTACAAGTTTCATAAAAATATTTCTATTACTTTGGCGTTAACACTGGATCCAGTTTATGTGTAAAATTTGCCATATTTTCAGTCTATTTGTTGCCATAGCAACCAGAATTTTCAACATAGAAAGAAAAGAAAAAGACGTGCATAATCTCCAGACTGCCATCTACCCATATTTCAAGTTTCATAAAAATATTTCCAGTACTTTTTGTGTTATCACTGGATCCAGTTTATATGTAAAATTTGTTGCCATAGCAACCAGAATTTTCAACATAGGAAGAAAAGAAAAAGACGTGCATAATCTCCATACTGCCATCTATCCATATATCAAGTTTCATAAAAATATTTTCAGTACTTTTCAAGTTATCGCGGGATCCAGTTTTGTGGACGGACGGACTGACAGACAGACAGACGGATGGACGGACAGACAGACGGACGGAGGGTAAACCTAAAGTCCCCTCCGGTAAACCGGTAGGGGACTAATAATGCTTTCAACTTTCCTTTAACTATGCTAATTTAAACCCCATAAGGGGCAAGCCATTGTTTCTTTGAGCAAGAAACTTTATATTCATTGTTTAGTACTGGTTGGTACCAGGAATGGATTCAAGAGTATTTCAATAAGTTTATAGTTTCCAACACAATCTAAATAAAATAAATGTATACCAACTAAACTATGACAATTATACAGGACTAATAACTTAAATATGGTTTCAAAATAACATTTCACTGGTCTAACTAATGTAAACGTTATGATAACTAGTAGTTTCATTATACATGTATTCACAGAATTTGCATCTGAGCAACATAAAATAATGCAGCAAGGTTAACAACAACAAGCTCTAACAACACAATGCAGGAAATCAAAAAGAAAAGTGTAATTTTAAGCATAGCAATAAACAAATATATGACTGAAGATTACTGCAACAATTATAAGAAGCCAAATTAGAATTTTTGACAAAGAACTATTTTAAATGTAAATAGTTCTGAACAGTAAACAAAGGTAACAAAAATTTTTAAACAGTAAACAAAGGTTAAACAAAAAATTTTAAACAGTAAACAAAGGTTAAACAAAAAATTTTAAACAGTAAACAAAGGTAACAATGATACCAGGGATGGCTAGGATATCACCTAGTATAACACTAAACTAACTGGAATTTTACAGCAAGATACTTCAAAAAGACAAAAGGTTGGTTTAATAAGGAGGATTTCATTCTCATGAGTTGCCCCGCTATCATGTATACAGGGGTATAGAAAAGCTCTGGCTATACTTCTGAAAACCACAGACATTTCATTAGCTAGCGTCAGTGTTCATGATTGTTACATGTAAATATTTCATTGCTGTTGAATGTGAATATTTAATTCTTGTGTTGCATGTAAATATTTAATTATTGTTTCATGTGAAGTGTTCAATCTTGTTACATATTAATATTTCATTCTTGTTACATGTGAATATTTCAATCTTGTTACATGTAAGTATTTCATTGTTGTTACATGTGAATTGTTCAATCTTGTTACATGTAAATATTTCATTCTTGTTACATGTACATGTGAATATTTCAATCTTGTTACATGTAAATATTTCATTCTTGTTACATGTACATGTGAATTGTTCAATCTTGTTACATATTAATATTTCAATCTTGTTACATACATGTGAATATTTCAATCTTGTTACATGTAAATATTTCATTATTGTTACATGTGAATTTTTCATTCGTGTTGCATGTGAATGTTTCAACAATATGTAACAATTCTTATGCATAAGAATATGTCATTGTTATTGCATGTAAGTAATTTCATTTTGATGAATGTGAATATTTTATTATTTTTGCATGTAAATATTTTATCACTGTTGCATGTGAATATTTCTTTGTTGTTGTACCTGATAATTTCATTATTGTTGCATGTCAATATGTAATTGTTAATTGTTGCATGCTAACTCTTCATTCTAGCTGAATGCATACAAACATTTCATTATTATTGCATGTGTGCATTTCATTATTTATGCAGTTTCTGCTGGCAGTACAAGAGGTAAAAAAAAGAGAGTGTGAAAAATTAGGAGAGAAAAAATGGTGATAAAAACTCACTGTCATTATTAGAATCAAGTTTGAGGTCCTTATACCTGTAACAGGATGAAGTCTATGAGTATATAATAAACAACATTTAGTAGAACCGAAATTATTATGTTTCTATATAAAAACACCAGCAACCAACAAGGATGTAAATGAATAAACAACTGCTACTTTCAAATGAATGCCATGCCACTCAAAAAGTCATTGACACTGTTGACTGAGACCATTGAACTCTAAGTGAGTCTAGCAAAAAGAGCGCATAAATCTGTGAAGTTTGAAGACTGAGGATGGAAGGACTTCAGTTTTATAACTACAGTAAATATTTCATATTTAGAGGTTATGACGACTTTGATCTTTGATCTGGTGGTTTGAGCGCTTCAATGTACATGGAAGAGCTTCTATTTAATGGCCATAGTTAATATTTGATACTTGAATGTCACAGTGACCTTGACCTTTACCCTATGACTTCTAAGTGGGTATGGTAGTATGAACTCATGAAGTTGCAGGTTTTCTTTTTGCAGTAGAACTAATAAAGGTGCACACACCTGTAAAAGGGAGGACTTCCTTGCTACAAATTTGACAGATTGACAAATAGGCGAACAGACAAACCAAAATTCAAAATGCTTTCCATTTCTTTCAATCTGGGGTCATAAAAAAACAAAACATTAAAATTTGTGCTTTTCATCCCATTACCAAGAAAAAAAATTTAATATGAAAATTTTTCTAACTTTTAACTAAAAAGAACTTAAGAAATAAAGTCATAATTATTGAAAAGAATACAATAAATAATAATAAGCACTGTTACTCCTTTGACAATAAATTGACTGAATGATGCAACTTAAAGTTAACAAAAGATAAAGTGAAAGATAGATAGTTTTTAATTTCAACATTCTGACTCACAGTATCAATGCACAATCCATGCAGAAAAAGCTGCACATACATCCAAAACTTATATTTAAACATGATTACTTACTATTTTTCACTTAAACCAGATAGAAAAATCCATGTTACTAAAAATTGCGGTGCTGGAAAATCTTATCTTACATGGGGTTATTTCGCAAAGGCTCGTTCCCAATGGAACCGATCACCCTTGAATTTGGATTTCCTTACCCTCTTATCCATATATAGATTTTATTAATCTCAATTAAAACAATACATCTTCATACCTTGCTATACTCACCCTTTAAAAAAAAGTTACTGATCATTTGTTTCACTTAACACCCAGCTTAATACATGAGAATTTATTTGATTAATGTATAACCTGCTATGAATTTCTTAAAATAATGATTGTGACAAGCTCCTTCTTTTGGGACTGCCCATTAATGACTTTGTGGATATCAAGATGAAAATTTTAAGTTGGTCAACCAACATTGTAGTGCACAGACTGACCTTATTATATCACAATGGCAAAGGCTACTCATGTTTTGTTTCCAGAGGGTAAGGGTTAATGGTTGACCTAACACTCAAGCATTTGACTGGCTAACATTTAATCACATCTGAAAACTGACCAATTAAAAGTCATTAACGGGCAAGTTCCCAATCTTACTTTTATTACTTATATTCAAAATAGTATTAAAGGTGCTATTTTTATTGTATTAAGGTAACTCATTTCATACATCTACATAAGATTCTGTAAACAAAATATTCTTTCAAAAACGTGAACAAACATGCTAAATATTGGTCATATTAATTTTGTAACATGATGAATATGAAATATATTTTATAAAATGATTTAAAAAATCTCACATTTGTATGATATCTTCTTCATCCAAGTAAATATCATAACCATTCTCTATTGTCAGCTTCATCTATACAATAAAACATGGAATCTTCTTAAATCAAAGAGAATATTTTCAATAATACTGTTTTTTAGAACATTGCCATTATCTAAGCCATAATTTATATTTCTTCAAGATACATATATATGAAATTTTCAGGGAAGGGCCCACAATAATGTTTTAAAAACTTTTGGCCCAACACTTTCATATACATGTATTGTGTAATTTTGTTGATGTATATCTATATATGCAATAAAATATCATTAAACTATATTAAATTTTAAAAATTGTTTTGTTTTCCAAGTATTTCATTGCTGAGTTCTTATGTTTGCCTAGTAATTTTTTTTCTTATCTCTTGCATATTTTATTTTTTTAGTTGTCTAGACTGTGAGGTTTTTACAACAAAAACCATGCAGTGTTGCAGCATATTGAACTATCTTGTCCTGCTCAAGTTATTCACCAAGAAGATGTCATTATAAAACATGAAATGAAGAATAGACTGACTCACTGTCACCTTAGACTTAGTGTAATTACTGATTAACTTCTATAAAATTCAGAAGGACTTAACCCATTACTGCACTAAGGTGATGTCATGTAAAATTTAACCCTAAAATATTTAAAATGTTCTATTTCACTAGCTTTATCTTTTCATGGCAATCTGTTTAGAAGTTTAACACTTTCCTTAATGTGGAACAAAAGAAATCAAGGATATTATTTCAAAATTAAAACCAGATTTCAAAATTGAAACCAGATTTCATACAAGTCTTTTAACCATTCTTCCTGTCTACATGGTATTAGAAATCTATATTCTTTAGAATTTGAGATAATTTATTCAAAATGGACCTGTATTTTACCTCAGACAGACTAAGAGCTTTGTCAGAATTCACATCCATCAACTGTAAACCCTGTTTTGGTGACTGGTTCTCTGTATGGCTGGATTCTAAACCAATCTGCTTGGCTGTCTCTATAAAATGATCACATTCGTCATCTGACAGAAAATCTTCAATTTCTAAAAATAAATATTAATTTCATTAATACAGAAAAATATGTCTTGATCATTCAAAGCTGAAACAAATTTGCACTATTATTTCAGATCAAAGTGGCAAATGAAATCCTGGTTTCAGATTATTATGTTACACAAGTGGTTTTCATTATCTATAAAAACATTTTACTGTTGAAAAATTAACAAACTTTTGTCATAACTTACAACCTAGCAAACAATTCTTTTCAAACAAATTATATATTTAAATTCTAAACACATTTAATATTTGAAATATCTGCCAATATTACATATTGCATCATTTGAGTTAAAACACATACCAAATACCAAAGGTTTTATGTTAAGTGTTTTCATCTGGAGTTTTTTACCATCTGCATTTATTGTTCTGACATTTCCAACCTGTAAATAAAGTTTTAGATATGTATTGCTATATAATTAAAGGCATTTCATGTTTATACCAAGATGTCTTAGAGAAAATTACAGGATCTACATTTAAATGTTAGTATGGCATGGCAGCAGACTACGTTGGTACAGAGGTGACATGTGTATGTTTTTATTATTATTATTTATCTTGTGCGTGATATACTATGTCGTGCGCACAAGATAGTTAAGTGGTGCCAACAAGTAACTATTTCGTGGAATCGTGGCCACCACTTACTAAGTCGTGTGCATGAGATAATTAAGTTGTGCACACAAGTTACTATGTGGTGCGAATGAGATAATTATAAGTTGTGGGCACAATATATTAACCAATCAGATTTCACTATATATGAATTTTTTAAACTTAGAAAATACCTGTTTAAAATTTTACATGCAACATTTATCTTTGAAACTACTGAGTCTGAAGGTATTCACTTTAAACTTGAGGATCATATTTAGGAGGTCACTATCCAAGGCCCATAAATCAGAAATAATTTTGACTAAGTCTGAATAAGCAGCTACAGCCATGGTTTATATAACCTAGTATGGATATTACACCTGCTCAGTACACTTAATACTTTGTAGGTCATTGGGTGAAAAATCACAGTCACAATGACGCTAAATGTAAATTGATTGTCCAATATATAATTGAATATAAATATGGCACTGTGACAGGCAGGTGATGTAGGAGCATCATTGTCCTAGTTAACTATGAAAACAAGTTATCTTGATTGCACCACACAGTAACTTGTGCCCATTACTTGTGTATCTTGTGTGCACCACTTAGTAACTCATGGCCACGACTTAGTAACCTGTGCGTTGTGCACACAACATTATATCTCATTTGCACCGTTTAGCAATTTGTGCGCAACACATAGTATCTCGTGGGCATCAGTTAATAAACTTGTGTGCACCGATTCATAACTCATGGCCATTACATAGTATATCATGCACACAACTTAGTAAATAGCACAATACATGCACAGGTCTCAATGTGTAGAACAATTACAAGGACTATGATTTAGACCTGATTGTCACCTGAACATTTGATCACAGACACTTGGTGTGAAGAGTTCCAAACTCTTCCAGTTTGAAGAGTTTCTTTATAAGTTTTAACGTTACCTATTGTGCTTGAGTGAAGCTTGTACACGTACATGTAATTTGAAAACAAATTTTTAGTACCATAGAACCTTAAAGTTTACCTGCATCCCGTCAATACGAGTCAATCTAAGGTCGTCATGATTAACACACGTCACACCATCGCTAGTTTTCTGACAAAAACCTTCTCCTTCCCCTGTAACTTTACCATTTGCATTGCAAACTGCAATATACACGTTTATGCATGCAAAAATATACAGAAAGCCTTGCATAGTTTGACAGTTCATCTTTCACCTCCGTACTGAAGAGTATTGTTTACGTGTTCACCGGAAAATAAAGCGCGCGAGAAATGGATTGTTATGAACAAGAAAAAAGGTAAAAAAAAAACGATCTTATTGTCAGATTTGTAAAATTTTACGCAGAAAAATTCAGATCTGTGATTAGATACAGTACATTTTTTGATAATGATATTTCTATGAACTTCTATGATGATCAGTGATAGAAATTAATCACTCACTGTTAACCATTAACATTTCGCACCATCGTCAATTCGTACCCACATTAGATAACTGCATAATTTCCAATTTTTACATGTAAACTTTGGTTGATTTAGAATGCAATTAGTGAAGTGTGTCACGAAATTTTTAAATTAATAAAGAAGTAAGAATATGTTTATGTCCCAACCGAATCCGGGTCAGCTCGGCCCTAAAACGTACTCGGCCCCGAGTCGGCTCGGCCCTATTCCAACTCGGCACGGGTCAACTCGGCCCATTTTGCAATTATTAATATTTAGGTTTGTGTTATCACTATTTATTGTAATTATTGTAATTATTTATAGATCTAATACACGGATTGACAGTTTCCGAACTAGCAGCAGACATGCTTTTCTTAAGTAATGATAACCGATTGAGTATCTCACTGTATTTCTGACTCGTGGTAGGTTTAACCCAGGCGCTTTTAGCGCATCGGCACCGATGCGCTAAAATTTCAGAACAAGAAATCCCGATGCGCTTAAAATTATCATAGCGCTTTAAAAAATGACCGATATTCCTTTCTATTGTGTCTATAAGTTAACCCCAATTAGCCAAATAAACAAGCCAACATACATGTCCTGTGTAGATAATTACCCGAGGCGTATACACAACCCGATACACTGATTGCCTTTAAACTGTGTGACGTCACAGACACCTGTCATCGATGTCTGCAGACGACTGTTGGTGCACTTTCAGGTGTTGTCAATTACCGTGTATTGAGATGGGTGCAATTTAACCGCGACATGTGTGATATTTACATGTTTCAAGTAGGTGTAATAACTTTTATTGTTTTGATAATATAATTGGCATTAATTGACATGCGATATAACAGTTTGATATTTAGGGATGAATGGGTTAATTGTCTTGATATAAGTGTAATGTTCAATTTCATCTTTCACTTTCTTATGATCGTTACGTCTAAGCAGTACTGTAGTATTAAGATTTCAAAAATTAATATGTCTTAACATGAATAAGGGATGCCTAGTTCACTATCAATTTTATGAGTTTTTTTTGGTGAGCAATGTCGTTGAAACTGTCTCAGGATTATTTTGCTTTTTAATATATACATGATAATCGTATTTTACTTGGATTAAACTGCATAGATATTCATAACTAAATTTGGTTGATGGCTACTTAAACAATGAAAACAGTATAGACTGTTCATTATCAACTTGCAACTGAGTGAAAACAACAACAAAAACTTTTAGTTTACATCAACAATCCCACTTAGTGACAGCCAATTGGTCATTTTCTTTTTTAATTAAAAATATCTTGTAATCTGTTTCTGTTCACTGAATCCCCAAAATGAAAAAAATATTAATTTTGCAGGCCCTCTTTAATCAACCTGTTCATGGACAGCTTTGTGAAGTGCAATCTACTGTCCTACCCCTTAGCATTGGTTTGTCAGGACATACAGGAGCTGGCCAGGCATTTTGGTATAGATATGGAGCTGTGCCGCAGCCACTGGCACCAGGTACATGCCAGTCTAGAGGGGACTGATCAGTCAGCCGACCAGACCATGACCTGGATTACTGGCAACCTTTCTACCAGTCATCCAGCTCTTTACAGAATTGCTGCTGTGGGTCTCCTCCTCCCAACCTCTATTGCAGGTAATTATTATTAAATTCATTCATTCTTGAACATTAATGAAATTCCAATGACAGTTGCAGATGTGCAACACTTTGCTAGAAGTTTTTCAACATTTCAAATATAAATTTTTTTACTTAGTTAAGTTTAAACAGACTGGAAGTTTTAAATTTTCAAAAATTCACAGCAAACAAACAATATACAGTCAAACGTGTATTAAGCGACCGGGCAAGGGAAACACCAAAAACGGTCGCTTAATGAAACGGTCTCTTAAGACAGTCAGCATGATATGAAAGTCAAAATTTATAAATGACATCTTTTTTATTCGATGGGATTGTTTTTAACTTCATTTTTAGCTCGACTATTCGCAGAATAATCGAGCTAATGCAGTCACCCATTTGTAGGCGTCGGCGTCGGCGTCCCTGTGGTTAAGTTTTTGTATGTAAGCTGGTATCTCCATAACTACTGAAGGGAATGGATTGAAACTTCACACACTTGTTCTCTGTGATTATCTAAGATGATTGGCACAAGTCCCATAACTCTGATTTGCTTTTTTTTCATAATTATGCCCCTTTTTCGACTTAGAAATTCTTGGTTAAGTTTTTGTATGTAAGCTGGTATCTCCATAACTACTGAAGGGAATGGATTGAAACTTCACACACTTGTTCTCTGTGATTATCTAAGATGATTGGCACAAGTCCCATAACTCTGATTTGCTTTTTTTCATAATTATGCCCCTTTTTCGACTTAGAAATTCTTGGTTAAGTTTTTAGCTCGACTTTTCTATGAAAAGGGGAGCTATCCTACTCGCCCCGGCGTCGGCGTCGGCGTTAGCGTTGGCGTCACACCTTGGTTAAGTTTTTCGTACCACCCCACTTTATTTCAGAAGTATTACAAGTATGGCTTTGAAACTTACCATACTTGTTCACCATCATAACCTCCATCTACAGACAAGAGTACATAACTCTGTCAAGGTTTTTGACAGAATTATGGCCCTTTTTTGACTTAGAAAGTGTATTGAGCTTGGTTAAGTTTTTTGTACCACCTCACTTTATTTCAAAACCATTGGAGGTATTGCTTTGAAACTGACCATACTTGTTTACCATCACGACCTTCATCAACAGACAAGAGGACATAACTCTGTCAAGGTTTTTGACAGAATTATGCCCCTTTTTGACTTAGAAAATACATTGAATATGGGTAAAATCCACTTATTGCCTTAACCCTTTGAGATATTGCTTTGAAACTTTTAATGCTATTTCACATCATTACCCCCATCTGTACGCAAGAGAAGGTAACTCTGTCAAGGATTTGTTTTAAAAATTAAGGCCTTTTATCGACTTAGAATCTTGGTTAAGTTTTTAGTACCAGTCCACTTTTTGACTGAACTGTTTGAGATATTAATTTGAAAGTTGGAATACTTGTTTACCATCATGGTCCCAAAACATGGGCAGGAGAAGGTAATTCTGTTAAGGATTTTATTTGAATTATGGCCCTTTTTGACTTAGAAACTCAGTTAAGATTTTCATTCTTGTCCACTTGTTTGACTTAACCATTTGAGATATTACTTTGGAAGTTGGAGTTCTTATGTGCCATCATGAGACCTATCTGTAAGCAAGAGAAGATAACTCTGTGAAAATGTTTCTTGATTTGTACTTAAAAATTCCTAGTTAAAGTCTTGTGTGCCCTTAACTGTCAAAGTTTTGTTTTATAGGCAAGCACTAAAAAAGTCGAGCGCGCTGTCCTTCTGACAGCTCTTGTTGTATGTAAGCTGGTATCTCCATAACTACTGAAGGGAATGGATTGAAACTTCACACACTTGTTCTCTGTGATTATCTAAGATGATTGGCACAAGTCCCATAACTCTGATTTGCTTTTTTTCATAATTATGCCCCTTTTTCGACTTAGAAATTCTTGGTTAAGTTTTTGTATGTAAGCTGGTATCTCCATAACTACTGAAGGGAATGGATTGAAACTTCACACACTTGTTCTCTGTGATTATCTTAGATGATTGGCACAAGTCCCATAACTCTGGTTTTTCTTTTTTTTCATAATTATGCCCCTTTTTCGACTTAGAAATTCTTGGTTAAGTTTTTGCATGTAAGCTGGTATCTCCATAACTACTGAAGGGAATGGATTGAAACTTCACACACTTGTTCTCTGTGATTATCTAAGATGATTGGCACAAGTCCCATAACTCTGATTTGCTTTTTTTCATAATTATGCCCCTTTTTCGACTTAGAAATTCTTGGTTAAGTTTTTGTATGTAAGCTGGTATCTCCATAACTACTGAAGGGAATGGATTGAAACTTCACACACTTGTTCTCTGTGATTATCTAAGATGATTAGTACAAGTCCCATAACTCTGATTTGTTTCTTTGCATAATTATGCCCCTTTTTCGACTCATGAATTCTTGGTTAAGTTTTTGCATGTAAGCTTGTATCTCCATACTTACTGAAGGGAATGTATTGAAACTTGAAGAGTTTGTACCTTTTCGGACAATTTTATGTATTCATATAGGTAAGCATTATTATACTCAATGAAACACCCTTGTGACAAATTTTCGAATAGTCGAGTGTTACTGTCCTCCGACAGTTCTTGTTATATAAATGTTGAATAATAAGTACGCTCCGGCAATCTAAACGGATGCAAATGTAAAAATAACGTTCTGATATTTATTGACAAAACAGTTTTGATCCCTTACGTACATGTTTGACATTTTTTCCAGAATTTTTTAACTTCTCCGTTGTTTTTCCTTGTCTCCAACACGAAAACCCTATTAGTGAAGATGCTTTCTGTTGTGCATTTTTTTTTCATTTGAAATAAACAAACTACATCTAATTGTTACGATTGATTTAATGGCTGCTCAAGTTCAAGGTCAATTCAATGCAGTCTAAATGTCAACAAGCGAAGCGTATACACCATCTCAGTATGGGCGGAGCGTTGCATTGTTTATCCGATATTATTTGATAATACACGTCACGCGTATACTTAACTTCATTTGCATACGCTTAAACGGTATGGGAAATAGAGTTTTTCACACGTTTATTGTTGTGTTTTTATTGCTGACACTTGTGACATAACGAGGTGGCGTTCTCTAAAAAACACAATTACTTGACAGGTAAAAGTGGTCGTTTAATGAAAAGATTAATGTCAATTAGGTGACTAATTAGCGGTCGCTGGTCGCGTTGAGCAAAAGTCGCTTAATACATTAAAGATATAGAGATAAAATGATCGGGGGCAATTTAAAGTGGTCGTTTAAGACAAAAGTCGCTTAATACACGTGGTCGCATGGGCAAGTTAGACTGTAAATAAAAGACATGAGGTTAACATAAATGATTACTTTCATTTATTAATTTCAGATTGTGAGCGAGGATTCAGCTGCCTGAAGAAAGTTAAGACTGAAAACAGGAATTGTCTCTCTGTTAAAGTTCTAAACTATCTTCTTGCCGTCTCCCTTCAAGGACCCCCATTAGAATCTTTCAACTTTGAGAAGGCAGTCAAGGCATGGAAGGACAACAAACCTAGAAGACAGGCCCACTTTTAATGATGTTAATGAAGAAAAAACAAATGAAATATACTCATTTAAATGGGACACACACATACATATAAATGTTGATCACATGTTGTGAACTTGTGTTTATATATAATTGTTTATTGGAAATGGAAAAAGTAAATAATAAAAATTAAGAAAATGTTTATCAAGTGAAAAGCTTTCATTATTTGTTTTAAAACAGCCCACAGCAGTATCTTGACACCTAAAATGGCAAAATATTTCGACACGCGGTATGGGGTTAAGACCCCCTCCCGCACCCACCCCTGTCTAAATAAAAAAATGTAGCGCTTAAAAATAATCCTGGGGAATTCCCTGGTTTAACCGTAAATTTATTTCATGCTTTCCAGTGTTTTATTGTAATATATCAGATGATTATATTCTGATAAACCACTAGTGAAATTTATAAAATATAATTTTCACTGTAGCCGGACTATATCCGAATGCGGATGAAAAGAAAATCATAACTAAATGGAATAACAGGCAGAAATAAATGCCGTCATACGTAAATTGTGCTTCTTAAGGAAGAGAAAGTCGATGTCACCATACATCATGTTAAAAATGTAACAAAATTAGAGAAATTTAACAGAACTATATTTCAAAATTGATGATGTGACGTAATGATGTGATGACGTCACATAGGAGAATGCGCGACGTTACGCGGCAAAATCAATAAAAAATACTAAAAATCACAATAAAAAGAAAATTTATTTGTTTTACATATAAGATTGAAATATATTTCATTCGTGAACACCAGCTATTATATTTTCACTCGTGGCTACGCCACTCGTGAAAATATTGCATCTGGTGTTCACTCAGTGAAATTATATTTCAATCTTACATGCAAAACAAACAAATATCCTCTTTATAAATACCTTCAGTGTCAAACAATGTGTTGAAATATATACGGAGAGGAAGCTTAGATCACCAGCTTTTAATTGGTGTAATAAATTTTAAAATCGGACATTAAATTGCACTAGCGATTTAAACACAGCTAAATTTGCATTCTTTTGCAAGCGAAGGGAAACAACTCTTTTTTTTCACTCGATTTACCTCGGCTATTTACGTAGTTCATAAAGAGACTGTCAATTGGTGGAGACAGAGAGAGAGAGAGTTCATAAATATAACAAAGTGCAAACAGTGCTTATATAGAAGCTTATAACATTAAGTAAACACGTTTTTGTTTCATATTTTTTTGAATATTACTTTACAAACAAAATGCATCTAAGGAAACACATTTTTGTGTCGCCTCTACGGAGTAGTGGCGACATATAGGGATCACTTCTCCGTCGTCCGTCTGTCTGTCTGTCCGTCCGTCTGTCCGTCCGTCCGTCACAAAACTTGTCCGGACTACTCCTCATAAACTACTGGTGCAATTTCATCCAAACTTTACAGGAATGATCAGTACCAAGTCTAGTTGTGCATATTGTCAGTATTTTCGGGTTCAATGATTTTTGTAAGAGTTATGGCCCTTTAATAATTTTTAATTTTAAAGTTTGTCCGGACTACTTCTCTTATACCACTTATAAAATTTCAATGAAACTTTACAGGATTGATCTGTAGCTCAAATCCTTGCGCATATTACACGGGTTTTCCGGTTGAATGATTTTTGGCCGAGTTATGGCCCTTTGATAAAAAAGGTTTTTTTTCTGTGTGTTGCCAGATACCAGACTACTCCTCATAAACTACTGGTGCAAGTAGTATCCAAACTTTACAGGAATGATCAGTACCAAGTCTAGTTGTGCATATTGTCAGCATTTTCCAGTTCAATGATTTTTGTTTGAGTTATGGCCCTTTAATTATTTTTTTTTTAAAGTTTGTCCAGACTACTTCTCTTATACCACTTATGCAATTTCAATGAAACTTTACAGGATTGATCTGTAGCTCAAGTCCTTGCGCATATTGCACGGGTTTTCCGGTTGAATGATTTTTGGCCGAGTTATGGCCCTTTGATAAAAAGGTGTTTTTTTCTGTGTGTTGCCAGATACGCAAAAGCTTGTCCGGACTACTCCTCATAAACTACTGGTGCAATTTTATCCAAACTTTACAGGAATGATCAGTACAAAGTGGTTAGTCTAGTTGTGCACTGTCCGTCTGTCACAAAATTTGTCCCAACATGAAATTGGCCATCATGAGGCGACACATGTGATTACTGATCGCTCTTGTTATTAGATCTATATAAATTTTATCGAATCTGCAAGACAAATAAATAACTTTTTTTTTCTAAATATACTTTATTTCGGCAGAAGTACAATGTATAATTATATAATGATAAGATATTTCTTATTATTCATTTACCTTAACAACATGCAAAGCAAAGTTAATACGTTATATATATTTTTGTAAAGTGGGCCGAGTTGACCCGTGCCGAGTTGACCCGTGCCGAGTTGGTATAGCCACTATAGGGCCGAGTTGACTCTTTTCCGTCCCAACCCACCTTGCTAAGTTGCCGTACCCCCTCCCTTTTCCAATCACCCCCATATTGAGACCATTTAAGAAAGGATTGATAAAATCTTACCCCAGTTTGCTTGTAGGTTTATATTTACATTGATTGCTACCTTGATCAGTAAGACAAAATGATTGCAGTATATGCACTAGTTCTGGCTTCCATAACTTTATATGTTTCTTTTATTTTGACGTTGCGACAGTAAAGTTATGGATCAACCCTATTTGCAAAGTCTACCAGAATTTTTGCAGTTTGTGTGCCGTACATAAAACCTATTAAAATCACCCTTATTAATCAAATTTGGGTCAGATAAAAATATGCATTTTGAATCAATTCATGTTTTGTTTTTAAATAAAACTTCAATGACATTGTGTACCCAACTATTTGTTAGGAAAATATGTAAAGAATGTTTACCAATATGGAGTCTGCTTTCAAATGAAATCTCGTGGGATCTTTTTTTAGTAACGGACTATACACTATTTTTAGTAAGTGTACGATTTTAAATAAAAACAAACAAATAATTCATGAATCATCACTCAAAACAATATAAATCCAACATGTTTTTGGTACAACGTCTGTTATTGAATAAATACACCGTTATTCATAATTGTTTAAGCCATGTTTTCAATTAAAAAAAGCATTTTGGTCACGTGTCACCAAATGTCTTGCAAAGATATCCGAACCTAAATTCTCACTAGTCATGTGATAATTAGGGCAGCAATAGCGGCGAATAATATGAAATGTGAACCCACTGATAAACTTTGAGGCATTATTTCAACAATCTAACGTTCTTTGTTCAAAAATATAGACTGAAGTGTCCCAAATATATTTAACTACCTGTGTTAAAATAGCTTTTGTCCAGATCACGCAAATTTATTGAATTACAGCATGACATAAATATGTCACGATTCTGGTTGACTTTCGATACGGGATTTGCTTCAGCGAACAGGTCTAGCAGTACTATAAAACCTGTTTGCTGAAGTCTCTTTAGCTATATATGCACCTGATTGGATACAGCGTCAGCTGGCTATTTCCAATTGCTTGTCTGGTTTAAAAATGAAATGGATGACCAAACAGTGTATCAATAATAACTAATTGACACACAAATTTACAAAACATGTATTGTTTCTTCCAGGAATCTGAAAGAGATTGATGCTGTTTTAGATTTCGCAAAATTACCACGAGAGGAAATAAAACCAAAAACACAGAGCATTTACTTTTCCAAGCAGCTAGACAATGAGGGTGTTAAGTTGATAGAGTTAGACAAAACTGTATTACAGGCGTTTGAAAATGGAGAAAAGTATATATTTGTTTATGTATTTTATTGCTTTGACTACATTTATTAAAAAATTACTTGTGAAATGTATTACCAGCTTATCAACTTATTAGCTTTAAAGAAATTTGACATGTTATATGACCCAGAATAAATGGTTGTACATTTGTAGGCTTATGTGACCGCAGCTGCTGGATGAAGGATATATTGCAAACAACCATTATACGCAGCCATATAACCTGTTTAAGTTCTTAATAATAAATTTATAATACAGCACAATGCCCTTATTTGAGGAGATAACTTCATCATGTAAATACATGTTGATATCATGATTATATGATGAAAATCAACAATACAAATGTGCGGTATTGACTTCATAAATCGTTATCATTTGAAATTAATTGAGAATAACAAATACTGAAAGTTATTGTGTTTTTGTCTAGGGTGGTAATACGTGGAGACAAGGAAGATAGTGCTGTACTGTGTACAAACACACAAACATATGATATCAAAGAGGGAGAAGTGTCCAATGCAATGCTTTTATTAACTGATTTAAATTATGGTAACAGCCTAGAGAGCACTGGTGATGCACAGGTGGAGTACAGAGAGGTATATTTATGTTAAAAACTTAATTAAATGATAATTAACATAAATTTCATGGGTTTTTCTTTCTTAATTGGCAAGATTTAACCTTTTCATTTGGGGATAAATTATTGCTGATTTCAGAATGTAAAAATTAAAAGATGGTGTATGTTTGGATTACAGGAGAGTATATTAATTAATTATTAAACAAAATCACTATTGAAAAGAGGACTTTTAAAGTCTCTGTTGTGTAAGGCAAAGACCCTTGAATTTTGTTTCAACATTACTTTTAAAATAATTTGAGCCCATGGGTTTAGTAATGACTTAGGGTGGTAGTATAACTTGCATTACTTCAATGGAAGGTACTTTATCCAATGAAGAATAAAGAGGGTTTATCTTGTCCTAGCATCATGGTTGTTTGGTTTTAGTTGATGTTCCATGCAAGTACTATAACTTAGTATGAGGACAATAATAACCAGTGGATTTTATTCAAACTTACACACCTCCATTATTGTGTGTGACAGGTCTATATTTTTTGGATAGACCTGTTTAAACAAAAGAAAGTCCGTTATGAGGTTTATCTTTTGCACGTGCACAGGTCTGTTCTAGTCCGACAGACCCGGTCATGAAAAACACATGAAAAAGTAGACCTGCTTATGCGAAAACAAAGAAAACATGATATGCAAATGAAAATAAAATGTAAATGATTGTCATAATATTCCTGTCTTACAAAATCTGGATACAAGATAATGTTCCCCTGAAAACCTTCGAATCCAGGGCTTAGTTTCAAGGAATGCTACACTACAACGTTAATGATATAATCCAAAATGTGCTTATAGTGAAATGCATATACAAGAACTTAAAGTGGATTAGTCTACATTGGGCAGATCTCCCATTAGTTATTAAAATAGCGATAGAAACGATTCAGATATTATTAAAAGAAATCTTGAAAAAGAAATGTTAATGCAAAGTTGTAAGTGATTAAGTATAAAAATTTATATGATGAGCGATCATATTTTATTCTATAACATTTTATAATCGGATCATGTATCTCACACTTGCCAACAATATACATATGTAAGTATTCCTGGTCTGCTGGGTATCCGGATATTTGCCCCTCAGACAGTTGTTCCCTCGGAAGTTTTCTCCCTTTTTGCAGTAGCGGACATTGCCCCTTATATCTTTGGAAGGGTTGGACATTTGCTCCCCCCATGTTTTAAAAATGTTAAAAAAAAAAAATTTGAATTGTTTATTACAAAAATTTATCGCCTTTTGTCGAAATTCTAATCGTGCTTAAATAAACAGAAAAAAACTGCGCAAATTTGTGAGTAACAATTCGCCACAGCATAAAGGGGGCATGCGTCCGAGAGGACAACTGTTCGGGGGAGGGGGCAAATGTCCTAGAACTTGCAATGTCTTATACGAAATACTATCAACATAATTATTCATTCTTTTACATACCTTCCATTTCAGACCCATTCGCTTTATTATTGACAAATTGCTCATTTACCTTTTTGATGATTATTTTAAAGGGAAAAGCAGAGTTAAATGCAAGATTTATGTTATATTTAAGCAGAACGTTGATAAAACCTTACCTGTAAACGGGCTGTGTTAAAAAGTAATCTTTGTGCATTTACATCAAATGTTTCAGATCAGCCATTGCTCAAGCCAATAGTTTGACGGTGTGTAAGTTGGATATCGGCCTCGTACATCGATCTTTCTGTTTAGGAAAGACCTGGTCACGAATTCCATGACACCCCTAGAGCGCTACGCACTCTCGGTGTCACATGAAATTCGTGACCGGGACTTTCCTTAACAGAAAGACCTCGCACTCGGTCGATATCCTATACGTATCACAGCATTTCCACTGGCAGACCTACAGACAGATATAAGTCTGATAAATCTGGATGGCATTGTGTTAGAATCATAGCTCTTGAAGACTTAAAACATATTCACATTTCTTACGGATTATTTTCGTTTATAAATTCAATCCTGTATGGCCATTTTGTCAGTTTCATTGTACTGGGATAGCTCTTGTTTTGTTTACCTTAGCAACAATGAAATTATGCAAAGATTTTACAGTGTAGCTAGAAATATTATACCATTTAAAAAATTAATATGCATTTAATTAAGTATGATGTGTTTTGAACTTTGTTTTATTACAGGTAAATACTGTAATCCACACATTCTTTGAGCTGCGGCCATGTAAACCACGGTTAGCAAAGTTACGCACAATGTTAAATGAGAACCCATATAGTGGGCAGGCTAGTGAAGAAGATGAAGATCATCAGGGCAAAAAGGTAACTGAACATGAAGACAGTGGCCTTGTGGCAAAACTGTTGCTATCCTGAATTCAAGTCCCCAGTGTGGACACAATTATATTCTTTAACACTTCATGTTTATTTTCAAGCCAAAGGCATTTATTTTTATGCCCCCGGGCATATAGTAATTGAACCGTCCGTCCGTCTGTCCGTACGAGGTTAACCTAGAACGGCAAGTTGGATTTTTCTTAAGTTCTACCTGTACCAATGGCTTCTAAGTTTACACACTTACTAATCAATACAAAGTACATGATCTGGGCAAGTTTCATAACTCTGGCTTTCATATTTACCAAGTTATTGCCCTTTTCAGCACTTAGAAAATGAATAATGGTTAACCTAAAACGGCAAGTTGGAAATATCTTAAGTTCTATCTTTACTAATGACTTTATAAAAAAATTTCCACACTTACTTATCAATACAAAGTACATGATATTGCCGAGTTATATAACTGTGTCGTCCATATTTCCCAGTTATTTCCCTTTTTTCACTTTGAAAATAGGGCCTTGTCTGGTTAACCTATTTCGGCAAGTTGGATATATCTTAAATTTCTCCTAATTGCTTAATTTCTTTAATAATATCTTTCATATTTAGTTGGTGGATACCTTTAATGGTCCTCTAATTTTTTGTGGAGTAAGCGGTCTCTAGGGTCAAGGTCACTGGTTTAAAAAATAAATATAAACATTTTTGCTCATATAGCCTTTATTTTTTACTTGATGACTTAGTTTAATACAAACATGCCAAGGGAGGTCCTCCTTGGGTGTAGTACGGGGTCATTCGGGTCAAGTTCAATGTTGCCAATGTCAAGGTCACCAATTTTAAAAATAGATTTTTACATTTTTACAGGTGTATTGACTTATTCTATAGACAGATGTTATTTATAATTGATAGAAACATAAACTTTGATGGAATTAGTGGTCAGTTGGGTCAAGGTCACCAGTGCTAAAAATAGATTTTTACACAAATATTTGCTAATACAGCCTTTATTAAGTGACAGATATATTTTATATTTGGTAGGAAGATAACTTGCATGGTATTCATCCTTTTGATTGGGGTAGGGATCAGTGGGTCAAGGTCACTTGTGCTGAAATAGATTTTTACACTTTTGCCCATACAGCTTTTATTTATTGACAGATGTATATCATATTTGGTAGGAAGATAACTTACATGGTATTCTTCTTTTGGATAGAGTTAGGGGTCAGTTTGGTCAAGGTTACCATTGCTCAAAATAGATTCACACTTTTGCCCATACAACCTTTATTTAATGACAGATGTGTTTCATATTTGGTAGGAAGATAACTTGCATGAAGTTGAATATTTTTATTCAACTTCACAAGTCAGAGCAATGACTTGGCAACTTATATTTTTCACAATTACAAAATGATATGAGTTTGTCAAGCTATATAACTTGTGTTTACAATTTTTTGGCAATTTTGCTGTCCATAACTGAGTGAATGGGTAAACATTTTTTGAAATATTGCTACTGACAAGAATCTGAGCCGGGGGCATTTGTGTTTAACAAACACGTTCTTGTTCTTACTTTATATTCAAATATTTATTCAAATTAATTAACTGCAATGTGTAAAAAGGTCTGTGTTACAAAGTAATGCACATATCAAACTTATCTTTATTTAGCTTTCATGGTGTACATGTAAGTACTTAATTCTAATAGATTCCTATGTTTATAATATTAAAAAGAAAACCTTAATATCAATTTGGTTTTAATTTACAGAAGACTATTTACATAGTAATGAAGATGTAATAGCATTTAACTACCATTGAAATAGTCTAGAAGTGTGCTTTTACTTCTTGGCCTCAGTTTGTAAATGTAAAAGTGAGTATTTTAGTTTTGCAAAGGGTGATTTGATTTATCTTTCAGTACACGTTCAATGAAATACTGGATCTGGTTCAAGGTAGTGAGACAGAAATAATGAAAGCTCTTGACAAGATGCAGGCCCTTGTTATAAATGGTATGTTCACATCTTATCAGATTTAGGGAAATACATGTTGACCAAAGAAGTAAAGACAGAATTGAAGACTTGCATAAAAAATGTGCTAAATTGCCAATGATTGATATTATCGTAAGCAAATAAATACATTAATAAAAAATTGTCTTTGGTGATAGAAGTAAGGCTGGTGACCTTGAGCCACTTGTCATCATCATTTAAGTTTAATTCTTGATAAGTACTAATGTTTTGGTACGAAAGTTAGTCATCATCTACCCCTTGTGGCTGAGGGGTTGCCTTTAAGGGTTGAGGTATCAGAATTGCAGTCGCCGTTTATCTCTATGTGATCATAAGATGTAGCTAGGTTAGAATAGAATTAATGGGGTCTATGCATCTTATAGCTTCAGCAGGTGAGGTTGTTTTCACCTCTGGTGTTGCTTAAAGTTTGTAACACCTGAATGTTAGCCAAAATTTTTCTTTCCTGGTTTCGGCACTATATGACCTAAATTGTATTGATGCGCCATAAAAACCAAACAAACAAATAACAGTCACAGTCTAGGTTGCAGAAGGTTGATAATATATTATGGGGTAAGTGCCTGCTTGTACTTCTGACCTCTGAGGGTAAGGAAGCATTCAGCATGGTATATATTTTGTACAGAGTACCGTTACATTGAAGCATTATGTTTTATAGGTTATTGGAGAGTGTTAGATTTTGACTTCCTGGTACAAGTAATGACCCACTTGTTACAGCTGTGTGATGAGAATGATTGGACACACACTGGTATTCCTATTGAAGAATGTGTCTCAGTTTTACAAGAATTATTTCCTAGGTACGGTTAAACTGTCTACTTACATGTACCTGATCCATGTCTTAATTATTGTTGTATTTATTCTATCTAGTTATTTTGTACATGTATATATCCCTCCTAAAGAGCTTGTTATATATGTATATCTTTTACAAAATCTTTAAAAGGCGTATTTTAGTTCATACTTTTCAACAAATGCTTGGAATGTAAGAATGGTCTGATTTTATTTTTAAATATTTTCAGAATGCAGGAATATATTTTCATATGTAATCTGATTAATGTATGTGGGTGGGCCTAAACAGTTTCATCTGTGTGCAATTTCTATAATGCAGAAGGGATTTCAATCAAACTTTTAACCATACAGAATAATTTTTTGAATGTAATGGCATTTGTTATTTTGTGATTTGATCATGTTTATTTTTCTTCTGAATAACGGCCCTTGATGCTTTTTTTAACAAACATAATATTACTAGAAAACCCGGTTTTGTGAAAATGTCATGTTTTATTCTGCTTCATTTGAAAGATACTGTAGATGTATGTAAAATGTAATTTCATGATATTTATTTTTTTTCTCAGGAATGTGATAGAACATGTCTTAAAGAATTTTTCTACCAAACTATCATCAAACACAACAGAAGATGATGATGAGGAAAAGATGCAAATTGGTAAAATAAATATTTAAATTTGTTGACACTGTTTGATTATAGAAATGGATGAAATGAGTCCTGGAGTGTTTTCAGCAATATGAACAATAATGAGTAAAGGACATTTTCCTGAGTTAATGATGTCCTTGTGTAATCAAAGACTGGGTGAAATAGCACATGTTTAACATTAGTTGCAAATGTGATTAATTTCTGATCTAGTTTCTTTGCATAATATAACATTGGTATTATCGGCAATTATTCAGTACAGCTTATTTTGTAGGGTTTACGAATAAATTTCGGCAAAGTCAAGGTCACAGTCATTTTCTATATGTTTCAAAATTTTATTCCCACTCAAAACTTTTTGGTTGAAATAATGATTATAATGAGACAATGTGCTGGTTTTGGTTTCCTAAGAACAGAATTGGCCCAGCACCAGTGGTCACTTGATATTTATATAGGAAAAAAGACATCTAAGACTGTGTGAAACTACTATGCCCAGAGTTTAGATATTTGGTATATATATCACTTTATGGAGTACAAAAATCTGGTATTAATAATGCCCCTATACAGTAGTTAACTGACAATCCAAACTTTCTGTTCAGTTTAAGTAAGTTAGAGCATGGTTACTTGAGGCTACGGACATAAATACATTTGTATTATTTTTCAGATATAGATTATTACAGATTGGATGAGGATAAAGTTTGTAGATTCTTTGCTGAACAGATTCTTAAACATGCCAGAAAGGTAAAACTTTATAACAAAAAAATAAACAAACAAAATTAAGATAATAATCATCAAACTTTTAAAACTTGTAATGCTTTTAACCTTCATGCTAAAAAAGAACTGGCATATTTGTTTGCAGTTTATATATTAGGACGTAGGATCCATGGGTTTTTTCCCACAAATAAGTTATTGTCAAGTGCACAAAGGTCCACTATAATTACTTACAAATGAATGCTACTATTTCATGTTTTATTGTTGATTTTTGCCTCTGATTTATCACAAATAAGACATGAGTGTTGTAATTCAATAAAACTTTTAGTTTTAAATGAACTATTTAACCGTTCTATGATCCCTTCGACGTAAGGTGATTTATATATATATATTAAAATAGATGTGCATGTATTTCCTTATCAATTAAAGTAAAATGGTGAATTATTTTTCTCATTTTCCAGTTTAATTTGAACCAGTTTCTGTCTACATGGGAAAAGAGTGTACCAGAAGGAATGAAAACAACCCTGTTTCAGCTAGAGGTAACAATAATGTCAAAATTGCTGTAACTAAAATGTTTACATACTGGTTGGGGAGATAACTTCGGCTGGTTGATAAACTCGGCCTTTTATAATTTAATCGAGTTATCGGTTTTTTTATGCTAATCAAGCTTACCATCTCGTACGAACGCTGGAATTCAACAACATCTGGAAATTTTGTCAAGTTTGGTAAGATATTTAAAAAATAACACAGACTTTCACCTTTTTGTTTACAAAACATGCCTATAAAAAGTACGGGAAATCCGATTCATGTGCGCATGCGCAGTAGATGCTCGTTTTGAGGCCCGTACAGAGCTACTTTTATTTATTGGCCGACTATCGGTAAAGCAGATGACGTTACCAGATGCAATTTGTAGATGAAATTCAGACTCACTTTTGTCTTAATAACTCAGAAAAAAGACTGTTTGGACATTTAGTCACAAATGTCATATTTTAGTGCATTTGATTGAAATGTTTAATGGTTTTTTATATATAAATAAATATAGTGGTATTTAACCTACACAATAATGATTGTGTAGGTTACATACCACTAAATTAATTTCTTCTTCACTCTGTAAAATTACGCAAAATATATTTGAATCTATGTGTCGTATGTTTATAAATGAAAATAAATTGTGTATCAGAGTTTTTTTTATATAAGATTGTATAAAAGTAACAGTCCTTGTTGAATGTAGATATATGTCCCTTGAAATTTCAATAGTGTCTCAGGCAACTTTACACTATGTTCAGTCTCTAATCAGCTCTATGATTTAAAGTGGCCCAATGTGTTTCAACATTTTTTTAACAAACTAAGGGAAAAAAGCGTTTGTTTATTTAATACAAGGACGTTAATTATAACTCAATTGTTACAACAAGCTTTAAAGTAATAATGATACTTGTATATTATTACAAATATAATAAGGGAATAAAATCTATATTGTGATTTTCTTATAGCCTACATGTCTAGTCCGAGACAGATTTTTAATCTATCATAAAATAAAGAGTGCATTTTATTTTCTCTTTGTTTTTATAAAATAATGATTATATAGTATAATAAAACGTTACAAATGTTGTTTGTTTGTCAGAATCAAAATGGGTAAAACATACTCGGACAGTGATTTGAGAAAGCTATTTCTGCCATCAAGCAAAACAGAATGAAGCTAAATCGGGCTGCAAAAGAGTTTTGTGTACCAAGAGCTACACTTTTCGACCATATTAAAAAGAGGGTAAAGAGTAATCAAAGTGGACGAAGACTAGAGTTACTTGGAGCCGAGGAGAAGTCTCTTGTTTCTTTTCTGAAGTATATGTCAGACCATGGATTTCCTTTAACAAGAGCCATGATAAGAATTTATGCAAGGGAAATTCTTCGAAGATCAGGTAAGATTATTGTAATAAATTGTTTTCCAGATGTCTGTTTTAACAACAACAACAACAACATCAAAAAATTATTTCATTTAGTCAATGGTCACAATTACATGACAGCCAACATTGCAAAAGAACTATTTTAACTATGTTATGTACCTAGAGATATTGCAACTTATTATACGGCTTCACAATGTGAGAATTTTTATATATATATATTTGCATTAAGCACGTTTAATACGATAATTATTCGATATTTTAATATTATTATTACGTGCAATTAAAGTACATGTGTTTAATCTGTTTTGATATTTAGGTCGTAACACACGGATTAATTTGAAAGTTGGTCCGAGTAACCAATGGTTCAGGAATTTTTTCAAACGGAACCCAGAATTGTCAGAGAGGACTCCCGAAAATATGGAGCTTAGTAGGACCAGGATGTCAAACCAGGCTTGTGTGGACGAGTGGTTCATCTTTTTAGATGGTGTCCTACAAAAATACGGGATAAAAGACAAGCCAGACCGGGTAAGTTTAACTTTAAACCTTTCAATTAAATATTTCATGAACATTCATTCGTCTTTCATTAGGAACATTGTACTTGAATTAAATGTTATTTTGACCATTGACTCTAAAAAAATATTTGAATTTATAAGCTATCTCCTCACATTTAGATTTACAACTGCGATGAAACTGGTTGGACTGGGAAAGAGTCAGCGAAAACTAAAGTCACAGGGAGGAAAGGTGGGCATCTGTTGAAAAGAAAAGCAGCCGTCAACAGCCATGTTACAGCTCATCTCTGTATTTGTGCTGATGGGAGGTTTATGCCGTCTATGATAATATATCAGGCAAGTTATTATTTATCTATTTATTTATTTATTTTAAAATGAACATTTTAAATATGCCATTTATGGTTTTATTAGTGTATATCTATTATGTATTTACCAAACAATATCTGTTTGCAGAAATGTTTACCGCATTCAAACTACAAAGACGGTCCTCCATCTTCATGGTTTTATGCAACCTCAGAGTCGGAATACATGGATGGGGAGATTTTTTTTGAATGGTTCGTCAAGTGCTTCATACCTAACTGTGGCAAGGAACGTCCGGTGTGTCTCATCATGGATAATCATGACAGCCACATTACATTGCCACTGGTAGAAAAGGCCATTGAAAATAACATCATTCTTATAGGACTACCTGCGCACACCACGCACATATTACAGCCCCTAGATGTTAAGGTATGGTTCACACGTTGCTTACCCGTTTGACTGGCTAAATGTGATATAAATCAACAGTCAATAGTTATAAAATAGCACATTTTTCTCCATGATTTAATGAAATATATCTCTACCGTAAATAAAAATACCTTTATCTTTGACGAAAATCTTAAATATAAATAGCTGAAACAAAAGTGAATGGAATTTGCAATGTGCTTTACTTAAACTGGTAATTAAAAAGAAAATTCGAAAAGTTTTATTGACACTGACACTAAAATTAAATATACAGAAAAATGAACTCAGTTTCAACATTTCTGCTTGAACCCTGATGTTATGTAAACTAAATATCTGTTCAAATTATTTAGATAATCGGGCCACTTAAAAACAGATTCAACACCATTGCCGAGAGATGTGGATTTCTTAGCCAAGGTTTTACAATAAGCAAAGCAAAGTTTCCACTTCTCCTCAGTTATGCCATTGATCAGACAACTCCTGCTTCAGTTAAAGATGCCTTTAAGACAACAGGAATATATCCTCTTTCTGTAGATGCTATAGATAAAAGTCAGTTAATACCAGCATCATTCAAGCAACCTGTAACAGAAAGTAAGCATTTCTATGATAATAAAGTAATAGTTCTACTATCTTTGCAAGGTGGTTGATAGTAAGACCTTCTTCCAACAATAGATCCGTGTTTAATTTTCACCATGTGTACGCACCAATACATTTAAAAAAATTTTTTTTACCTCTTTCTTCGTCTGGATAATAAATTTTGTTCAGATGCTTTACATTAACTCTGATCGTGCGGCTCTTGTGATTGCATTTCTACGCGTTTTGAACTCAGGCTATGTATTATTCTATAAAATTATAGAACTTCATAACAATTTTATTATTTTAAACATTTGATCTGAAACGAACTGATTTTTTCCAACTCATTATTTTCCAGATGCTGGCACAGCAGAATTAAAGACATGTCCTACGTGCGGTGTCTTTAATGTAAATCCACTGTTAAAAGATGGACTTGTGCCAAAATCACTTGCTGACGTCCTAATGCCACCTCCAGCAAAACCACTTAGCCAAAAGAGAACGTCAAGGATGATCCTTGAAGGCAGAATCATAAGTGGAGATGACATGTTAATGAAATTAAAAGTAAACATAAATTCTCTACAATAAAAGAAATATATGTTTTCATATGCAATAAACTATGGTATTTTGCTAATGATCTTAACATAGGTATTTCAACAATATGTCTTTAAGAAAATGAACAGAATGTAAATCATAAATGTGCTGTTTTTTTATAGGAGAAAGAAAAGGCACTGGAAGAGAAGAAAGAAAGACAGGAAGAAAGAAAGAGAATACGAGAGTTGAAACAAGAAGAGAAGGCAAAGAAAGAAGAAAAGAAAACCAAAAGAAGGGAAGAAAAGTCAAAGAAGTCAGCGAGAAGAGATGTATCTTCACAGTCAGAAAAGCGGGACAGGCCTAGTAGACTAGACAACCCTATGTATACATGTACTTGTGGAGTTTGTAGTGTGCGTGGGAGAGTGGATGATGAAGCGCGTGGTATAGAGTGGGTTGGATGTGATGAATCTATGTGTCTAGCGTGGTACCACTTAGATTGTTTATGCACTGAAGAAAAAGAGTATATACGTGAAAGCTTGTCCGATGGTAATGACTGGTATTGTAAAGTTTGTAAACCTTGGTTATATATGGAGGAATGAACGAATGAATAAGTAAATGAATGAATGAATGAATGAATGAATGAATGAATGAATGAATGAATGAAAAGAATTAATGAATTAACGAATGTTTTGTTAATATGAAACTGTGTGTTGTACAGAAAAATGACCTACCGATGTTCTATTTTAAATGTTACTACTAAAGTTAGATCATATCAATTGTTGTATACGTACGTTCCTAAGGTATGAATATAATATCATATCTGTATGTGATTATTAGTTTCTGATAATTTGTGATTGTGATTGTTATTATTATTATTGATTTATTTACTTTAAAAAAAAGAAAGATGATGTTTTTACGTTAAATTGATTTATACGTTAGAACGGTTACATAATGCGTTGCATATTAAATATCATACTAGCATAGATATTCATTATACTTACGTAATGCTCAGAATTTTTTATAACAAATATTGTTTTTTGACATATGAATAGTAAAGAAATAATAAAATGTCTAAACATGTTATTTTACGTTTTAACTTACTTATTTTAGAAGAAAAACAAAGAGCCGGAATTATCCACTCGCGCGGGTTAAAAATATCCTTTTTACGTACCTCTTCCAGGGCCTCTCAAAATTACCCGTTGTTTCTAAATATAACTTTTTATGGTGATACCGGAAAATCGAAGAGCTGAAGTTTATTATGATGTAAGATTCATCAGAATACGTAAACAAATAAATAAAATATGCCCCAAAAATACTGATTTTCGGCCGAGTTTATCTCCCCAACCAGTATAGAAATTATTACACAATTCATTGATTAAATGCCTGTATGGCCTAATAAATGGTCAATGTCTATTTCCATAAGACTCATCCCTTGAAAATATAGGTTCAAATCTTACAAGGAACATTGAATTATTTTGTTAGAAAATGTTTTTAGATCCTTGATGGAGTTGAAGCTCTATCCAGGTCTTTGTGAATGTTGCAGTGCCTTATTTATTTTTGACAACAACCCATGTATTTTGAAGTAGGGACATTAAAAGGAAGTAAAAATAAGTAAATTGGGAAAATTTAACAAACAATTAAAAAACATTCACCTTTTCGATGATGATTTACATATAATTCTATATAAATGATGCTTTCGTAAAAAGCAAATTATGGTATGCATAAAAAGTTTGGGAAAATCCTATTTTTATTTTATTGTCTGGGATTAAATTGGGAATATTCAAGTTTGTTTATTGGGTAAAAGGCTTTTTTTGTGTCTCAACAAAGTTTACTGAATCATTTGAAAGAATAAAAGGCATCACATTAATATTGTAGTTAGGTTCATGATAGGTATAAAGTGATGCTATCTATATATATCATGTTATATATTCTGGTGTTCTTGCAATATTTAGGGTATGGCTTTAATAGACAGACAAAGTACACCTGAAGTGATATGTTATTTATCGGCTGATACCTTACCAGAGGACATCAATGAGAGGTAAGATTTAATGAGGAAATAAGTCTTTGTAATTACAATAGAGTTTGATCTGAGTAAGAAGTTTTGATTATTACCTGTTAAGGGATTTTGGGAGAGTGCTGAAATGTACTTGCTTTTTATTTGATGACTGAATTACTTACTCTGGAGAAACAAAAATAAGTCTAGAATTAACAGCTTACTGTGCATTTGATTAAATTGGCAACAATGAAAACTAGAACTGCCACAGGACTATGAATTATACCCCTGCATGCCACTTTGTTATAGGATATTTACTTTGAGAAAGTCCACCTGTTTGTCAGATACTTCATGATATTGTTTGATCAGCTACATCTTTCAAGTACATGTAGCATTCATTAAGATTACATATGCAGCTCACTCCAGTATACCCCCTTCATACTTTCTTTGTGGGGTTAAGTTGACTTAGAAGAAATGACAGTTAATGTTTGTTTTTTAGAAAGAAGGAAAAATTATCCACTTTCAAGTTTCTAGGTCATCTACCACCAATGATAGTTTTTTTGTGGTGAAATACTTGTATTGGGAATGACCTTTTTATACTTTCAGGTTTGACTTCTTGTTTAGAACTAAAGAAAAATGGACATTAGAGGAAATTACTCCTTATATCAAGTAAGTAATTATGTTGTGATTGGTAATATTTATGCAAAAAAAATATGATGCTTTTGTTGTGAATAATTATATGCAACCAAAAGATATTTTTGTTTTTGTTCATGTATTTTACAATTAAACTTTGGGCAATAAAAATAGGGTCTCCAAATGAGCAAATGGGTCAAAAGCATTGATCTTAACTAAAATGATTTAATACTTTACTACCTTACATTTTACACTGTATGTTTTCCAAGTGAATCATGATTGCATTTACTATTTTTGTTGTCATATTTAATTTTATACACTTTTCACACACAAACGAAGAATAAGGGCTATTTTGGATTAAGCTCATTTAAAGTAATTTATGTGGAATAAAGGTGCATTATTCTATTTGTTCACTTAATACATTTTCTTTTTTAAAACACTAAATTTTCATAAGAAATAAGCAACTATCTATAGGCAAGCTTTAAAGACTTAAGTCTAAAACATGTTATTATCTTTATTTTTCAAAAGCTTACTTGAGGTGTCCATTTAATGTTTCCAAAAAGTTACTTTTTTGCCATATAGCCATCTGTTGCTTCTTTTGCATTTTGGCACAATTTCACTTTCATGTCGTACTTTAATGGAAGTCTAAATACCTCCTTGTTTACATTTTGCTTCCGTTATCACAAATTATTCCACATTCAGTCCTTTTTTCTTCAGGTGATCAGCATCTTACATGTTCCAAATGCATTATTATCACATTATAAAACACATGTTTGCCTTTTCTACAGAAAGGTAACAATTTACATTTCTTAGAGTAAGGATTAATGTGCCTTCTAGATCTACAGAATTTTACAAAAAGTAATTTCTGAGCTTTTAAAACGGTCCTATTGGAACATTGTTTAACAGCCTTGTGTGTATTTACTTTCAGGGATCTAGAAACAGATAAAATGAATATTTCAGCAATGCTGACCAAGTTTGCTCGAGCATCAACAACAAATGGTGTCAAAATGTACAACTCAAGAAAACCTCTTACTTGATGATAGAAATTGTAATTAACATGTTTGCAATAAATTTTAAATTATCTCCAAGTAAAGTTGTTATTTAAATGATCAATCTAATCTTTGAATCAAATTTTAGTCGTAATTTTTTATTTACTGTGAATCAAGCTGTTATTGAATCTGAGCAGTTTTTGCAGAATCTAAAACATATACATGGTACATTGCTTTCTGTTTTCCATTCAGAAGTTATAAATTTTTACCAGGGTACTTTAATGACATGGTTAGAACTTCTGTTTGGTAGGGTATGATCATACTATGGACACGATTGTAAACGATATTGTGTTTGGTTTACATCTCTACAAATCTACTACCATTTACACAAAGCATAGGAAATAACATGCTCTAATGCTGTGATATTCCAAACAGCTTTTAGGATATGAATTAATTGTTTTACAAAGGAAAATGTGTTGTGAACATGTAGTTTAAGTGGAAAATATTTCATTGAGAATTACCCAATTCAGTTTTAAAGAGGAAAAAATAATTGTTGAAGCAAATTACTACCAACCCTTTTTTATGCCAAAAAAAATTTTTGGGCAATTATCAAAATTTTTGTTTAACCCTGGCTTTGTCTGTCTTCCCCTCGCATCACGGACAGTAATTATTTGGGTAAGGGACGATAGGTAACTTTTTTCTCTTGGGTGTCATTCATTCTGTAATGCTTTTATGTGGCTATTTTCTTTTGTGTGGCTAAAAAGAACAATAGAGTAGCCACATTATTACTCTCCTGTTAGGGGTCTCAAGGTCAAAGGTCAAGTCACTATTACCTTAAAACTGAAAACAGTTTCTGGAGCATAACTTAAGTTCCATTTGGCCCACAATATTCAAACACCTTAAAATCGAAAACAGTTTCCGGAGCATAACTTAAAACTGAAAACAGTTTCTGGAGCATAACTAAAGTTCCATTTAGCCAACAATATTCAAACTTCTTAGGATGATTGTCCATATTGGGTAGAAGACCCCTATTGATTTTGGGGTCACTAGGTCAAAGGTCACTATTACCTTAAAACCGAAAACAGTTTCCTGAGCATCACTTAAGTTCCATTGGCCCACAGTATTCAAACTTCATAGAATGATTGTCCATATTGGGTAAAAGACCTCTATTGATATTGGGGTCACAAGGTCAAAGTCACTATTACCTTAAAACTAAAAACAGTTTCCGGAGTATAACTTAAGTTCCATTTGGCACTCAATATTCAAACTTCATTGGATGATTGTGTTTATTGGGTAGAAAACCCCTATTGATTTTGAGGTCCAAGGTCAAGGTCACTATTACCTTAAAACTGAAAACAGTTTCTAGAGCATAACTTAAGTTCCATTTGGCCCACAATTTTCAAACTTCGTAGGATGATTGTCCATATTGGATAGAAGACCCCTATTGATTTTTGGTTCTTACAATGATTGTCCATATTTGGTAGAAGACCCCTATTGATTTTGGGGTTAAAAGGTCAAAGTCACTATTACCTTAAAACTGTAAACTGTTTCTGATCAATAACTTAAGTATTAATCAACCTACAGCTGTAAAATTTTATATGATGAACAGCTAATTGCCATGTCTTACTACTGCTTCATTCTTTCTAAAAAATACACTTTCGGGCATATAATTCTCCGCCTAGCTGTGCTCTTGTTAGGATTTTTTTCCAAGTTTGATGTAATGTGGTATTCAGGCCAGAACATCATTACAGATGCAAAGCTGAGCTTCTTAGGCCAATTTGGTAGACATGACTAGACTAGTCACTTCAGAGAGAAAGCTACGAGATACAAGGGAATCCAGGAACCAGACCCTAGCTCTTATTGAAAAGACCCCTTGGTTCTTTTACATGCCCAGTGTATAGCACTGATACATGAGAGGATTACCAGGGCTTCTTACCAGTACACCTCTGGTTAGGTGGGAAACACTGAAAGTGTCTCTGAAAAATCCCAAGGGTGTTACCCAGGATTGAACCTGGGACCTCAGGAGTGACAGCCAGTGGTCAAAACAACTGAGCTATTGTGCCACCTTACAATGTTTTATAATTTAAGCTGCATGCCTCAAGATGAGAGCAAAAAAAGTTCAAGAAAATCAAACTTGAGAATAATTTACTAAGATTTTAAAAAAGTAAAAAGATTCAGGTGATAATTCACATGTTATAACTGATTTTGCAGTATTCATCGTGTCACTAACACAGTTGCATCATGCTATTTTTGCAGATTTGACCTCTTTTTTTTTTAATTTATATGGATTGTTCTTTTTGTTAATTTAAATGGATTGTAAGTGCAAATTGCAATGTATAAATTACTGGTCCACTCAGCAATATTTTATTTTTAGACAGATTTCAAAGTTTTCATGAATATAAGCATGAATCTGGAGGACTGCTGCTTTAAAATTGTATAATAGAAACAAACATTTTTATGAGATTTCTACTGTGAAAAACACAGGCCTAAGATAATGTCTCCAGACTTGACCCCTTCATGAGTAAAATAACAGAAACAGAAAATATTTTTTAGAAATACACAATTTATTGCACAAAGCTGTTTAACTAGATTATAACATGTCAGATGTCAGCTCAATCCCCAGAATGATGTAGGTTTATTGTTAACTGCGCGTTCCCTCGTAACAAATGATGTAAATGATGATACACAGTTGCCTATAAAGTGAACAGACTGCCCTAGTATATAGAGATCTAACTGTGGAAGCCATGGATCCTGATGGTACACTGATACCTGATAATAAAATTAAGAAAATGTTGATGATGTACAACATGAAGTATTTAAATGAAATGCATGAACTTCTTTCATGTGTTTTTAAAAAAGTAGCAACAGACACAGGTTGACCAAGTAGGCACTATTATTATTTAATAAGCTAACCAAAAAGTTTTGGCCTCAAACTTTTAAAGGAGATCTGTCTCAAATCTCAGGATTTTTATTGGTCAGTGCACATTCTGTGCTAGTTTGTGACCAATCAAAAGACCCTAGATCTGAGAAAATATGTTTATAACCTCTAGGCTAATCATTCAAAGTTTCAACATATTTTAAGATGTTAAATCATATCATTTTACATCTAAGTAGAGTAAAATATTCTTACATATGGATATTAACAGTGTTCATATGATAAATCTCGACCTTTGAACCACTCCAGCCTGTGTCTTACCGCATGACCACAGCTCCCCTATATTACAATATGATATATCCTTACAAATTATCATGTAAATGCCTCAAATAACCCTTGTCTACAACTAACCTGATAATCTTTCAGATGTTTTTCAATCTCATCTATCATAGGGTGTTTATCTGTGGCAACATAGACTACTTTAACACCAGTTTCTTTAACAACTTTCTCCAACAACCTGGAAATTCAATACTATCAATATTTCAGCATCATATAAATGATTTCATTTCAGTATCATGTAAACAATATTATATATTCAACAATATTTCTGTTTCGGTATCCTATAAACAATATTAAAATTTCAGCATCATGCAAATGGTATTGTTTCAGTATAAAAAAACAAGATCTACTTTTCATTATTATATGAACAATATTTATGTTTAAGTTTGTTTGTCATATCGCGACGTTCCAGCTTTACTGGTGGAGGAAGACTTCAGGTGCCCTTCTGTACATTATTTCAGGCATGAACGGGCACCAGAGTAGAACCACCGACGTTCTATAAGCTAGCTGGATAGCTTCCTCACATGAAAGAATCCAAAGTCCCTGTCGGGATTCGAACCCTCAGCGGTGAGGGGCAAGTGGTTTGAAGTCAACGACCTTAACCACTCGGGCCACGGACATCCCTTATGTCTTAGTATCCTATAAACAATATCAACATGTCAGTATCCTTGACTGTATCAACATTTCAGCATCATATAAACAATATCTATGTTTCATTATTATATATTCAGCAATATTGTTTCAGTTTCCTATAAAAAGTATCAACAATTCAGTATCATATAATAATATTAAGATAGAATAAAACCTGACTTTATATATTTGAGGGAAAACACAATATACTATTTTTGCTTCGGGTATAGCGCCAGTTTATATTTATACATTGTATCACCTAACAGCTCTCTGTATGAGAACTTTCAGTCATAATTGCTTTTTCAGCGATGTAAATCTGCAGCAAAAGACAAAATTAATGACTTGACAGGCATTACTTTCAAAAAAAATTGTTTTGGGTAAAATTATGTGCTGCTGCCTCTAGCAATTTGCAAATCTAATGTTTTATAGATTATGTTCTCCCAGGAGAGCCATATTTATTCAAGATTATACATATGCCAGTATATTGTAAATAGAACTAAAAATCACTGTCTCTTAAAATGCAGTTGAAGGTACTAACAGGTTCTACTTTTTCACACATTATTTTCATTGGTGTTTAAAGATTGATAAAGGATTTAGATTATTGTAGATGAAAAGTGTAATCATAAAATCTCAGCAAACCTTAATACTTCTTGTTTGGATGGCAGACACATGTCTTCTGTGACCAGTCCTCCGCCATTTACAGGCAGACATTGCGGGGACGCCATGTACTTGGGCTGACCAGCTGCATGCTTACATGCATTTTCCTTAAATAAAAAACGTCAACAATAAATAGGATAGCTTACTGGAAACTTGCAGTAATAATTAACCATCCTGGAATATTTATGCCTTGGACTAGTAAAATAAATGGGGGAGTTAACTACCCAACACTTATAAAAGAAATCTTTGTTGTTTGATAACTAAATACAATATAAACAGTTTATATACATGTATTACAGTGTATACAGTTCATATATTAAAAAAGCTTAAGATTCTGAGTTAGAAATACTTGTACAAATAAAAAATGTGCCACAGCACACTTCACTGGTGCTCCAGTTACGCTTTTATTCAAATATTTTTGAAAAACACCATTTTTTGGGAGAAAATAAATGTGTTTTAAAAAAGTATTAAAGAACTTTTATTCATCTTCTGATGACATTAACCCATACTGTCCTGAGTATGTAAATGTTAATGCAAATTAGGATATTTCAACTATTCATAATCATGTTGAGTGACATCGATATTTAAATCTAATGAAAAAATTGGAAAGCAGTATTACCCAGTCAGGTCCATTCCTTAAATGTATGCCCGCATATTCCTGCCCTGGAAAATGATCATGAATGTATTTCTGCCCTTGCTGAATAATTTCATCTGACCATTGTAAATATTTGTGTAACTTCCAATTCTCAGGCTTCATGGGAAATGGGGCTGGTGCTCCCTTCAATGCTATAACAGGGTACTTTGATGGTGGAAACCTGTCACAGAAATGAAAGTTTATTACAGCTGAGGCATACAATTAAAACAAGTTATAACTAATAATGATAAGAACATGTAGTTGGTATTAAAAGTTAAAATGGATGTAAATGTGGATAATTTTCTATAGAAATTTAAGTCTTTATATTAAGATCAATTTCCCAAAAGTAGGAACTATGATGCAGCCATTTTGATGATTTCTACTTTCATAAGTCTGATTAAACTGAGATTTTAAAGTTAATTGTAGTAGTGTGCAATGATAATAGAAACAAATTTTGATAAACAATAATTTTTGTAAGATAAATTCACATACATGTACCCAATGTACTAAAATAACTCATTCACTTAGTAAGTTATACTTTTAATTTTCTGCATGGCATTTTAATTACATTTGAAATAACAATTAAGGGTAAGTGATAAAACAACCACAGCAGAATTGAATTTATAAGTCATTACAAAACAACCAAAACAGGATTGAATTGTCAATACAAAACAACTGGAGCAAAAATGAATTAATCTGTCAATACCAAACAACCAGAGCAGAATTTAATTGATCTGTTATGATACAAAACAATCGAAGCAGGATTAAATTTGTCTGTTGTACCTATCACAATTTAACTACATAATACTTCCAAAGTTCTCAAATTTCTCAAAACATGATTTTTTTACAAGACCTTCACTTCTCTTGAATACTCTGATGATTCTGAACAAATATTGGCCAGACAGGATAATTTTTGAAATGTTTGATAAACAACAGAAAAATACATATAATATACATATTAATATTATGTTTTCTATGCAATACTTAACGTTACACACTCTTTGTTACTTAATCTTCCATTTTCAGTTAACAACAGTTAAACTGAAATATTGAAATTGCGGATAAAATTGTATTTTGATAGCCAATCAAATTGAAATGATTATAGTGATACTGACATACCCGTTACCAAAAGTTACACATATAAATTACCTTGTACTCCATTCTGTTGGCTGTGTATAGCTCACCATAAAATTCTCTTTTTTATCAAAATCCACACCAAGACCATCCCAAAATGGACCAAACGGATTACCTATAAACACCATATAACTTGCAGTCATGTACAATGTACATGTATGAAGATATTACTTCTCTTGTCTGCTCAAGAAACAATTCTGTCATTAATTTCACTTGCCTGATACAGATCAACTAAGCTTCAATAAAATCAAATTAACAGACCTTTTAACTCACTGACTTTCAGAAATAAAAAGAAACACATATAGGTAAACTGAAAGAAAACCTGAATATTTGCAGTGTCTATTCTAGGATTCGAGAAAGAGGGGGGATTTTTAACGAAAGTTAGAATTTTTACGTTTATTGATCTTTTTCCTTCTTTCTCTATGTAAAATTTCCCCCCTGCCTCTGAAAATTGGGGGGAATTCTCAAAAATATGGGAGAATCACCCCCATCCACATTGAAATCTTGATAATATTATTACATATCATATAAAATAAGTAAAATTGGCTATCATTATCACTGTAAAATATGTTGGCATTCACCTTGTTTAAGATCACATTCCCTATCTTCTGTATATGAGAAACAGAATCCTGTTCTATTCCCGACTGGCCAAACCTGATCAGCTAGGTTCTCCATAAAATCTTCCGCCACTATGACTCTGTGGTATTCAGTCAATGGCTCAAGTCTAAACCAGTCTGTGAAACGTATGTTTTTCTGAAATTGTCAATATTTAAAACATAATGTACTACTTAAACAGATATCACTGAAGTTTTCAATGGTAGTAAAAACCTGTTTTACTTACAACCCAATGTCTTGAAGGTCATGTCATGGAACCCTTTATTATAAACATACTTAACTTTTCCTATATCTCTACATTGAATTGCAATCATGAAATAAATAAATCATATTTTATATGAAGCAGACCATTTTAATATGAATATCACAATTTTTTTATTTTGTTGAACCAAGTCAAAGATGATTAAGTCCAGCACATGCCAGACCGCACAATGTAAAATATCCTGAATATGTTGATAAAAGAGTTGCATGAAAATACAGAGGTCCCAGTTATGATGTGACATGTCCCTAAGACTGGATGTGCCCAAAGACAGAAGGTCAGATTTTCAAAGACAAAATAACTCCCAAAACTAATCTTAGAGGTTTGTAGAACTTCTGCTCAAGAGACAGAAATTCCATATTTCTAATGCCCTACAACTTAATGTTCATAAAACACATACTTTATAGTATGAACTTCTGGTAAATTTTAAACAACGTACATAAGTTCTCCAGGGTGGCAGCAATAATGTTCTATCTATTGCTTTAGCAAATGCTAATCCACCTAGAAAATGTTCAGCCTGATTTCCAAATCTCCCTGAAACATAAATGTCTTTGAAATAATACTAAAGTCTTTTACAATTTACTAATTAAGTCATGATTGTTATTTGTTTGGGTTGTCAGACCAAACAAATAATGGTAGCGAAATTTCAGAGCTTAATGCTGTTAATTGCAAATGCCTAAAGTGGTCCACTTTTTTTAAGCGGTTACTTTCCTTTATATGTACACTAACGCCGAAAAATTCAGGGGAGATCAATGCGTAAAGATTGTCAAATGACAGGCGCATTAATTTTCAAGCAAAGTAGTTCCCGAATGGTCGAAGATTTCTAATATTGTTTCATTCTTTATAGATATACATGCTTACAGTAAGCTCCATGATTATTTACATCTGTGTTTAGCAACAAAATAATAAGAGTTACAAACCCTAATTTAGAATAATATGGTTTTCTACAGGTCGTTAACTTATAATTTCACTGTGGCCGAGGGGTTTGCATGCTCGCTTATGAATCGAGAGGTCTTGAGTTCAAATCCCAGTTGAGGCAACTCATTTAAAAAAAAAAATTAAGTCAAATAAACATTGAATTGACTATCAGTGTTGCAATTAGTCTTATAGCCAATTTACTACAGTTAAAACACTGGAAAGCATTGGTGGCACTATACAAAAACAAATTGGTTTATAATCTCACAACCTTCACCTTTCTGACATTCTGAGACCCAAACAAATTCAGCGCCTTCTGTGCTTTGATTTTTTATAACCTAATTGTAATGTGTACTAAATCAATAGCACTATAAAGTCTTTCAAATGCTAGAGATATTTCAATTTTCATATCAGTCCAAGATAAAATTATATAGATCTAAAATGTATCATTCAAATTGTCGTCAGAAAAAACAGAGACTGAGTGTTGCTAAAGAACAAATTTAATTCTTTTAAAATAACATTAGTTCACTCAAAATTAAAGATATTAGTGAAAACAAATCAGTATGTATAAAAATATATACCCATGCATAAACAAAATATAAGATATCCTTTAGGATCCACTTTATATTTGTTTCCTGATTCTTCACTGCCAACAGTGTCATGTGACCTTACACTTACTGACAATACTAGAAGTAACAAACATGCAGTCCCCTTCATCTTGGTATGTTTCTGAAATGTAAGACGAAAATATTACATGCAACACCAGCTTTAGAAATTTGTTGAGTGAATTTGTATAAATTATAACAAATTATAATAAAATCAATATTGTATATTAGTGTAACAGGTTGCTTTAATGTTCACCATTTACATTATTAACAGGCCGAGTATACATGTATTTTATATGGAAATCAATATTATAGAATTTATTAACTTTAAGTTTCTGTCAAAATGAAATATTTTAAAATAAGATTTAGGTGATCGGGCATTAAGTTATGTAATTTATGTTGTCAGTAGTCCAAGTTGATTATGGGTATTGATTTTCAATGTGTTTTAGTTTATATACTTGTAAATTTATTTTAGTTTGATTGTGTTGGAAGCTAATTCAAGCTTATTGAAACACTTTGGAATGCATTCCTGGAACCAACCAGTTACTGCTAAGGAATGAATGTAAAATTTCTTGCTCAAGGAAACAACGACTTGCCCTAACAGGGTTTGAACCCACGCAGTAAGCAATCCTTAGATTACTAGTCCAACACGTTAACCACTCGCCCACGCCGCCTCTCAATGTGTTTTAATTTAAAATCTGTTTTTTATTAAAAAAGTTTGGACTACATAAATTTGACTTCATTAAGGCTAGGATGGGAACTCAGTGGTACCTACCCACAGCTCGGGTAAATTTTGGAATATGTACTGGGGTGCAAACTTAAGTACCCAGTACCTAGCTCAGTCTACAAAATCCAATGAACAAATTTATGCAAAAATATCAAATTTTATTTGCTATTTGCTCTCAGACCCACACATTCACAAATTAAATACAAACTTGCTTCTTTAACAATCAATAATCAAAATATAGTAAATTATACATCTCTGTGACAGATTAACATTTTTTTTTTAATAATTAAATATCAAAGCTATAGGTCTTGTAGTTTCTGAGGAGAAGTCTTTTCAGACACAGTCCACTCCACTTATAACAAACTCGCTTATAACGAATTATCGCTAATAGCGAACTAAATCTGACATCCACGTCCGATTCCTTCTATATGTTATATTAAATCACATTGCATAATACATACTCACTTCAAACGTATTTCGGCTAAAACTAACCATTTTTCAAGCCCCAAACGGCGGAAAAAATGTAAATTTCCTTGGTTAAAAAGAAACTGTTATAATTGAAATATCAGGATGCGCTCGATGAATAACGCTATCCGATAATTATTCAAAGTGCTTAACTTCTCAATGGATTGAGACAGAGTTAAAGGCCTAGCTTTCAGCGTTGTTTACACTTTACCTTACGATCGACCGGAGGCCATCCTGCCACATGTCCAAAATTTTTTTGGCGATGAGGGGGGCTGCTGCCCCTCTTCAAACCCACGAAACAGAAGATGACACATCCCAAAAAGGGGGCGGGGTCAAAAAGCCGTCAAAACACGTCTATATGAGGTAAAGTGTTAAATTACCGCTGTGGTATAATACCGGTTACACCGATAACCAGTGACAGGTATGGCTTTTTCACCCAAACAAGTCAGCAAGTTGTTGCTACTTCTCTTTAGCTAACTTCGGATTTAAAGAACCATATTTTAATGTGCCATTGAGTTTGTTATAAGCGAAGTCGACTGTAGTTTAACCTTTTACCCCATGAGCATATTGCGAAAAATGGCCATTTTCACTGAAAAGCCTCCTGTAACAAGTTCAAACTGCTATGAAAGTATGAAAAATGCTTCAATACTAATGAAACTTGGCACAAATGTTGACTACACCATAGCCTCTGTAACAGCATGCTCAATGATAAATTTCCTGTTACCATGGCAACAGGGGGACGTCTCAAAATTGCATCATCATTTTTCATCATTTCATTTTTCCATCAAAACTGATTTCAAAGTGCTGCAACTTCTCAATGAATTGAGATAGAGTAAAAGGCTTTTCAGCGTCGGTTACTAGCTACCCTAAGATCGACCTGAGGCCATTTTTAGCCTGTCACATGTCCAAAATTTTCTTGGAGATGAGGGGGACTCCGCCCCCCTTCAAACCTCCCAAACAGAAGGGGGCACATCCCCCTTCTGGCAACCCCCTGATGTAATATTTGGATGGGGATTGGCGCCGAAAAAGTGGTCACTTTTTTGAACAACATTTCTCAAGCGAAAAACAGTGTTTGGGGCCTAAATAGGGCATTTTTTCACTGTTTGAGGCCTCAAAAGGGGAGGGGGCAAAAAGCCGTCGAAATACGCTTATATAAGGGAAAAGGTTAATATACAAGTCAATACAAATTAAGTTACCCAAGAGTGGGACCAATTTGACTTGAGTTTTACGCACCACCAAAACAGTATAGGTCATTTGGCAATTTTCCTTGGGTGCACCTCTGCTCATTAATTCAGACACAAACCATAAAACGGGCACTAAGTGGAACTACCAACATCCCATAAGGTAAGCTGGATAGCTTTCTCACATGAAGAATTCATAGAATGATGCCTGGCTCAAACCAACAGTGGTGAGACAAGTGGGTTGAAGTCAACTACCTAAACCACATGGCCACAAACGCCACCAATTTTGACCCCAGGGGCATGATTTATATAAATTATATGTAGAGGACTACACAGGGTGTCATACTACATCCAAATACAGTAATTATACCTAGGGCATTGAACATTTTTAGTTACATTTTTGACATCTATTTTTAGCTCCTGTGACCTACTTATGCATCACACTGGAACCATTTATGTCACTTTTGTTGAGGACCACCTATTGAGGGTCATTCATGTGAAGTTTTTGTCAAAATCCAAACTAATGGCGGCGTGGCCGAGTGGTAAACACGTCAGACTATCTATAATCTTCGGACCACGTGGGTTCAAACCCTGTCAGAGGCAAGCTGTTGTTTACTTGAGCAAGAAACTTTACATTAATTGCTTAGTACTGGTTGGTTCCAGGAACGGATTCGGGAGTGTTTTAATAAGCTTATAGCTTCCAACACAATCAAACAAATAAATTTGTATAAACTAAACAGTGATTTAGGAGATGTTGTGTAGGAAATTATGAAAACAACAAATGACGGTCACACTGTCAAGACAAAAGCCCTGACTTATGAGCACTTTGTGATAAATAAGAACCTCAAAGTTCAAGGTCACTCTTGAACATCCAAAGTCATGATATATATAGCCTGTTGAGATTACACAGAAATGCAGGCTGGCCTGGTTCCTATATATCATATATATTTATAGCCTGTTGAGATTACACAGAAATGCAGGCTGGCCTGGTTCCTATATATCATATATATATATAGCCTGTTGAGATTACACTGAAATGCAGGCTGGCCTGGTTCAAATCACTGCAATTAACCAGGTGTCAATTTTGCTAACCACACGAATAAGTTGGTCAATAGGTGTAACCGCTAATCTTACCTACAGCTACCAGTAGCCTTGTTGTAGGTAAAGATTAATATAGTTGCAAAGATTTAAGATATTTATTTAAGCTTGATTGTAGCTTACTAACTAGTACTGGCGCCATATAAGGAACAATGGTGTGGCCACCCAGCTAGTAGTCAAAATATATTGACGTGCCAAAGCTTGATTCTGAGATATTTTCGTTCTGGGGCAGAATCTCGCTTAGAGGCGAGATATTGCCCAGACACGAAAATAGCACAAATTATATCTCGTCGCGCAGTACAATTAGTTGGACTACCCAGCTAGGGGTAGGAAAGGTAGGGGATTGGTAATTATAATTAATTCACTGACTTTTGCATTTATTACATATGAATGATGGTCGATTAGAATTAGTCAACTGGAATGACAATGTATTCAATCTTTAATATCCTTTCTACAGTTCTATGCGACATGACATTCTACTGTACAACCTATAAAAAAGATAACAAAAGTGAAAAAAATAAGTGCTTACACATTCACATAAAGTCAGCAACGAATCATTAATCAGTTGGTGACCCTTGGTGTAACCGCATTTACCTGTTTACAAAAACGGATATCAGATAACGAAAGTAGCAAGTTTTTATTCATGGTTCCCGGGAAGCACATCGGAGCGAGACACGATGACGGTGTCCAATCGCAACTACTCGGCCCTTTCCGTCTGTCTTGGGATAAGGACGATACGGTGTCGTATCATTCGGAACTTATTCCGAAGACTGACGGAAAGGGCATTTAAGTGACAACGGTAACCATTATCCGGCCCGCTTTAAGTAATGTAACGATTCGCCACTTTACGATTTGGAGCTCCATGTAATTACTCTGCTGTCATCATGGCCGAAATGGCAGGACCGTCTAGTTCGAAGAAAATGAAAACAGACTATGATAAACAACTTTTTCAGGACTTTTTGTCTAATAATGAACGTTGTGCACGGGTTTCAAGAGCACTTGGTGATTTACTAAATGGGTCTGGTCCGATTCCTTTAGTAGCATGTGCAATGGAAATTATAGAGACTGATGCTAATTTGTGTAAATCTTTTGGTAATGTTAACTGTCGTACAAGGTGTCACTTTAATGAAGCACCAGTAACAATTAGTATCGGAGCACTCTTTAAAAGAGGCTGTGAAATATTAATTGAATATTTGAAAAACAGAAAGGTGCCTGGTGAGAAGAAACTACGAAATGTATATTAGATCTTAATGTTATTGATTGCTTTCCTTACTAAAGAAGACAAAGGTGGGTACAATATTGTAAATGACAGGTTTTTCTTACCCTTACCTGGGACTTGAAAATGATCTTAAGTCCCAGCCCTTATTTCTAATTAATAGCCTGTCATTTTGGTAAAGCTGGGACAATTTACTGTTTTGAAATATTCCTGAAAATACTTAGTGACTTTATATGTTTAAATCTGTCAAGAATATTTGCTATATTTTTAACACCTTTTTTCTGGTATGTTTATTCAGTCAACACCGAATGTCAGACGTTTCACTCCCAAGACGTTTCACTATTGAGACGTTTCACTCCCAAGACGGTTCACACCTAGACGTTTCACTCCCATTTTGTCAATTGTATGGACGTTTCACTCCCAATTTTGAGAGATGTTTACCAGAAAAGTTAACAAATTTTAATTTCATTAATATCAAACAGTGTAAAAATGAAATTCAATTTAATGTTTCATTTTGTTGATTTCAAAAGTATTGTTTATACAAATTATTAGAAGATTACTCATTTAATTATGGGTTGAGTGATAAGAGCTGTAAATAAAAGACTGAAATATCACTTTTATCATTAGTGTAACAACATGAGAAAATTCTATTTATAGTAGATTGAAAAAAAAATAGAATAACATAGAAAGAACAACAAAGACATGTTAATCTAAAAATCAGTTTAAATATTGAAATCACTACTAGAGGTAATTATAATAAAAAATATCAATACATTAAATATATTGACAATATAATGATTTTTTTGTAAGTCTTAAACAATGAAATGCGAAACATGTTTATAAAATATTTATTTTTTTTAATTATTTTCTTTATCAATTTATTTAACAGAAGCCATTTTACAAAATTTAGTAATTGTGGTGTTATCTCATCACCTAATTAGTTGTACAAACACAGACAATCAACTAACAGTTTGACACCACTATTAAATCAGTTGTATAAACACTGCAATTAAGCATCAACAGTTTACTAATCAGTGGTTTATTGGACCATTAAAATATTTTTTGACAACAGCCAATTTAAACAGAAACTTCTCCATAAGTTTTGTTTATATAGATCTAATAATTAATTTTAGTCACAAAAATATGATTATACATGACAAATATTGAAAAAGTCCCAATGCTTCTTATTTAATTTAAAGGTCTTTCTGATTTCAATGGCCATTAAAAATTTTGACATATATCGCAAAAGCACTATACTAGCATTAAATAATTTAACAATTTTGTATCCCATCTTTAAAATTAACAACAAAGAAACAGGTTACTCAAAGTTAATTGTCACAATAATGTTATGCTTTAAATTAAAATTGCATATTGAGTCCATGTTTACAATAAATCAAATAGTTAGTTTTATTATTGTGTTATTTTAATCAAAAATATTTTTTCTTTAAGTGAAATGAAATGATAGAACTTAAAGTACTGAGTTTTAAATCATTGACAAAAAAGTGAAATCCCCATTTAATTTATTTTTATTAAATTTAAGGTCTATTTTAGTTCAATTCAATTCAATATTTTAGGTCTATTTTAGTATAGTCTATTTTAGATATATCATAAGTATCAAAATAATTTTGGTATAAAGAGGGAGTGAAACGTCTTGGTGTGAACCGTCTTGGTGTGAACCGTCTCAATAGTGAAACGTCTGTCTACCGTCAACACCTACACTATTAAGAAAGATAAAGACTGTAGTGTGGTGATTTATTGTTAAACACCTGTAATTATCATAAAGGTCAAGATTGTGATAAATTGATCATCTTCATTCATTTGTTTAAATAGCTAAAAAAGAGGTTAAAGATATGTTCTGGTACATGTGTATGTCACATAAATATTAACTGTTTAAGTACAAAACTATATATTTATCATGGATATACATTTGTAAAATAATACATTGTACACAATATACAGTTTAGAATAATCAATTCTTATTTTGGAGTATTCAAATGAAGTATTAGGGGTACACAAGACAAATTCACCAGGCTTGTTGCTTAGCAAATACTAGAAAACTAATATGTTAATAACATGAACAGTGTGGAAATATTGCATATATGCAGATGGCTTTTCCTCAAAATAGGTGGGGAGGTCATTCAGGGGGAGTATAGTCAATACCAATATTGTTTGTAATAAAGCAATTATATAGTTGCCTTACCATTGGATCACAGATTTCAAGTACCAGGGTGACAGTGTACAAATACAATTTACAATTTTATAAACAAGAAAAGGCCTAGTATTAAAGATACAAATGCCAAAGATAACCATGCTATTTTCACGTGATTCAAAATACAAAAGGTAATATATTACATTGTATACAGAATAGTAAATGACCTATGTTTGTGGTTGTTTTCAAGTTTATATTTGTTGGTATAATTGTGCTGCTTTTATCTTTGTACAGAACAGTCTGCCTTATTTGAAGATAGAACAGCAGAGAATAAAGAGGATTGGTGTTTAAGAGTTGCTCAGCATCTATTTTCACAGCTTAGTTACTCAGGAGAGTACACTATAGATAGTGGTTATGAAGGTTCCAACAGGAAAAGTTGTCCTTGTTCCAACAAAGATGAGCTTGTTGGTAAATTTGGTGACACAAGTTTTGGTAAGTTGTCGCTTTTATTAGAAACAATATGAAAATATATATTATAATGTTGGCAAGCTATATGATGATTCTATGTAAATATACCACTATCATAAATATACAATACATAAAAGTCATACATGTAAATATATATATCCCACTGTCCAAAATGTTCTCAAATTTTCTGTCCTGAAATGCTTTCTATAGTAACAAATAAAAAAAATATCTGTAATTGACCAACAAAGCTAAAGATGTTTTTCTAAAAGATACACAAATTGCCTAGACAGGGACTCAAACCTTTTTGTAAAAAAATGGCGCTGGTACCTCTCAACAACTGAATTTGTTTAAAAAAAGCATAGACGTTAACAGTACACACAATCAAGTGCAGGTTGTAAGATATAGTGTATCATTCAACATGATTGTCGAGATGTTACTGCTGCAGGAAGTATAATTTCCTTATATGTATATTTTGCAGGTTGCCGGACATTATGGCATGGAAGTGCTGACCTGATATTTGGGGTGGATATGCCTGTAAAACTGGTCCAGGAGAACACTGACATGTCCAAGTCTGAATCAGCAAGCTCTGATACAGTAGAAATGGAAACAAGCAATACAGAAAATGACTTTAGTTTAAATGATAAATATGAGATGAGAGGCCAGGTCATAGGATTTGGTTTTTATGTCAACAAGTTAGAAAGGCAGAAAGAAAATCCAAAGTATTTTTTGACTCCACATATTGGTATATCAAAGGAGAAAATCAAGTTCCTTTTTTATGACAGTGCTCATGATGTGCTTTTAGAAACATCTGCTCACAAACTCTGTTGTTATGGAAATCAGTTGAGTTATCACATTATTCTAACAGTTTGGTTAGTTATGAATTACAAATTGTTTGGAGGAGAAACGCCGGCTATCTTAAGAAGATACAAGTCTGGTTTTCACAGCATGTTTCCATCAAAATTAAAAGTCTACATAGATGATGTTAAAGCACCATGCCATGTAGATTCATCTTTACTAAAAGAAGATCATCTACCAAACTATTGTAAATATGTTAGTTCAGATGTCGTTGAAGTGAGAAGTGAGTAAAGCACTGCAGTTCAAATCAGTTGATGATCTGTAAAGAACATGATGATAAAATTGTATTGAAACTTATTATACATGTACATTGTTTAAGAGAATAGGTACAATAGTTCTTAAAGTTTAAGGCTCATTATTTAAAAGAAAAAGTAGTCTCTTTGGAAAGTACTGTACTTTTATATGTAGAAAGACTTTAAATCTCCAGCAACACATAATCTGAATGATCATAGACAGCTGATAAGCAAATGACTGTGTTAATGGGTCCCATCAGTAGTTTTGAAACAATTTAAATGGTAAAGCTTTAATGAGAGTTTCTGTGCATTGTTTGTTGTCCATTGTATGTTATTTTTAGCTCGACTATTCGATAAGAATAAGTAGAGCTATTGCAGTCACCCGAGCGTCGGCGTAACCACTTATGTTAAAGTTTTTGTAATAGTTCAAATATTTTCAAAGTCCATTGACATATGGCTTTGAAACTTTGCACACTTGTTCACCATCATGACCCCAACCTGTAGACAGGAGGAGGTAACTCTATCAAGCATTTTGACAGAATTATGCCCCTTTTTCGACCTAGAATTTACGTTAAAGTTTTTGTAATAGTTCAAATATTTTCAAAGTCCATTGACATATGGCTTTGAAACTTTGCACACTTGTTCACCATCATGACCCCAACCTGTAGACAGGAGGAGGTAACTCTATCAAGCATTTTGACAGAATTATGCCCCTTTTTCGACTTAGAATTTACGTTAAAGTTTTTGTAATAGTTCAAATATTTTCAAAGTCCATTGACATATGGCTTTGAAACTTTGCACACTTGTTCACCATCATGACCCCAACATGTAGACAGGAGGAGGTAACTCTATCAAGTATTTTTACAGAATTATGCCCCTTTTTCGACTTAGAATTTACGTTAAAGTTTTTGTAATAGTTCAAATATTTTCAAAGTCCATTGACATATGGCTTTGAAACTTTGCACACTTGTTCACCATCATGACCCCAACCTGTAGACAGGAGGAGGTAACTCTATCAAGCATTTTGACAGAATTATGCCCCTTTTTTGACTTAGAATTTACGTTAAAGTTTTTGTAATAGTTCAAATATTTTCAAAGTCCATAGACATATGGCTTTGAAACTTTGCACACTTGTTCAACATCATGACCCCAACCTGTAGACAGCAGGAGGTAACTCTATTAAGCATTTTGACAGAATTATGCCCCTTTTTCGACTTAGAATTTACGTTAAAGTTTTTGTAATAGTTCAAATATTTTCAAAGTCCATTGACATATGGCTTTGAAACTTTGCACGCTTGTTCAACATCATGACCCCAACCTGTAAACAGGAGGAGGTAACTCTATCAAGCATTTTGACAGAATTATGCCCCTTTTTCGACTTAGAATTTACGTTAAAGTTTTTGTAATAGTTCAAATATTTTCAAAGTCCATTGACATATGGCTTTGAAACTTTGCACGCTTGTTCACCATCATGACCCCAACCTGTAAACAGGAGGAGGTAACTGTATCAGGCATTTTTTTTACTATCAAGCACTAAGAATAGTCGAGCATGCTGTCCTACCGACAGCTCTTGTTTGTAATTGTTGTTTTTAGTCTTCACTCTTCTATTGTTTTTACCCTCTTTATCAGTTACAGATCTTTTTTCGGGGCGTACATGGCCAAATTTTTAAGGTCGTTGACTTCAAACCACTTCAACCTCACCGCTGTGGGTTTGAATCCCTACAAAAACTTTGCATTTATTTGTGTGAGGAAGCTTTCACAGCCAGCTTAAGGAACATTGGTGGTTCTACTCCAGTGCCCATTTGTGTGTGAAAAAATTTACAGAAGGGCACCTGAGGTCTTCTTCCACTAGTAAAGCTGAAAAGTCGCCATATGACCTATACTGTGTTGGTGCGATGTAAAACCCTCTTCCCCCCAAATGATGTAAAAAAAAGTTCCAGACAATAAAAGAACTTATATTTGATCAACAACCTTTAAAACTATCTAGGATGTTGGCCCTTAGGTCAAAGGTCAAGGTGACCTTTAATGTTTAAACTATTTCTCCTTTGTAACTTACCTTCTATTAGTTCCACATTCACCATCAGTGGCGTAGCTTCCTATAGGCACTGTAGGCACGTGCCTACACTTTTTCCTCAAAAATGAAAAATTTAATTATTACAAAAATGCGATAAAAATTTAAGGGTAAGGGTGGTAGATGTGTAGGTCCTAATATTAGAAAATGACCTGTCACCTTGCTTATTTGAATCGAGTTTTATACTCTTAATATAGAGCTTTATTTCATAACGAAAGTGTTGCCCTGTTCTGTGGTAAAACCTATCAGAGACGGATGAAGTTTTTGACAATATAAAAGTTTTTGGAACGCTTCGATTCAAAATATAAATATTAGAATCTACAAGACTGCACGACAATGATCGGCCATATCCAGATATCGGTAGTGCTAGCTTTAATACAACTGATGAGGAAGCTAAGCGATATCTTTCGAATGAAGGCTAGACATCTTGTCTTTTATATTCTCTTCCCTTCTTAAGGTATTCATGATTTAATTATTTGTTTTCATCTCCGTCAAATCTTGAGCACAAATGAAACCTGGCAAGTTCATAAAGTCGATTTGAAGTAAACGTGAAACATAATCTGTGTTATTACATATTTTTTTAAATGTATTTTAATTATATATAATATATACAAGTAATGTGTTTCGAATACACATCAAAATCTGCATTAATTAGCGTAGTGGTGGAGAGTTTGCCTTTAACAGAACAGAACAGAAGTTTATTCAACAAAATTGACTTGAACACATCGGTTCATCGTCATTCACATATACAAGTACGTTTACAGGGTTCTCAATAAATTTTTCATCAGCAGCCAAAAAGCAAATTCCAGCAGGCCTTTTGTGTAATTCAAACACAAATTTTCTGCATAAAAGTAAGAAAACTGTATATCTTACAGAGTTCCAACAGGCCAACAGTCATTTTGGCCTGCATGTGGCCTGCTGTTTTTGAGAACCCTGCGTTTAACGCTAGCGATGCAATTCTCTTTTTTTAATTTATACTTTAATGAAACTTTATTTATTCATTAAATTGCACTTAAAGTAACATTTACAAACATTTCGAATAATTGATTGTTGAATTTATCACTATAGAGAGACTTAGGTAACTTACTATGGAGAATTATTAGAAGAAAGGAAGAATGTAAGGAAAAACATGATTGAAAATATCCGATTTTTTTAGAAAATAAACATTTTTAAAATAAACATGTACATGTAAATGAATATGAGCGTTCTGACATGCCAAGTTCATTCACACTGAAAGTAATTATTACAATTGTGAAATAGATTTTTGAACATTCTAACACTTACTTCGCGCGAAATAGTTCATTCAAATTACAAAAATGTTTGATAATAAAAGTTCTTCGGAATTCTTTTTTTTACATTACTGTAGGTAACGTACTTATTGAGTTACTGAAGGTGTAAGTTTGCTTTGTCTTTAATTTCTTTATATGTTTGACTTCACGTAAACAGTCTATTCTATGTTCTATATATGTTTCACTAAGGTTTTCATTCATGAATTATGGGTGCATAAAATCTTATTGAGAAAATGTATTCGACGCTGTTTGTGTGACATTAGATATTTCATCATCAATTGGTATTTAAATACCGATTGTGCGGTGTATAGGGGTGCATTTAGTTAATGGGGTTCGATCTTGTTGATCTTTGTTTTCATTATTTTCTAATTATATATTTAGACAACCTTATTTTGAGTTTTGAAATTTTGATGATTGCTTTAAAAAATTGCATAAATTTGTTCTTTTTAAATTTATAGTTCTGGATTCATATATTATTACCCAAAACTATATACGGAAAAAAAGCTCTTTTTGCCAAAATGTCACAGTCGCTTTGCGTTGAGTAAGTGATATAAGTATGGTCACTCATCTTTAAATTGATGGAAAAAATGTGACCAAAATTCAGCAAAATTATGAATACCCTTCCTTCAGAACATGCCTTAACATACCCCAGAATGCAGCTATGGCAATGTAGATTTTCAAAATTTTCCGGGGGAGTATGCCCCCGGACCCCCCTAACACAAGTGCCTACACATTAGTTTCTTTCAAGCTACGCCCCTGACCATCCTTCACTGAATATTGCCCTTATTTAGTAGCCACATAGCTCAAAGGTCAAGACCTAATTTGTTTTATTTTTCAGCTCATTAAATTAATTTTTATTTGGTTCCAAGCCATAATTTTCATTAGATGGGAACCTTAACATACATGTATTACTAGAGAAACCTATATATTTTTAGCTCACCTGTCACAAAGTGACAGGGTGAGCTTTTGTGATCGCTTTTCGTCCGGCGTCCGTCCGGCGTCCGTCCGTACACTTTTACTTTAAATGACATCTCCTCATAAACCACTTGGCCAATTTCATCCAAACTTCACAGGAATGTTCCTTTGGTGGTCAACTTTAAAAATTGTTCAAAGAATTTAATTCCATGCAGAACTCTGGTTGCCATGGCAACCGAAAGAAAAAACTTTAAATATCTTCTTTTAAAAAACCATAAGAGCTAGAGCTTAGATATTTGGCATGAAACATCTTCTAGTGAGTGTCTACCAAGTTTGTTCAAATAAAAGCCCTGGGGTCAAAATTGGCCCCGCCCCGGGGGGTCATTGATTTTCCCTATATGCATATAGTAAAAACTTAAAAAATCTTCTTTTAAAGAACCCAAAGAGCTAGAGCTAAGATATTTAGCATGAAACATGTTCTAATGGATGTCTACCAAGTTTGTTCAAATAAAAGCCCTGGGGTCAAAATTGGCCCCGCCCCGGGGGGTCATTGATTTTCCCTATATGCATATAGTTAAAACTTAAAAAATCTTCTTTTAAAGAACCCAAAGAGCTAGAGCTAAGATATTTAGCATGAAACATGTTCTAATGGATGTCTACCAAGTTTGTTCAAATAAAAGCCCTGGGGTCAAAATTGGCCCCGCCCCGGGGGGTCATTGATTTTCCCTATATGCATATAGTAAAAACTTTAAAAAATCTTCTTTAAAAGAACCAAAAGAGTAAGAGCTAAGATATTTAGCATGAAACATGTTCTAATAAGTGTCTACCAAGTTTGTTAAAATAAAAGCCCTGGGGTCAAAATTGGCCCCGCCCCGGGGGGTCATTGATTTTCCCTATATGCATATAGTAAAAACTTAAAAAATCTTCTTTTAAAGAACTCAAAGAGCTATGGCTAAGATATTTAGCATCAAACATGTTCTAATAGGTGTCTACCAAGTTTGTTCAAATAAAAGCCCTGGGGTCAAAATTGGCAGCGCCCAGGGGGTCATTGATTTTCCTTATATGTGTATAGCAAAAACTTAAAAAATCTTCTTTGAAAAAACCCAAATAGCTAGAGTTAAGATATTAAGCATGAAACATCTTTTAGTGAGTGTCTACAAAGTTTGTTCAAATAAAAGCCCTGGGGTCAAAATTGGCCCCGCCCCGGGGGTCATTGATTTTCTTTATATGTGTATAGCAAAAACTTAAAATCTTCTTTGAAAAAAAAACAAATAGCTAGAGTTAAGATATTAAGCATGAACCATCTTCTAGTAAGTGTCTACAAAGTTTGTTCAAATAAAAGCCCTGGGGTCAAAACTGGCCTGGCCCCAGGGGTGTCATTGTTTTTAACTATATGTGTATAGTAAAAACTTTAAAAAATCTTCTTTTAAAAAGCCCAATGAGCTAGAGCTTAGATGTTTAGCATGAAACATTTTCTTATGGGTGTCTACCAAGTTTGTGCAAATAAAAGCCCTTGGGTTAAATTGACCCTGCAACATGGGGTTGGGGGGACTATATACAGGTGAGCGACCTCAGGGCCATCATGGCCCTCTTGTTTGTTAATAGATCAATTCTTTGTGTCAATAGATCAATGGTCAAGGTCACAGTCATCATTTGTGAAAAAAATTCTTTGTGTCAATAGGTCAATGGTCAAGGTCACAGTCATTATATGTGAAAACTCCAATTGGTTTTTGCCTACACATGGGATTTTGTGAGAGAAAACTTAAGACGATATTTACAAAGATGGTTATTTTATAATTATATTTGATGCCTTTAACATTCAAATTTTAGCTTTCAAATTTTTCCATTTTCATTTTGAGAGAAAACCTCGGACTGGGTAGATTAACTCTAATTTTTAAATATGTGAGGTATGTTTCATATGTATTAGCTTAAAATGATACCTATAATACAGTTTGAATCATTCAGTATTACAGCTAGATCATTCACATTTCTTGATGTGTATATTTCTATGTACATTATTTACGGTACTAAATAAATATGTAAGTCCTTGAAATTGTGTCATTTCTTGTACAATTGTAGCATTCCCTTCCATTTTACAGCCTGTTTATGATTTTACCAGAACTTATTATTTCAACAGCAGTTTCAAAGTTACCAACTTTGACAAAACTTGAAAGATATTATTATACATGTATCCAACTATTTACTTAGAGTTATGAACAGTACATTATGAACAATACTTACCTGATCAGGATCTTTAAATAATTTGTATGAATACTGTTTGATGAATAAATATATAAAAAAAGATACATTGTATATTAAAGAGATGAAGAGAATAAAAAATATTTTCATGTTATTCATCGCTATGTGCTCCTTTATTGATCAATGATAAAAAAATATCTTGCAACATTGATGCCTTTAGCATTTGTTCAAGTCCCTCCCTTTGTTCCAGCCCCTGTATTTCATTTGTAATGATTTGTAACAGCATTAGTTCCCTTTTGCCCACACAACTTCCCAACACAGTGTTACTAATTTCAGGGCCTTTTATTAAACATATAATTATGATATCACAATTTAACAACATTATTTCAAATAAATAGTTAAGTGTCAGTGAGATCAATGAATCTGTTTTGTGTTATTTAACCAATTCAACAATCTTATTTGGGCTGCTGAGCTAAATTTTGTTCATTACATATCATCATAATAAGCAGCATATTTATGCATAATTACTTCAAAGTTCAACCAGGAATGACAAAACTGTGCACTAAAAGAGACTAATTAGACAGAAGGGTGACCTTAACCTTTGAACTGGATAACTGACCCTAATGCAAGACACATCATCATGTCTTACACATTTATAGCAAATTTGTTTAAAATCCATCAAGGGAGGAATGGCAGACACAACCATTAAATAAAGGGTTAAACCAAAATTAAAGAAAAGAGATAAGTTTTTATTTTTTTTAATTTTAACAGATCTGTCTAGTCACACTTGCTGTTTTGTCCAAGTATGAATCCTTTCAATAAATAAATGACAAAAGTTAAGAAAAAAATATCAAAATTCAAACATTTGATGGTCAAGGTTATTTAAAGTTCAAGGTCATATCTAAATTATTCGTCACAAGTGTTGTTTATTCCACATTTGAATCAAAACAGTACATAAATAACAAAACTATGACAACTTAACCAAAATTTAATACTTTGACCATGATGGTCAAGGTCATTTAAAGATCAAGGTCATCCAGTTCAACTTTTAAGAATGTTTTGTCCAATAGGTTGTTTTGTCCAAGTTTGAAAATAATCCATTGATTAATTAGTTACAAAGTTACAGGCAATTATAGCAATAATCAGTGAAAATAAAATAGTTTGACCATCAAGGTTATACATAAGTCCAGGTCAGTTTGAGTTTGATATATATTAAGGTCCTGACCTAAAGGATGTTGTTTCTTAAAATGAAGTTATTCCATCCATTTATAAATAACAAATTTATAGCCAGTTACAGTAAGAGCTAGAGAATTTCATTAATTTAAGGTCAAGGTCACATCTAAATTACTATTACTTTTAATATGTTTGTTTGGTAGCAAGTCTTTTGTCAAGGTTTGAATCAAATCCTTACATAAATAACAAAATTATGACAATTTAACCAAAATTCAATAATTTGATCTTGATGGTCAAGGTCATTTAAAGGTCAAAGTCAGTTCAATCTTTTAAAAGGTCTTGTCTAAAAGGTTTTTTTTGTCCAAGTATGAAGATAATCCATTTCTTGGTTACCAAGTTACAGCCAATTATAGCAATTATAAGTGAAAATTCAATAATTTGACCTTCAAGGTTTAGGTCATACATGAGTCAAGATCAAATATAAGTTTGACCTGACCTAAAATATGTTAACCTGTATACAAATAACATAGTTATAGCCAGTTACAGAAAAAATCTAGAGAATTTCATTATTTGACATTGACTGTATAATTTAACAAAAATTAAATAATTTGATCTTAATGGTCATAGTCATTTCAAGATCAAGGTCAGTTCAACTTTATAGAAGGTCTTGTCCAATTTAAAAGTTGTGTTGTCCAAGTATGAAGATAATCCATTCATTAATTACCAAGCTACAATAAATTATAGCAAATATCTGAAAATCTATAATTTATAACATTCAAGGTCATGCCCAAGGCCAATTTGAGTTTGATATACATGAAGGTTAAATCCTAACAAAAATGCTGTGTCTAAATATGAAGTAAATCCATTCATTTATAACAAAGTTATATATTACAGCCAGTTACAGCAAAAATTTGAAAATTTTAGTAGATCTAATTTGACCTTCAAAGTCAATGTAATTTATGAGTGAAGGTCAGTCTGGTCTATCCTAAAAGCTAAAAGATTGTTGTATTTAACTTTTCAAAACAATCCATTCAAAAATAAATTAATACAGCCACTTATAGTAAAATAACAAGCAAAATTTAGACATTGACCTTGAAAGTCAAGGCCATTTATATATGAAGGTCAAGTTTAGTCGTTATGATCAAGGTTAACGTTTTTGGATGGCAACGGCAATGGGAACGCCGCCATGACTGTAATAATACCTCCATTTTTCACATAGTAAAATCTCAATATAAGAATTTAAGGTATGTTTTGGCCTTTTAATCGTAAAGTAAATTTAGGGGTCTACACGCTGTATTATTATTTTTCCCGCAAAATGTCAAGGCCGTCGTAAAGTACCTCCAAATAAAAGAGTACTTGACCTTTGTTTACAAACAGCGAGTGAGAGGTAACAATTAAAGCTTTTATACATTTAGAACAATTATTTAACATATATTTTACACAATTTCAGTTGTGTATTAAATAATGATGATTTTAGTTATAATTTTTAAACGTGTCACGCGCTCCTGTTTATTTTCTTTCCGAATGTTAAACTTACATTTATTATTGAGCTAACTTAAAATGAAGAAAATTTGAGCATGGGCTATTATTCGAATACAAATCGCGTTAGAGTTTGACCTAATTTTGGTGAACAGAACGTTTTGAATGTTATTTCATATCTCACAGAAGTATAGTAAACTGTATACATGTACATTTATTTAGAAAACCTATTACAACTCAAACAGTGATTTTTTTACCTTTGCATCCTGAGTCCAGAACTCAATGAATTTGCTATGGATGCAAAGTTTCAAATAATGTGCATCTTTTGGATGCATACTTTTTCTAAGTAGGGAGTCCTGTCTGACAGAAATTTGGTATTAAAATTAATACCAAATAGTGTTCAACTTATGTCAATCATATTCTAGGTCCAGCTAAGATATAATAATGTGCTATACTATAGGTAAGCTTAAAAATATTAAGGAAAATGAATTTTTGATTAATATCAAACTAAATTAATGGAAATAAACATATTAAATTTATTTGACAGTTTTGAATAATTTCAGTATCAGAAGCATTGTAATTAATATAGAAATCAAATTCATTTTTTTCTTCATTCCATTGTTAATATACCTTTCATATCACTAAAGCAATATTAAGCCCTGTAACTTGGATTTTTCTGCTAAATTTTGGGACTCATAGATTTATAGCCCAGCGAGTACTAAGGACCCATACTGATGAGTTTGTAAAAAAATCACTGCTCAAATGTAATATTTACAGCCTAAATATTTTGTAAATTTGTTTGCAAGACCTAGCTCTATATTATTGGCAAAGGTTTATCATTTTGGTGAAATTTTCTCCAGATATACATGTACCCTGTTGTCAAGTTTTAAGGCCCATTAACCCTCGAAAATGCTATATTTATGTGCCCCCATTATAGGGGGGGGGGGAGCCATTTAAATTTTAACCTTCTCCCTCCGTCCGTCCGTCCATCCGTTTGTTCTCTTTTTGTGTCCCACGTAACTCAAAAAGTAATTGACGTAGAGTCATGAAACCTTACAGGAATGTTGATCAGCATGTAAGGTTGTGCACCTGGGTATTTTCATGTGGATATTTTTAGTATTTTTAGAGTTATTGCCCCTGACTTAGTAAAAATTTGCAATTTTCAACTTGTGTGACTGTCGCACATAACTCAATAACTATTTGACCTAGAGTCATGAAAACTTACTGGAATGTTGCTGAGCATGTAAAGTTGTGCACCTGGGTATTTTTGTGTGGATATATTTAGTATTTTTAGAGTTATTGCCCTTGAATTAGTAAAAATTTCCAATTTTCAACTTGTGTCACACATCATTAAAAAAGAATTTTGACCTAGAGTCATGAAACCTTACAAGAATGTTGCTCAGCATGTGTAGTTGTGCACCTGGGTTTTTTTCATGTGGATATTTTTAGTATTTTTAGAGTTATTGCCCTTGACTTAGTAAAAATTTCCAATTTTCAACTTGTGTCGCATGTCACTAAAAAAAGTGTTTGACCTAGAGTCATGAAACCTTACAAGAATGTTGCTCAGCATGTGAAGTTGTGCACCTGGGTATTTTCATGTGGATATATTTAGTATTTTTAGAGTTATTGCCCTTGACTTAGTAAAAATTTGCAATTTTCAACTTGTGTGACTGTCGCACATAACTCAAAAACTATTTGACCTAGAGTCATGAAAACTTACTGGAATGTTGCTCAGCATGTAAAGTTGTGCACCTGGGTATTTTTGTGTGGATATATTTAGTATTTTTAGAGTTATTGCCCTTGAATTAGTAAAAATTTCCAATTTTCAACTTGTGTCACACATCATTAAAAAAGAATTTTGACCTAGAATCATGAAACCTTACAAGAATGTTGCTCAGCATGTGTAGTTGTGCACCTGGGTTTTTTTCATGTGGATATTTTTAGTATTTTTAGAGTTATTGCCCTTGACTTAGTAAAAATTTGCAATTTTCAACTTGTGTCCCACGTTGCTCAAAAAGTATTTGAACTAGAGTCATGAAACCTTACAGGAATGTTGATCAGCATGTGTAGCTATGCACCTGGGTATTTTTGTGTGGATATACTTAGTATTTTTAGAGTAATTGCCCTTGAATTAGTAAAAATTTCCAATTTTCAACTTGTGTCGCAAGTAACTAAAAAAGTATTTGACCTAGAGTCATGAAACCTTTACAAGAATGTTGTTCAGCATGTGTACTTATGCACCTTGGGGTTTTCTTGTGGATTTATTCAGTATTTGTAGTATTTGCCCTTTACTTAATAAAAGATTTTTAGTTTTCAACTTGGGCACATGTAGGCAAAAAAAAAATTTGACCTAGAGACATAAGATTGACAAATCGGTGGAGTGTGGGGGCACCTGTGTCCTATGGACACATTTCTAGTTTAATGTCTCCAAAGATTTTTTTATTTAGTGTCCATTTGGAGTGTCCAATATGTTACACATTGGCCATATAGCTGAACAATCTTTTGAATTTTCGCAATTTGTACAGTAATAATGATTTTGAATGTGTGTCAAAATACAAATTTTACCTTTTGCTACCTCTATGAATAGTTTTCACATTCAGCACCACAATCTTCAAATGATCCTGATTTTATTTTCATTGTTATATAAAACTTTTTTTATAAGTTAAGATATAGTATATATTTAACCCTTTCCCCAATGAGCATATTGTGAAAAATGGCCATTTTCACTGAAAAGCCTCCTCTTACAAGTTCAAACTGCTATGAAACTATGAAAAATGCTTCAATACTAATCAAACTTGGCACAAATGTTGACTTGACCATTGCCTTTGTAACGACATGCTCAGTCTTAAATTTCCTGTTACCATGGCAACGAGGGGACATCTCAAAATTGCCAAAAATCACTATTTTGGTCTCAATTTTTCCATCAAAATTTATTTCAAAGTGCTGCAAGTTCTCAAGGGATTGAGATAGAGTCAAAGGCTTTTCAGCGTTGGTTACACGTTACCTTATGATCAACCTGGGGTCATTTTAAGCCTCTCACAAGTCCAAAATTCTCTTGGCGATGAGGGGGACTCCGCCCCCCTCCAAACCCCCCAAACAGAAGGGGGCACATCCTCCTTCTGGCAACCCCCTGATGTATCTTTTAGATGCCCGGGGACGGCGCCGAAAAAGTGCTCACTTTTTTTAGCAACATTTCTCAAACGGAAACATGTGTTTGGGGCCCAAATAGGACATTTTTTCACTATTTCAGGCCTAAAAAAAGGGGGGGGGGTCGAAAGTGCATTGTTTCGCGTATATATGAGGTAAAGGGTTAAAGGGGCTCATATTTCACTTTTTTTTTTTTTGGGATTTTGACCACAATTCGCAGGAGTGATCAGTCCCAACCCTTTGGTCTTTCTGCACGCAAGCATACTCTTCAAGTACAATGTAGACCTAAGCTTGTTATCAAGTTAGGATATTGCTGAATTAAGAAACAAACTTACAATTAATGATTATTATTAGACCACTTTGTTTAAGTAAATGTCTAAATATAATTAGAAATGACAGTGGATTAGTCTGATAACATGGTATGATATTAGTTATGTGATGTACCTTACATGTACATGTACTTTTGATGTACTTTTGATAGTTATAATATGCTTATTATATATACAAGTTGTACACATACAATATTGCTATGATGCACTACAAGGTATTAAGTGAATATTAGTGTGCATGAATTATATTTTCCTAAAAGCATTTAAATAAAACTTGTAAAAACTGCAGCTTCTGTCACAATCTTTTAGCTTAAAAAAATGGTTCAAGAAAATAACTTGTAAAAAATGGTAATGTAAGTATTGTTTAACATCACCATTTATTTTTAAATGTTGAAAAACTGGTAAAAAATGCTGGACACAAGTTTTTTAACAACAAGTTTTTACCAGTTTTTAGCTCGACTTTTCTATGAAAAGGGGAGCTATCCTACTCGCCCCGGCGTCGGCGTCGGCGTCGGCGTTGGCGTCACACCTTGGTTAAGTTTTTCGTACCACCCCACTTTATTTCAGAAGTATTACAAGTATGGCTTTGAAACTTACCATACTTGTTCACCATCATAACCTCCATCTACAGACAAGAGTACATAACTCTGTCAAGGTTTTTGACAGAATTATGGCCCTTTTTTGACTTAGAAAGTGTATTGAGCTTGGTTAAGTTTTTTGTACCACCTCACTTTATTTCAAAACCATTGGAGGTATTGCTTTGAAACTGACCATACTTGTTTACCATCACGACCTTCATCAACAGACAAGAGGACATAACTCTGTCAAGGTTTTTGACAGAATTATGCCCCTTTTTTGACTTAGAAAATACATTGAATATGGGTAAAATCCACTTATTGCCTTAACCCTTTGAGATATTGCTTTGAAACTTTTAATGCTATTTCACATCATTACCCCCATCTGTACGCAAGAGAAGGTAACTCTGTCAAGGATTTGTTTTAAAAATTAAGGCCTTTTATCGACTTAGAATCTTGGTTAAGTTTTTAGTACCAGTCCACTTTTTGACTGAACTGTTTGAGATATTAATTTGAAAGTTGGAATACTTGTTTACAATCATGATTCCCAAACATGTCCAGGAGAAGGTAATTCTGTCAAAGATTTTATTTGAATTATGGCCCTTAACTGTCAATGTTTTGTATTATAGGCAAGCACTAAAAAACTTAAAAAATCTAAAAAAATTCATTCCTATCCACTTGTTCACTTTACCATAAATTATGTCATATAAACATTGCTGTAATATTCAAGGGTATCAAACAACTAGTTTTTTTTTCTTTCTTACCAGCCCTCTTTTGACTTAAACATTTCAAACTTTGCTGCAGTGTTCAAGGGTATCACACAATTCAGTAAAATAATTCTTCACTAAATATCTTAATGCTCATGGCCATTGTTCACTTTAAAAATACAGAGATTCTTGTATTGCCTTTTACTGCAAAAACTTTTTTTATTGGCAAGCAATAAAAAAGTCGAGCGCGCTGTCTTACGGACAGCTCTTGTTTAAGAACTGCTGTTTAAATGGAATCCTACAAATTAAGATGAAGGGCAAAAAATTGTAAAAAAGGCATTTATTTGAAAAAACTGCTAAATAACTGCAATATAACTACAAGTTAAATGCCTTTCCTTTTCCTAAGGGTTTTGACACATTTAAGATGAACCCTGTTTTTTTTATCATTCTGGTCATATTTTTTCTTCCCAGGTCCAATACTCGTGCCTGTGTTTAATCTATGAGGATAAACATGGAGATTACGGTATTTGAGTATTTAAATTTGATCCTGATCTTAAATCTTTGTGAACACAGGGCCAAGTGATTAGCAAGCAATATTCTCTATATCCTTCATGTTTGTCCAATCTACAGAGAAGCTTATTTTGAGTCTCTAACATACTTCCCAAGTAATTACATTTGTTATTTACTGGTAAGTGAACAGGTAAAGTGAAATAAAATTAAGAAATATTTCATCATTTCACCATAAATCTTACATATATGGGAAGAAATTTGGACCAATTAAAGTTGCAAAGATCATAAAACACATAGTAAGTGTCATGGATGAAATATTTATATCCTGTATATCTGTGAGATATATATGATAAATTATTTTAGAGATACATGTCATGTGTTTTTCATTGGGCTCATAGCTTTTTCTTATTTTATGCGAAAAGAGAGCAATAAATTAGTTTCTTTATCATGAATACCACATTACAGTACAGGATCTAGATGTATAACTAATGAAAATTGTGCATATTGAGTTGCATATGATATCCAGTTTGTATTTTTGTGTGGTATGGTTATTTTAATTCACTGCTACTGTTACTGTTCATTTTATAAGTAATTTAGGTTTTGCAATAGAGACAGGGTATGGTAGGGGTTCTTCAGTCAGTTCAGCTCTTAAAATATTGCTGTATCAGCAAAAAAATAAACAACAAAAACAAACCAACAAACACACACAACTATAACACACAATGTTGTTCACTATAATCAAACATAGGAAATTGAAAAGCTCATAAATTCTGTTATAAGTCAACAAGTCAGCATTGTGACATTTGTGTTTTATGATTATGAGGTTATTTACTGACCTTGAAAATACAGTGGCAGAACAACAATTTTAAGCATAAACAGGTAAACATGTACATGTAGAATATACTTAGTAATTTTAATTATGGTCAGTAGAATAGCAAAAAATATGTTCCTAATCACAGAGTTGTTTGTCTTACCAAAGTTCATATTTTAGATATTATTGGATTTGATAATTTCTTCAAGTTATTTACAAACCCTGCCACAGAAAAGACACAATATATGATACATTTAAATGCAATCAAGTGCATGTTCATGTATATCAATTTATTATACTAAGAAATATATAAATGATAATCTAAATTGAGCAAAGGTTCATAGACAAACTAGTTATCTAAAAAAGATATCAATATATGCATATTATAAATTATGTATATCTTATTTGCAGTATATCAAGCTTTAATAATAGTTTAAGACAATATCCTGTTAAGTTACAACATGTATATTCCCTCATGAATATAAGATCTTAAAATAGAGAATAAAACATTGTAACCACACATAAATTTATGAAAAGCATCTTTAAATTGTAAACATTCACATCGTTTAACTTCAAACTGTTTTGCTTAAGATTTATTTTATTTTAGATGTATTGACTTCCTTCTTATGAAACGTTTCTCACTTTGCTATAAAATTTTAACTAAAAAGCCTTTGCATGAAGTATTTAATTGAATTTGTATTTGGTATGTCTAACATTGTTTATTGATGCATTTACAAGAATTATTTAAATCAAACCCATTATGGTCCAAGATTGCAATGAACAATTATGTTGAACCGCCTTTGTGGTCGAGGGGTTAGAGTCGATGACTTCTAATCCAGTTTAACCTCTCTGGCGTGGGTTTGATCCCCAGGAGATGCTTTGGTAGTTTAGCACGGAGGAAGGTTACGTCTAGTACTGGTGTAACTCTCCAGGAACGATGGTTAGGAAACTACCCGCCTATATGACTGAAATACTGTTTGGAAAAGGCGTAAAATGAAACAAACAAATAAACCTAAATCACAAATATTTACTTTGACAATAAGAGAACCATACTTATTTATTTTCAATCTTAAAGATCCTGTAACACAATTTTTTCATGGTTTTATTTCATAAATATGATGCTCAAATTAAGATTTGTCAATATTGTAAGTTCCAATAAGCATTATTTATAAAGATATTACCCAATTTAACATTTCATGTAAATAAAGGGAGGTAATTAGAAATATATTTTCTATAAATTCTAAGTCAAATTTTCCAATAAGAAATGAATGCCTGTAATTTATTGATTAAATATAATGTGCACAAATATTTGCAGTACACATTTTACATATTCTTCGATGTTTGAAAATTGTTTTATTTGCATAAATATGTACATATATAATTTTTTGCTAGTGTGGTATTCATTCAGTAAAAATATCAATCACAAAACATACAGGATCTTTAAGCATTATGACTTCACATTGCACCATGATGACCTCTACCTCTCAGACCCACTTAAAGTCACAAGGTCAAATTCCAAGGTTACTGTCACCGGAAAAATAGCATCCTTGACTGAAAAGGCTTTCATCCAAAGCCTTCTGATGTCATATGTTTGTTACTGTCTGTGTATCTTGATAACCTCTACTTACAGACTGGTTTAGAGGTAATTTGGTCATTTGGCAATATGATCAGTATAGAATATTAAAACACATCTTCAAATTCACTTTCTGTGGCACATTAGATTTTGTAATTATATTGTGTTTCATGGTTAATTATGCCACCATTTTTGTTCACCTATAACATCTTAAAATGCACAATTCTGACTACCCATTGGTTAAAAAAAAACAGATTCACTTAAAACAATTATTAAAAGCAAGCTGGTGATTGTCGGTTTGAAAGATCACAGGAATGTGAGCCATTGGTGACTGTCAGATCATAAAGCATGGTTTTATTTAGAATCTTTTCTTTATAAATTAGATTGAAAGTGATGATTTTTTTAAAAAAACAAAAACATCAGTACTCATTTGTTATAAGCTGATTTGCTTAATTGATTCTTGAATTGTTGCAGTAAACAAAACAATAAAAAAAGAAGTTAATGTTGACACTACAATATACAATGTACATGTACTATAAATGATTTTTTTTCCTTACAGTAAGAAAATAATTGATATATTAAACAATATTGGATGTGTTTCCGTCACCTGCCAGATACTTGATTACAGTCTGTTTCTTATTAGCATGCATTTTTTTTACCCCCCAACTACATAATTAATTTTGCTAGTAATGTGTATCAATAACATTTACCACAGATTTTGTGAACCTTATTTTATTTACCATTTATTTTGGTATCTGAATTCACAAATGGCTGCTGTGTCGGTGTGACGTAAAACCCAAACAAACAAACACAAAAAATTGGCTGTCATAGTTTTGAATTTTAACTGTTTGTGCAAGATCTAAAAAAACTTATATCACATGTCTTGTTAAAGTTTTTGCGTGTGTTTTGTGTATGTGCATGTGTGTGAGTTAATATATATCAAAAACAGTTTGGTTCCTATGAATAACTTATACTTTAATGAATATAAAGTTATGAAATATGTCACTATAAATATTCACTTTATTACTTTGTTAAATTTCAGTAATAAGTAAAATGAATTGAAGAGGATAATTCTCAGTTTTTACTGCATTTTAGTCATTCAATATGTAGACTTACGGATCTTTGCTTATTTTATAATCATGTAGAATTTTTCAATTTCAGGTGAATGGTTACCATATATAAGGTGCATGTCACAGTAGTTTAGGACAGAATTTTAAAAAGATAACAGTTTAAGTGTATGAGATACTATTCCTAGTGTAGTTGGTGTATTGGTATATATTATATATATACCTGGATTATAGGAAGTTGACTTGTATTATAATGGAGGGGAAAATAAATACAGGTAAGTTATGATGCTGATATTTCTTTAATATATTCGAATATTGTACAGAAACAATTTTCTACAAATTTTTATTCTGTAATTTTTGTAAGATTTTTTTTATATAATTATTCCTACATCAGATTTATGCATGTTACTTGGCATTCATAGTTCAAACAGGTAACTAAGCTGTTTATATGTAACACCCATTATATAGAGGATATTTGTTTGTTTCAGTGTAAGATCGAAAAATATTTCACCGAGTGAACACCAGATGCAATATTTTCCACGAGTGGCGTAGCCACGAGTGAAAATATAATAGCTGGGGTTCACGAGTGAAATATTATTTGATCTTACATGTAAAACAAACAAATTTTCTGTTTATTTCATGATTTTTTAACGATTTTTACACCATTTTACTGATTTTTGCCGCGTAACGTCATGCTCTTATCTTCATGACGTCATCAAATAATGACGTCACAATGTTGAAGCAAAATATAATTCCATGATTATTTTTAGATTTTAGATGTTTTTCAGCACAACGTTCGTAAATATTTACGAACTACAGTTATCACGTACATTTGTTATTATGATTGACTACATTTCCGCTGAAAAAAAACATTCATTAATGATAAATATTTTATTTTTACGCCAAATATAGTTCGGCTACTGTGAAATTATATTTGGTAATCATTACTGTGAAATTATCAGAATATAATTAACCGTTATAATTCAGTAATCTACTGCAAAACATGTAATAAAAAGAGTTATAAGTCAGTTAAAGACTTTGAACTGTTAAGTTCAGCATTAAGATATTTTTCTGATGCATAATACCACTTTTTATGTTCATGTTGGATTTTTCCTTATCATTTAAGTATACTCAACCGTTTGAAATAAATGCTGTTTTACTTTAAAGAAAGCAGAATAAGTTTGTATTTAACCTACCTAGTTCATGGACACATTACTACATTTTATACATAAACATGCATTATATTAGATTTTTACAATGGTCTATGACATTTTATCTGTCAGTGTGTGTACATGTAATTGTTGAAAACTACACATGTTCAATCAGATAAAAGTTTGAGATAAGCATTTTGAAATTTAAGACTATAGTTCACTCTGGTATAACTAACAATTTTAGTTTTATAGCATTATTTATGTAAACTTTATTGTGAAGATAGCTTTTAACTTATATGAACCACTTGTGAGTCCATTTCTCAGTACTTACATGTACCAGTGGAAACATGGTTGTGACTCCAGCAAGGCACAAACCCACAATCCCTGGGTTGAGAGGCAGATTCCATTGGGCCATCACTCCCTTTTAACAGATTTGACCATATAAAATGATGAACATGATGAAAATCATTTGTCTATAGCACCTTTTATATTTATGCCCCCATTTCGAAGAAAAGGGGGTATATTGCTTTGCACTTGTCGGTCCGTCGGTCCGTAGACCAAATGGTTTCCGAGTGATAACTAAAGAACCCTTAGGCCTAGGAACTTCAAACTTGGTATGGTGATTGGTCATGACAAGTAGATGACCCCTATTGATTTTGGGGTCAAGGGGTCAAAGGTCAAGGTCACATTGACCTTGTAAGCAAAAACGGTTTCCGATCAATAACTAAAGAACCTTTAGGCCTAGGAACTTCAAACTTGGTATGGTGATTTGTCATGATCAGTAGATGACCCCTATTGATTTTGGGGTCAAAGGTCAAGGTCACATTGACCTTGTAAGCAAAAACGGTTTCCGATCAATAAGTAAAGAACCTTAAGGCCTAGGAACTTCAAACTTGGTATGGTTATGGTCATGATCAGTAGATGACCCCTATTGATTTTGGGGTCAAGGGGTCAAAGGTCAAGGTCACATTGACCTCTTGGGTAAAAACGGTTTCCGATCAATAACAAAAAAACCCTTAGGCCTAGGAACTTCAAACTTGGTATGGTGATTGGTTATGACCAGCAGATGACCCCTATTGATTTTGGGGTTAAGTGGTCAAAGGTCAAGGTCACATTGACCTTGTAATTAAAAACGGTTTCCTATCAATAACGAAAGAACCCTTAGGCCTAGGGAATCAAACTTGATATGGTGATTGGTCATGATCAGTAGATGACCCCTATTGATTTTGGGGTTAAGGGGTCAAAGGTCAAGGTCACATTGACCTTGTAGGTAAAAACGGTTTCCGATCAATAACGAAAGAACCCTTAGGCCTAGGAACTTCAAACTTGGTATGGTGATTGGTCATGATCAGTAGATGACCCCTATTGATTTTGGGGTCAAGGGGTCAAAGGTCAAGGTCACATTGACCTCTTGGGTAAAAGCAGTTTCCGATCAATAACTAAAGAACCCTTAGGCCTAGGAACTTCAAACTTGGTATGGTGATTGGTCATGACAAGCAGATGACCCCTACTGATTTTGGGGTTAAGGGGTCAAAGGGCAAGGTCACATTGACCTTGTAGGTAAAAATGCTTTCCGATCAATAACTTAAGAACCCTTAGGCCTAGGAACTTCAAACTTGGTATGGTGATTGGTCATGACCAGCAGATGACCTTTTGTTTTTAGGGTCAAGGGGTCAAAGGTCAAGGTCACATCGACCTTGTAAGTAAAAACGGTTTCTGATCAATAACTTAAGAACGCTTAGGCCTAGGAACTTCAAACTTGGTATGGTGATTTTTCATGACCAGCAGATTACCCCTTTCGATTTTGGGATCAAGGGGTCAAAGGTCAAGGTCACATTGACCTTGTAAGTAAAAACGGTTTCTGATCAATAACTAAAGAACGCTTCGGCCTAGGAACTTCAAACTTGGCATAGTGATTGGTCATGATCAGTAGATGACCCCTATTGATTTTGGGGTCAAAGGTCAAGGTCACATTGACCTTGTATGTTAAAATGGTTTCGGATCAATAATAAAAGAACCCTTAGGCCTAGGAACTTCAAACTTGGCATGGTGATTAGTCATGACCAGCAAATGACCCCTATTGATTTTGGGGTCAAGGGGTCAAAGGTCAAGGTCACATTGACCTTGTAAGTAAAAACGGTTTCTGATCAATTAACTAAAAACGCTTAGGCCTAGGAACTTCAAACTTTGTATGATGATTGGTCTTGACCAGCAGATGACCCCTATTGAGTTTTGGGTCAAGGGGTCAAAGGTCAAGGTCATGACCAGTAGATACTTGATAACCCTTATTAATTGTTTGATCACTGGGTCAGAAGTCATGCATAATTACCTTATCACATGAATAATTGGCTGCTGATAGGGGCATACATGTTTTACAAACATATCTTGTTAAATATAGAATCTATAATTAGTATATATGAGTAAGGTCATCTCAATGCTGAATGCATTACTGTAACATTTTGATTTTTGAAGTGAAATTGTTTCCAAGTTTTACTCCAGGGTAGTCTTTACACACATATTGCAGTAATGAATAGGACCAGAAATACAATGTATTCGTTTTTCATGTTATATATTATAAATACTGCATAGATATGACATCAAACTATATCACTTCTCCAAAACTCCAAACTATTAATACATTTTAAGGGCCGGGCCTTAAGGTGATCTAAATAATCTTCAGTGTTCTGTGTTGTCTAAAATAATGATAGAGCGGGTGTGGGTATTACCGAACGTGCGTGTATTTCCGAACACAATTTTTTTTCCACCATAACCTTCTTAATGTTCTTCTTATAAGGCAGTGACATCAGAAACATGATGTCACTTCCTTTCCCGACATATCTGTAATATTGCCAACGTGATACTTGACAAAGCAAAGATTTCCAAGACTAAAATACTACTACGCTTGACAAGTATGTACTCCGTTACAAATATTCTAATTTTAGATACTTGACGTCATAAGGTTATCTGGTCACGTGATTTTGATAAGTCACATGTTTCTTGTTATTTGTGAAACTAATACATGTACTGTGATATGGGAAATAACTCAATATGTCACTTAGATATTTATTTACTGAGTTATTTGCATGTTCGGAATTACAAGCAGTTAAATTTTGTCATGTGTGTATTACCGAACGCAATGCTTACACTGATTAAAACAACACAGTTATCATTATTATAGCGTTATAAATTTATCTAAATACAAAATAAATAATTTCATACATCTAAATAAATAAAATAAATTAATTAAGCAATTATCAATCAATTGATTAAAATAAATAAATAAATAAATAAATAAATAAATAAATAAATTAATTAATTAATTAATTAATTAATGCTTTCATTCAACCAATCAAAAAGATATATAGAAAGATAAATAAATGAATAAGTAAATATAAAAATAGAATAACAAATGAATAGATAAACAAATAAATAGCTCTAGAGAAAGAAAAAAATGATCAGACAGACATAGACAATTTCTTTTTATGAATGAGCAGGGAGAAAAACGCAAAACGAGAACGTAATTGAGCAGAATTAAAATGCTTGACCATGTAGCTGAATTAGATCGTTTAAACTCTGTTAGTTGAAACCAAGCATCAAAAAAGGATGGGATTCCATAGTCCACCCCTCACAATACTGTCCCGGTCATAAGTTGGCCAGTTCTAACTAAAGTCTGAGGATAGACGTATTGTAGAATTGGTCATGCACGTCATGTCTCAATTATCGGCTATGGAGGCACAAGACTAGAGCTTGCACACACTTGAACTTGAAAATACTTTATGGTGAAAGTCCCTGAACAGCTTTCGTGAAAACAAACCTAGCAGATCTTGGCTGGAGGGTTACTTTCGCCGCAACCCTGAACTGACTCTTCGTACAACCATTCAGCTTGGAAAAGAGAAAGGGAGAGAGAGAGAGAGAGAGAGATCGATCGATTGTTTCCCAGAAAAGGTTAAAAGATTAAAAGATTGTTTTCTGAGTTCAAACACTACCTTAGGGAGGAGTTAAAAGATACAGATTTACGTAGATTTCATATTACCTGAGTATCAGACAAGTACCTCTTTTGAGTACAAATATTGTTAAGATCACATGGTCAGCTGTTATTGAATGAAAATTAATTTGTCTTCAAATTATTTAATATTTACACATTTGAACACGTAATATAACATGTTATCTATGTCTCTGGTAATACATTGTTCAATAGTGAATACTTGCGAAACATTAATGCTTACATCAATAGTGAAATGATTTGTTTTTAATTTATCTATATTTCAGGTGAAGATCAACGTTTTTTTTAAAAAGTTGGCAGTGTTCGGAAATACACGCATGTGTGTTCGGTATTACACGCATATAGTCGGTAATAGAAGCAGTCAGGTCTAATATATGAAATGTCATAACTCTTTAGATAATGTGCGTAGATAAGTGTTTCTTGCATGTAAATGTAAAGGAAAACTCATATTCGTCAAATGTCAATTGAAAATCGTGATTACTGCGTGTATTACCGAATACTACTTATTTCACCTTAAGTGTTCGGTTATACCCACACCCGCTCTAGTATTATTATTTTTTAACCAAAGCTCCAACAACCATCGATGAAATGATACATTGCATAGAAAATAATAGGATAGATCATGGAATTATGAACTAAATTATATACATACATGTATTTGTATATACCTTGTATTATCTATTGGAGTAAAAACACATCAGTTTTAAGCAGTTGAAATGTTTGTTTTGTAATTGTCCGAGTTACTTTGACTATTGTAATAAAAAAAAATTTAACTTTTGTTAACAAAAATTTGTAAATATAATGCAACAGTAGTATCATATTACTTGAAAATCATGTTCTATGTTAAGTGTATTCTTTATCTATTCATGGCCATGCATGAATACCTGATGTAAAATTGACATGTCATTATCTTTTTCATTTTATTTTTTTTTTTAATAAATTATGTTTATTGAATTTAGATATGTCTCGTTGGTCATATAACTACATGTGCGTGTATTTGACTACAATTGAATGCCAATATTAAAGACATAATTAGATTTCAAATTCTGCAGTAATGAAAATTTCATAGTATATTATACATAAAAGTAATTTTTTCTTTCTTAACAAAATTGTTAAGTGTGCTGTTTTATCAGTTTATAACCTGGTTTTGTAAAGAAATAAGATGAGTGTATGTTGGCAGGTGGGGGGCATAAACAATGAAACAAACTTCTTATTCCCAGTTCCAATTAATATGTTAGACCTAGTGATAAAGAGAGATATTGTTACATGTTTTAACAACTTTTTCCATCTCCATTTAAATTTTTTTTTTCCAGGCCAACTTTTCTGAATACTTTTTTACGAAGTTTTTAAGGATCCGCCATGACTGAATTACTTGATAACCCTATTTTATTTTTAAAAAAAAAAAACTTGTAAATATTTATAAAAAATATTAGAATAAAATGTAAAATTTTTTTTAATTTAACATTACGGGGGGATTGCCCCCTCAAATGCAGGGTTGTATTTCCTCATAAAATTAAATCAACTGAGGTTTTAAATTTTTAAAAATCAGCAGAACATTCCCGGGCCCTTTTAAAACGTTCCCCAAACATTTGGGGGTTTTGGATTTCACTAACCGAGTTTTTTTAAATTAACTTAAATTTAATTTTTGTTTAAAATTTCATTTTTTTGTACAAAATATTTATTTTATGGGACAGAATAGGTTTTATAAGAACTGATGAAATGATAAAAAAGATTTTTTTTAAAGATATTTTTAACAGATTATTGGCCAAATTTAAAAAGGGTTTTATGCTTAATGACCTGAGTAAATAGACAATCAGGGTTTTATGCAAAAAAATTTTTAACATTTATTTAAAAATAGATTTTTCAGGTTTTTTTGGCCCCATATAAATGGGGTTTTTAAAATTTTTAAAAATCCACTTACATACAGTCATACAACCGTCAAAAAATCTTATAAAAATTTTTTTTACTGCAAACTCCTTTTTATTAAAAAAAAAAAAAAAATTTTTATAAAAGGACTGCGCTGTGATAAGAAAAATAATTTTTCATGATTTTAAAAAATGGATTTACAAAAAAAACATTTATACATAGCCCAAAATTTTTTGCAAGCGCTTTTCCAATTTTTTACCAAACTTTAACTTTTATCCACCTAGATTGTTTTTGTCTGTCACAAACAACAGTTAGGTTTTTGTATGAAAAATCCAAAGCAAAAATACGACGGTACATTATTCAAAAAGATTCTAAAACTACTAGAAACTTTGAAATTCTGATTATATACTCAACAAAATTAATCCCAGCTGTAATATAATAACTGAACAGGAGATTGCAAGTAATGATGACACTGGTTTTGGAAGAATATTTTATTTGTTTATGTATTAAGGTGAAATTAACACTTTGAATTAAATTATATATCCAGTTATTCTAGTTACGACAATGCACGTTTGTTTGAGGAAAAGGATGCTGTTAGAGAAGAATTGGATTTTTTTAAGGTATTTTTTCATTGTATTTTTAACATTTTCCTTGCTTTTATAACAAGATCTCTTGAGAAATTTTGTTCATGTTGAAGAATTCTGTACATGGTCCTTTATATTTCTTTGGTTTTACATCTTTATTGAGCATGTTTTGTTCTCTGAAATATCTGTAAAGCAAGCTTTCGTGTCATCAATCAATGGAACTGTTATGTACCATAATGTAAATGAGTCCTTAAAAGAAGTATCCATGTAGAAGCATAGCATTTCAGTTTATTGAGTTTTTTGCCCACTGCACATGTGACAAACTAAGACCATATCTTTAATAATTCTTTATTTACCATTTACTTACGTATCATAATTTTTACAGAATATTAAGTTAAGTAAGGATAACACAACCAGCCTAAATTAATATAAATCTTTAACTTATTAAAATTATTAGTACTTTTGTACTCATTTTAATTGGTTTACATTGAGGCAGTTATTAATTAAGCATTACAAGTGTGGGCAATGATTCTTTGGGATTGTTGATTTTTACAGAGAAATGGAGGAGGTTTAGTAGTGGACAACACAACATATGGTATTCATCCAAATGCAGAGGTTCTTGCTAATTTATCCATGGCAACAGGGGTTAACATCATTGCAGGAACTGGTATTTTATTATTTAAAATACATTCAAATATTTGTTTGCTTATCTATGCAATGTGTTGTTATCTATGCAATGTGTTGTTATTTTGTTAAGACCATGTGACGTTAAGGCTAAGAATATATTGTTTTATATCATTTAATGTGGTGACATTTTATACCATTGTATTAATCCTTTTCCTGCCAGAGCAGTATTGATAAAATAAGTGAAGGGTCAAGTGGTTAAGGTCATTGACTTAAATCACTTGCCTCTCAACATTGTAGGTTCAAGCCGCAAGCATCTTCGGATTCTTTCATGTGAGAAAGCTATCCATTCGGTTCTTCTATTTGTGCCTGAAATAATACACAGAGGGGTAACTGAGGTCTTCCTCCACCAGTAAAGCTTGAAAGTTGCCATGTATTGTCCAATATTGTGTTTGTGCGACGTAAAACCCAATAGAAAAATAATAAATACAAAAATAGAATTAGTGTATTAGCCATTACATGAATAAGGTGAATGAGTAAAAGCCTCAAAACCAAAAATATGAAAAGATAGGAAAGAAAACACAATAAAACCAATAAATAGTCCAGAAGGCAGATAGATGATGCTGTGAGTAGAATGGATATATCTGACTTGTAGGCAGGGAAAGAGTTCACTAATTACTAATATTGTTATATTTTTAAGGTTCTAGTAGATCTTCTCGGGCCCTAAAATGTAAAGGCATCTACAATTTATGGCTTTTTTTAAAAATCTGGGGGATGGTTTTGAAGGAACGGTATTAAAGGGTGGTGAATGGGGGAATTGGATGTCATATCCCTTGGAAAATAAAAACTTACTTTTTGTCAAATTCTAAAATCTTTTGATGGTCATTGAAAATTTTCGTATAATATACATTTTAAATTTTTTATAATTTTTAATGTTTGGGGAGGGCTCAAATAGAATTGTTCTGCTCTGAGACTGCGATCAGTTTACAGAAATAATTAAGTTTCGTTGAAATTTCATTTTAAGAAATTTGTATTATTTATTCTCAGTATCATTGCATTTTTGTAGGAAGAAAATTTATTCCAGTGGATTGAAATTGTGATCTTACCATTTCATTGATGATATATAGTTGATATTTTGACAAGGGTAAACGTATTTATAAATCATGTTGTCAACAAGTCAAGTAAATATTTTATACTATACTTTTACTTATAAAAACAAACCAAAAAAGACCCCACAGAATATGAAATAAAGCTAATATACCTCTAACAGTGTATTTATTTCATAAGTTTCGGAGAAAAAGGTGCTTCAGGCTGCAGCACAACTGGAGCGTGACACCGGATGTCCGGTTATAATACACCCAGGGCGAGCACCAGAAGCTCCATTTGAGATAATGAGGATATTTCAAGAGGCAGGAGGTCGAGCTAATAGAGTTGTTATGTCACACATGGATAGTAAGGAGTGTTTTCACTTACTTTTAAATGGCTTTATTTCAGTACTCATGACTTTCACCAAGACTTTCTCTCAAATTTATTGAAATGAAAGTAGAAAATTACTTTAAGAATATCCATGTAATGTTTATCATTCAAGATGCAATGTCTTATGGAATATTCTAATAATCTGTATTCAAATGATCTTGCAACATGCTAAATTGATTTAATTCATGATTTACCAAGAAAGAAATTACACAAATATGTTAAAGAAACATTTGTATCAATGTTCCATAATTATACAGAAAAAAATCTATATTTTATGGGATACAAGAAAAAAACATTGAACAGCAAGGACAGCTATTACGGTTGTTATGTACAATGAGTACAGTAATAAATAACTTACTGTTAATACTCAGTTTTTCACATCAGTATGAAAAAGGAATAAATTATTTAACTTATATTTATTTATCTGCCATCCAAGTTATCTTTTTCCATGAACTCGTGTTACTAGTATTGAGTTAATGGCCATTCCCTTAACTTGATAAGTTTGTAACAATAGGAAAGCATTTTGTAAGAACATAATGTATATAAGAGCCAACTATCAAATTATTGGCATATGTTTTGTTATCCAAAACATTAGGTCAATGACCAGGAAATATCCTAAATTTTGGCAACAGAGATAGTTTTATTTCATTGCAGTTTGTTAGTTCAAATTGTCTGCCAATATTTTTCCTGTAGCAAAAGATATATAGTGCCTATGTTCCCCTATTTCAAATGTGTTTTTATACCCCCAAAAACGAAGTTTGGGGGGGGGTATATAGGAGTCACCCGGTGGTCGGTCGGTCGGTCCAGCGGTCCGTTGCATTTTCCTTGTCCGGAGCATAACTTGAAAACTAATGGTTGGAAGTCAATATAACTTCATACAATGGTCAAGCACATTGAGAGGAAGTGCAGTGCACAAGAACCATAACTCCATCTTGACTAATTACAGAGTTATTGCCCTTTGTTACTTTTCCTTGTCCGGAGCATAACTTGAAAACTACTGGTTGGAATTCAAAACAACTTCATACAATTGTCAAGCACAATAAGGGGAAGTGCAGTGCACAAGAACCATAACTCTATCTAAAGTAATTACAGAGTTATTGCCCTTTGTTACTTTTCCATTGCTTTCTTTTGTCCGGACCATAACTTGAAGACTAATGGTTGGAATTCAATATAATTTCATACAATGGTCAAGCACATTGAGAGGAAGTGCAGTGCACAAGAACCATAACTCTATCTTGACTAATTACAGAGTTACTGCCCTTTGTTACTTTTCCTTGTCCAGAGCATAACTTGAAAACTACTGATTGGAATTCAAAACAACTTCATACAATTGTCAAGCACAATAAGGGGAAGTGCAGTGCACAAGAACCATAACTCTATCTAAAGTAATTACAGAGTTATTGCCCTTTGTTACTTTTCCATTGCTTTCTTTTGTCCGGACCATAACTTGAAGACTAATGGTTGGAATTCAATATAACATCATACAATGGTCAAGCACATTGAGAGGAAGTGCAGTGCACAAGAACCATAACTCCATCTTGACTAATTACAGAGTTACTGCCCTTTGTTACTTTTCCTTGTCCAGAGCATAACTTGAAAACTACTGATTGGAATTCAAAACAACTTCATACAATTGTCAAGCACAATAAGGGGAAGTGCAGTGCACAAGAACCATAACTTCATCTTGACTAATTACAGAGTTATTGCCCTTTGTTACTTTTCCATTGCTTTTTTTGTCCGGAGCATAACTTGAAGACAAATGGTTGGAATTCAATATAATTTCATACAATGGTCAAGCACAGTTAGAGGAAGTGCAGTGCACAAGAACCATAACTTCATCTTGACTAATAACAGAGTTATCGCCCTTTGTTACTTTTCCTGGTCCCGACCATTACTTGAAAACTACTGGGTTGGAATTCAATACAACTTCATACAGTTGTCAAGCACATTAAGAGGAAGTGCAGTGCACAAGAACCATAACACCATTTTGACAAATTACAGAGTTATTGCCCTTTGATACTTTTCCTTGTCCAGAGCATAACGTTGGAATTCAAAAAAACTTCATACAATGATCAAGCACAATAAGAGGAAGTGCAGTGCACAAAAACTATAACTCTGTCCAGAGTAATTATAGAGTTATAGACCTTTGTTACTTTTCCATTGCTTTTTTCTTGTCCAGAGCATATCTTGAAAACTACTGGTTGGAATTCAATACTATTTCATACAATGGTCAAGTATGTTGAGAGGAAGCACAGTGTACAGAAATCATAACTCTTTCTGGACTCATTTAAAAGTTTTTGCCCTTTGTTACTTTTTATTGTCCAGTGCATAACTTGAAAATTAATGGTTGGAATTCAATGAAACTTTATACAATGGTCAAGGGCAGTGAGATGAAGTGCAGTGCACAAGAACCATAACTCTAATTGGACTTATTACAGTTATTGCCCTTTGTTACTGTTTTGTCCTGTGCATAACTTGAAAACTTGTAGTTGGAATTCAATACAACTTCATACAATCAACAAGTGCAATGAGAGGAAGTGCAGTGTACAATAACCATAACTCCATCTTCAGTATTTATTGCCCTTTGTTCCATTTCCTTGTCTTTCTGGACTTATTGCAGAGTGATTCAATAAAACTTCTTCAATGGCCAACCACATTGAAAGGAAATGCAACATACAAGAACCACAACTATGTTTAATTGCCCACAACCATAACTGTATTTCAATTGTTTTACAAGGTATTCTGTTACTAGTAACATCCTCATTTCCGAAGCAGTCTTACGGGGGTATTAATCACATTTAGTGATAGTTCTAGTAAATTTTAAATGAGATCATTATTTCTTGACTGTTAACTTTGAAAGAGATTAAATAAATTATATGGATGTGATGAATCAGGGAGCATTTGTTATATTGTGTGGACATGTAGTTGGTTATGTGTTTACATAAATACTAAAATAACATGGCATAAGAAATCTGTTTTTATGCCCACCAATATTGGGAGGGTGGGGGTGGGGGAAATATATATTTGCCTCTTTTCATCCAACCTGCTGTCAGGCTGTCCATCTGTAGACTGACAAAACAGTGGAATGTTGTGCATCATTGTCCTATCTACTGTGTCCCAGCTAAGAAATTATATAGTTAGGGATACCATATCTACCATTACATCTTAATTGCTGATACAAATAAGTAGTTTAGGTGTAGGAGCAGATAGTTACTTCTGTAAAACAAGATTACATAAAAACAATAAAATGAATAACATGTTACCTGTAGTATTCATTTATATGGCATTGATTAGTTATATTTTTATATTTCAGGAACTATATCAGATATACCACAGCTGTTAGAGTTTGCGAGGTTAGGTTGTTATATAGAGTATGATTTGTTTGGTATAGAATGTTCATATTATCAGCAGACACCTACCGTAGACATGCCTAGTGACGCTCAACGTATTGAGAGAATGAAAATTCTCATAGATAATGGATTTGAAGATAAATTAACTGCATCACATGATATACATACTAAACATCGACTTGTAAGTTCTTTAAGTATTTATCATAATTTTATCATGTCATTTTACTGTACAGATCCTTATAATTGTCCTCTACTACATTTCAAATGATCAGTACATATATTTAGTAGGGACATTAGTGGTAAAGGTCATTGGCTTCAAACCATTTACCCTAAATGTTGTGGATTCAAATCCCAACAGGCACTTCGGTTTCTTTCATGTGAGGAAGCTATCTAGCTTACGAAAATGTCAGTTGTTCTACTCAGGGCCCGTCAGTGCCTGAAAAAATGCACGTAAGGGCACCTTGGGTCTTCCTCAACCAGTAAAACTGGAATGTTGCAATATGTCCTATACTGTGTTGGTGCAACATTTAACCCAACAATAACATAGCTTTAGTTTTTAAATTATTGAATAAACAGATTAATGTGCTGTCTGGATTTTTTGAGACAAGGAGGGAAATGACAAGGTCAGAAAATCAAATGCCCCTTTATCTCTGTGTTACTTGATTTTTTTTTTTTACAAAGAAACAAAATGGTTTTAGTATGATAAGACTTTAACAGGGCAATGAATTGTATTAATTTTTGGTACACAGATGACACATCATAAAATACAGATCAAGTACAAATTTTTTCTTATTTGGATAATTTTACTTCTGGCTTTAGTGTACATTGTTATTTTACTACAGAAAGAAGAATGTTGATAAATCACTAGTTTCATTTGTAACATGATTCTAGTCTGCCCTTCAAATTTTTTTTAGGGGGAGTCAGTGTCTGTCCTTCCAATATAGACAAGGGGAAAAACGTTTATCTTCACTTAAAGGGTTAACTATTAACAAATTTGTTTTCCAGATGAAGTATGGTGGACATGGTTTTTCTCATATTTTGTTACATGTGGTACCAAAGATGTTAGGCAGAGGTTTCTCTAGAGATCAGGTCGACAAAATTACTAAAACTAATCCACAGACTTGGTTAACATTTACAGGGACCAACCAGCAGCAACTAGTTTAAACAGGAAAGAGATATATATCTGACAGTCATTTTATAACATGAATTCTAAAAATGTGTATACATGTACATGCCAAATTAGTCATCTTTTAGAAATTTGGAGAATATCTTACCAAAGGTTTTAGAAGTTGGTAGTTATTTTTTGCCAATATTTAATTGTTGCTAGAGTCAAATAGGCTAAATAATATTTGCAGACATGGACTTTTTTTTTAGTTCGTAACGTATCTGTAAACCAGGTATTTTTAAGGCTGGGAAAGTATATGTGTTCACTTGATAGATACTTAAATCATTTGTTAGGCTAATAATTTTTGTATGAATTCTATGGTTGTCACTTAATTTTATGCAATGAAGAATTAAATTAATAAAATGTAAAGCAGTCAGTTATAGTATGTCTGTATGAGGAAATTGAGTGTTCATGTGGTGAAGGTTTTAATTGATGTGTAATGCAATACTTAAATAAAGAGCTTAATTTTTCATGTTCCTTAACAAATATTTGTGGGGCATATTATTGTAAGTTTGCCCTTCTGTTATACATATTGTCATCTTTCAATTACACTGATTTAACTGTTACCTTAGATATTTTGTTTGGTGTGTTTGTACTTTTATTCCTTGGACCTCTACCGATAAATTGGGTCAGGGTCAAGGTCACCAAGACTAAAAATAGATTTCCACCTTTTACTCATAGTAATGACATATTTTTGCTTTGTCAAAACAATATCGGGGGGAACAGTCATCGATGTAATCTAAATATTTTTTTCTTTTTAACCAATTATCTTATTTACCATAGTTGAAAGATTCGATGATTTATTATATCAATATCATTTTATGGATTATATAGATGTATCATTTTCATGGAATTATATTTTGCTTCAACATTGTGACGTCATTATTTGATGACGTCATGAAGATAAGAGCATGACGTTACGCGGCTAAAATCAGTAAAATGGTGTAAAAATCGTTAAAAAATCATGAAATAAACAGAAAATTTGTTTGTTTTACATGTAAGATCAAATAATATTTCACTCGTGAACCCCAGCTATTATATTTTCACTCGTGGCTACGCCACTCGTGGAAAATATTGCATCTGGTGTTCACTCGGTGAAATATTTTTCGATCTTACACTGAAACAAACAAATATCCTCTATGTTAAGATATAAAACATTTTAAGATTTACTGTTTTTGTATTTTATACAATTGTGCTTTTATATGGTTAACAACTGTCCTTTTTCAGATATACTTAGCAAATGTATTTTGAACATCTTCGAAAGATTTATATACATATTCATTATTAAATCTTTTAAAGTTTTTCATAAGATTTTGTTTCTAATTTCATTAGAAGAAAAATCGATAAATAGATAATTATAGATCTATATAATATTCCATACTTTGCGATTCTGTTGGTTTTTTTTTTTGTGTCAGACAGGTTTATCTACTGTTTACACTGGTGCTAGAAGAATACAGGGGTGTAAGACATGTCACCTGTTTAAATGAAATAATTCCTGTGCGCCTTTTATGAATGAATTGAATTCTTAGAATGACATCATTTTGTGGTTATGAATGAAGTTATTTAAAGTTCTAAGAAAATCTTACTGTCCCTGGGGTTTGTATTTGTGTAAACTTTAAATATTTTATGTTCTGAATTTTGTACAATTCCTGCATAGCCTTTTCTTCTGTCAAGTAATTAGGAAAGTTGAACACACTGCTTGTTTGATATGTTGCTTTTCATTTTGCTTATCTTTTATATTTGACTCAATTGTATTAAATATAATCTCATATAATTGCAAATCAGGGAATCATGATATTTTATATTTTATGCTTTCAATCCAACATTCCAAGATCTCCTTAACTATTTTAAACAAGATTTAATCACATAAGGTATAGTGTCAAAGTGTCCACAGTGTCTCTATACTGTATTTTTCCACTGGAATTTTTTACTACAACTGTTGTCAGTTTTTCTTGTCAATTTAATCTGTTAGAAAATAAACATTTGTACACTATTTTGTCAAACATTTAACATATCTGTAGATTCAAATATATATACGAAATAAACAAGTCATTCCTTACTTAGTTAGATCATTACATAACTCATAGATCATTGAACCTTCTCAGATGACAGTTTTAATTTTTGGGGGAAAAAAAAGAAATTAAACTAAATAGGCTTTGTTTAACATTTAAATTAATCAAATAGCCTGAATTAACTTGTTTTCATTGGAAATTAGTTGCTGTAAAATAGCCTTCACTAGATAGTGATTCAAATTTTTAATGGTTATCATTCACAAAATATTACACAGAGATTTAAATACCAACTTGTGCATTTTTATTTATATAAAGGGAAATACTGTAAGTGGATTTGTATTTGTATAAAAGGAAATACTATAACAAAAAAAAAGTGTTCATTTCTTTGAAACAGTACACAAAGTATTGATATAATCAGCTTATCCCATATCATTATATCTTTGAAAGTTCAATCACATATTATAATGCTCAACTCCATATGATATTTTTCAGTATTGTATATGATTTTGTTCATGCTTTTACTATGATCAGGGACCAGTTAGGTGTTCCAAAGCTTAAACAAATTTGCAGCACTTTACAGTTATAGCAAGTGTACAATCAACTTGTATAAAGTTGTTCAACAAAAGTACAACAGTATCTTCAAAATAATAAGCCCCTAGAGCCCACTGGAACCAAGAGTGGTCAGCCTTTGCATCCATGCTGACTGACCCGGCTTTATACTGTTACTTACTTTAAATTTCATCTAGATACCTCAAATATTGATTATTTAACAAATTCATCATCTTGGGGTTATGAGTGACATGTTTTTACAACATATAACATTAGCTAAGATTGATAACTACAGTTTCTGGATTAGGTTGTCTTTACACTAGATTTTTGAAAATTATGCATTTTCCTTATTTATAATCTCATAGCATTTGATATTATGTTCTATTACTCCAGATTTTTTTTATATATTCATATTTTTACCGATTATAAAGACAAGTGCTATCCAAGTTTACATCATCTGATGCATTGTTATTGTTAACACTGAGAGAACTATATTAGTGTGACAATGAAAATTAATATACATGTAGCTGATTTAAAACTGAATGTTTTATACAGTAACTTTTATAAATCGAACATAATTGAAATGAACTGTTCCGACATTATGGAATGTTATTGTTATGTACAATTGTAACTAATTATATTGTTACAAATAAACAAGATTGATAATCATTTGTTACTTGGTTTGTATTCGTCACCAACTTTACATGCCCTCGCCATTGTGGGTTCAAATCCTGTCACATAATTATTATGTTGGATTCTTCACCAGTGTAGATGTGAATACAGACATATATTGGATTATTTTATATGAAGTAATTCCCCTAGTATACACATGGTTAAACTCAGCATCCTTCATGTGCTTGAAGTAATGCAAAAAGGTGCCTGTAGTTACTTCCTCCAAGTTCAAGCCAGAAAGTTTCATCTTCCGTTAGTTATAGTGACAGTCATCAGACCTTATAAAGTGTACGATTTATATAACCAAACCAATTTAAAAATGTATTCAGATTGCTGTAATCAAATCAAATTCATGGAACTTACATCAGCAATGTTGTCTTAGATTTAAATTATCACAATAAACACATGTTAATAAGAAGAGGATCAATCTTGGTGAATGATTCTGATAGCTGCTGCATGATTACAAATCTTTGATCCTAGAAAATTACAAAGTTTAAAATTCAAAGTAGGATTAGCCTGTTATCAGTGTATGTATGAATTGTGTAGATTATAATGCAAATAAAATCCAATTATAAAGTAATTATGCTTCTAATAAATGCCATGCAAACAATTTTTGTCTGACACAATCCAATGCTGTCACTATCGAGACAAAGAACCAAATCACTAAGCAAGAAGTCATGAGTACTACAAGTACAACACAAGGCTACCCCCCCCCCCCCCTGACTATAAATCAGATTGACGAGTGTTTTGAGGTTCTTTCTCTTTTGTATCATAGTCAAACATAAAAACACGTCCCCTGATACCACAATATGAAACCCAACAAAAAAAATAACCAATGAACGAGCATCTGAATATGATATTTCCATTGCTATCCCTTTCTCTGTCGTCAAAATATGTAAACCCCGGACAAAATGAACCAATCAATGGGCATCCTCTGGAGTGCGGGTAACTAATACCTGCACTCCAGTTAACGCACTGTGCATGTATATGTATATGATTTAACTCTGTAACATTTTCAACAGAAAGGTCCACAAACTATGATACAACTTACAAGTTCAAATCCCAATATGGGAATGCATCAGTCCATTTTCAATTTTTTTGTTAAAGTTTGTTCGAAAATCTTTTTTAGTTGTTTATATAAGGCTATGTAAACCAAGTCATCCTAAGGGGCCGAATGTTTATACAACTCTAGTCATTTCTATGTATTGTTTAAAGAAACTTACAACATGGGCCTGGATAATGTAGGAATAATCAAAGAATTTTCTTTCAAAAATATAAATATCATTTTTGTATATTGACCAAAGAATTTTCTATGTTCACAAAGGGCAATATATCAATAAAATTTATGCCAAAAGTTATGATCCTAAAATTATGATACAAAAAAATTGTTTTAAGCTATAAAGATAACTCAGTAAAGTAGGATGTTGCTAATTTAAATTTTCCTCCTTTGCTATAGTAAAAAAAACTCCTTTTAACAGAAAACTTTCAGTGGTTTTGAAGATTGATGTTGCATGCAAAACTTCAACCAAGGAATTTTCAAAGTTTACAAATGGCCATAATTCTGTCAAAATCCATGCCAGAGTTATAGACCTTGAATATTATGATGTAATATAAATGTGTAAAGTTCCATGCAAATATCTTCAGTGCTTACTAAGATATGATGTTGTTAAAGAAGTTGCACCAGTTACGCCAAAGCAGATGCTTTCACCAAGGTAAGTAGGATAGCAGTACTGTTTCTTTAAATGACCAAGCTAAAAGTTAAGGACTAATAATGGCATATCCCCTTGAAACTGATAATCTTGTGTGTTTGGAGTCATTCACAAAATACTTTTTTTCAAATAGACTGTATCAACTAGTTCTTCAGTATGCACAGTATGGTCTCATCTGGATGTATGATCCTGCAATATTTCATGGTATATCATATCTGGGCAACCGTAATAACCCATGATCAAAGGGTGGCAAACTGGTTAAGGTGTCTGCCTCTCAACTAAGGAAATGTGAAATCGAGCCAAAATGTGAGGCATAGTGGATCACAGACATGTTTCTTCATAGTCACAGGAAGTACACACACAAGTAATCCAAATAAACTGCCAGCCTTCTTTACAACTAGGCATAAATAAATAATGTTGAACTATTTACTGTTAACAGCAAATTTTCGTACTGGTAACTATCAACAAACTTCTTTGACAGTAGACTTAAGACTGTATTTTTGTTAAAATTTTGATATATATACCAGGGTTGTCCTGAAAGTTCACATATACTACTTCATTTTTTCCTTTAAAACAATACATATGTTATAAAAAATGTGCCCGCAAATATAACAGTATACATATCTTACAAACACATTTACAAAAAATTATGGTGCTGAAAGCAACGTTTGCATTATAACAGTCTTTACATACAACATAATTATATCAGCATCACGGAGCACCCTGACAACATCAACAGAATTAAATGAATGTTTTTGAATTTAGAAATATGTAGCAAATAAATACTTTTGCAAAATATTAAAACATATTATGACTTGATTGCTTATGATCGTTTTGTAGCCTTGTCTACGAACTTTGCGGACAGCCCTCATATTTCTTTATCTTATTCCTGATGGTGATAACATAAGATAACAAACATTTATTCTTTTTTTTTCTTTCTTTTTTTTAGTTTTTACAAAACAAACCGCACATTATAGCTATCATATATCTAAATATTCAAACATTGTATACTTCAAATCTAGTGTACTGATCAAGCACATCATGTCTATGTAAATTTTTCTTTCACATTGTTTAATGTCAAAGTCATCTAAATATAGATCTCAGCAATTTCAATAAATAAATAAGACTTGCTATGATTTCAACAATGTCATCAATTAAATAGTCATGAATGCCTGAATCGAAAAGATACATTCATCTTAGTTAGATGTTTAAATGTTTTCTATTAGTTTAGTTTCACTGTCCAGCTGCACTGGTCTTGGCATTAAAATGACTTGTCCTCTCCTCAAATCTTCTTGTATGAAACTTTACAGGGTCTGGAAACATTTTACTGTGATCCTCACCCTGCAACGACAAATTATAAAGTACATTTCTTTCGTTCACACATGAATTATAATCATGAATGTACAAAATCGATGATAATAACAAAATATCCTTTCGCTGTAAATATTTTTTATGGTATCAGTTATATTATACTACTAACAAATAACTTTGCTATATTGCTTTCTTTTGGTATCAGATATGATAAAACTAACAAATAACCTCGCTATATTGAAGTATTTTATTATGATATCAGAACATGTTTACTGCTTGGAATAAGTCAATAGAATATAACAACAACAATTGAAGAAATTGCAGTCCATGCAATTCAGTTTGCCTCCCTCTATTTCACACCTCCCCTCTATGTTTTAAGTGGCCAACTAAGTGCCATTCCAGCATGTCTATTTAGCTCAATATTGAGACATTGGGCTACATTTCCCAAACATTGTTAATCTTTTCACTCATACTTTAATTATGGCAAAATCCAATATAAATTTCAAATCTTTGCATAAAATACAAAGTAGAAACTAAATACTTACTGGATATTTAGGTAGTTTACCGCCATATACAATTACACCAGTGTGTTTCTCCCAGTTCTGTTTGTTACAAAATATAAAAGAATTAATATATTAGAAATATAACCAGCATTACAAGTTGTCAATTGTTCAAGCAAGATCTTTTACAAACACTTTGGTTGTAACTCATTTCTGCAAATTAATCTGGCCTGCAAATTATCAAAAGGGGATTTGTGATGTAGTGGTTAAAGTATCTGCCTGACTCAACCTAGGTAGTAAGGGTTTGAGCACTGGGAACATGACTGTTTCCTCATATGACACCAGTATTGGTTAGTGCCGGGAAGCTGACTCAAGAGTGGTTCCGATAAGCTGCAGGCTGTCTTCACAAAAAAAACTCAAGTCAAAAATTTAAGAGTCAATTTGCCATACTTTAACTTTCAAAGCTTTATAGTTCACCTCAGGATATGGAAAAGTAAATAAAATTACCCAAGGGTATTCCGCAAGACAATTTGAGACTTTCTGGCAATACATGTAATTTACATAGTATTTTTATAGGCCTACCGGTACTTAATATGCATTGTTCAGCGCAGAAGTTTGTTAAAGATAGTTTACTATGTTAAATCAACAACAAAGGCAATGCCATTTCTGTCCATGAGAGGTTTATCACATACATGTATAACATTTGTAGAAGTCTACAGGTGAGGATAATGCTCTTTTTTTAAATTCTTTGCTCAAGGTCTTGTCTTTTCAAAAGAGAAGATCTTACAGTTATTTATCTATTATGTCCGAGTATAAACTAACCCTAGGAAAAAGACATTTCAAACTACATGGGCATGACTTACATAATGTTAGTTTAGTTAATTTTAAAATATTTTTTAATCAAATTTTTGCTGTTAAGCATAATACTACGAGAACAAAAATATGACATGAAAGCATTTTTTTTTCTTTTAAGCATTAAATTCTTACCTTTGGGGTGTAGTAAATCAGATACAGCGCATAAAGAGACACCGCTCCTCCAGTTAGTACTTTAGGAACACATCTTCTTATAACATTTGCTGGCCAAGAACCCTACAAATATGTCAAACATTGATTGACTTAAGGGAATTGAAGAAATTACAAATTTTAAAGAGTTGTAATGTCATTGTTTGCTACCCTTTAGCATTCTTGCGGCAACTGAATCTACCCATGTGATGAGTGCAGACCAAGATTTAAATAGCAGACACATCCATTCCATCTAATAATAGACTGCATTCTTTGCTTCTCAGTCAGTATATATTTTGAAAGTTTCACTAAAAGGGATATAAGATTTTTTTTCCAGATTGAAAGATGGACAATTTAGCATGATGATTCTGTATTGGATTTCTTATTTGGCAAGACACTTGTATTGCAAAAATGACCCATGTATAGGGCAAATACAATTGTTCAAGGCCAAATAGAAATCACAATATGAAATCACCCAATAAATGAGAAATCATTCAATAAATACAAGTTGAGTAAATTAACAATATAACTTATTCATTTTAAAATTTAATCTATATTTTTAAAGAATATAAATAAACACAGAAATATCTGACAACAAATCAGTAAAACTGTTTTTCAAATATATGTCATGTGCTTTATAAACTGATCATTAACGGTTTACCGGTATACCGATATAATATTGCAATATGAAAAAATAAATTTTGTACCGCAGTATGATTTTTGAAAAACTGGTATTTTATAAAAATCATAATTTTCAATTATTGCCTTCTAATTTCCTACAAATTTCGCACAAAATCTTTTAATTGGGAAATTTTATTGGCGCCAACGTAAGATATCTGACAACTAGTACACTTAAAAGTCAATAAGCGGCCGCATAATTTACATAAGCCGCCCAGATGTGAAAGGTCAGGCGTGACTAGTTTTGTTTATCTAATTGTGTGACACTTTACTTTCTATTTAGTCCTTACATTTTTATTAAGTTTCTACTAAGAATATATAAAAATACTTCGGCAAAATGGCAATATATTGCAATACGTTTTTTGTCGTATTGTTACACCCCTATTGATCATGAGCTATTTTGGAAATAATGCTATTGTCCTCTAATAGTGACCTTTTTGAGCTTTCAAAAGCCATGTTTTAAGAAATTGTGGACAACAAGTGAACAACAATTGACAGACAGGATGCCATCACAAAAGCTCACCACTTAAAATGGCTACAGATCTATCTCTAAGTCAGTATTATTACCATTGTCAGTATAATGATGTTTTACACTTTAAATTGAATTTCTTCAGTCTAAAAACAGTCATTTCAACTTTATAATATAAATATATATATTTTTTGGACTGTGTTTTACTTTGCACCAACAAAGAACAGGTCATATGCAGATATCCAGCTTTAGCTTTGGTGGAGGAAAACCTCAGGTGGCCCTCTGTGTGTTATCTCAGACACAAACAGGGCTCCTGAGTTGAATCACCAATGTTCCGTATTGGGTAGCTGGATAGCTTTCTCACATTAAAGAATCCAAAAACACTTGCACAGCTCAAACCTACAGCAGTGAGAGGCAAATGGTTTGATGTCAATGACCTTAACCACTTTGCACTAAAACAGACTTAAAACTGGATTTTGCCATTCATGAAATGTGCATCAAACTTTGCCAAAGATTTTACTTGGTCTTCAAAAATTTAGCACATTCAAGGTTAATATTCTGATTATCATTTTTATTTATATTTTGTTTGTTAGTTTGATTGGGTTTTACATCACACAGACACAGTATAGGTCATTTGGCAACATTCCAGCTTTACTGGTGGAGGAAGACCTCAGGTGCCCTTCCGTGAATTATTTCAGGCACGAAAGGGCACCTGAGTAGAACCACCGACATTCCGTAAGCTAGCTGGATAGCTTCCTCACATGAAAGAATCCAAAGTCCCTGTCGGGATTCGAACCAACAGCGGTGAGGCGCAAATGGTTTGAAGTCAACAAACTTAACTACTCGGCCACGGACGCCCCTGTTTTGTTTATATAAGTCCTTAAAACATAGACCTGGATTTGTTATTGCAAATTGTTTATCATTTTATATTGAGAGCTTTCAAAGCCCAGAATCATCCTACAGGTATCCTATAGGTATGTTACATTAATTTTGGAGCCACTTAGCGAAAACAAACATGACTAATACAAAGAGGAATCACCTTATGCACTACATCGATAATTTGTAGTCCCATGCCAATATCTTATGGGCCGAGTACACCCGTACCGAAATAAGTTATGTGTAGTGTAGGGATAAGATGCCGTGGTGGCCGAGCTAATTTAAGGGTCAAGTTGATCAGAATTACCTGGCCCCACTGTCTGTGCAAGTGACCCAAACACCACCTAAACGATACCTGGATACTTACTATTACTTTAGCCATCATCACTTCCGCTGTATCCCATGGCATTCTTAATATACGTCTCGCAGCGAACATAGGTTGTGAAGCTGGAACAGATCTCGGTTCGTTGGGCGATAAATTTTGGTCTAAGAGCCACTGTTTCCTTAGAAAACGATCCTCTGCTGTCATCGGTTTATGGAGTCTTTGCCTTTCCCATGGCATTGGTTCAATACAAAATGCTGGATACCTACTACCTCTGTTAGCTAAAACTTTTTGAACCCGCTGTTGGTACTCCCATACCTTCTCATTTGGCAAAGGTGTTTCGATTTGAGGAATCGGTGGTACTGGCACTCTTACAGTTGACACCTTTGCAGGAGCCTTTGAGTCAGCCATTTTGGCGACCTTGGTGAAAATCAACCTAACGAAAATAAATTTACAAAAAGAAAATATAACGATTCGTCCCATTAATTATTCGACCTTAAACAACTCTCCACACTTTACTGAAACGTTATTCGCCCCTCATAATAACATTAATATTAAACATAATTATACATTCATGTACGTTAAAGATGTTTAGTTTTAACAAAATATTTTGTATACAGTATATTTGGTATGTTATTCAGGACGGTGGCTAACTTAGTCAATTTATTAACTTTAGTAGAGATGAGACTACATTCTTTCTATTTTTCTTCCATAAATGTCAAACCCCTCCCTGGGACGTAGACATGACAAGGGAATTCAGGAACCAGTCCCTAGCTCTTACTGAACAGACCCTTTGGTTCTTTTACATGCCAAGTGTATAGGATTACCTGGATTTACCAGTACACCTCTAGTTAGGTGGGAAACACTGAAAGTGTCTCTGAAAAATTACAAGGCTGTTACCCAGGATCAAACCCGTGACACTGTGACCTCAGGAGTGACAGTCAGTGGTCTAACCAACTGAGCTATAATTTGCGCCACCTTAATTGATCAAAATTTGTATCAATAATGTTATAGTATCAAAATTGTGACTAAAATATGTTCACTGAAATTTGTTCTGGTGACCCTATAAATGTTAAGCCCCAATGTGCAAGAATTAGTCTAATTTATATAAAATTTAAAGAAAAAAATCATAATTAAATTCCAACTTATTTAAGTCAACTCATATTTCCTGCGCTGCTTTTAATTTTGTTCATCAAACCAAATTAATTTCAGCTTATTATCACTATTACTATGAATTTTCGTCAAAATCTGTGCTGTGAAGAAAAGATGTCATTTTTACTATTTCTTTATTCAAGTAGCAATCTTATTAAACAGACCGGCAAAATTTTAGCTTCGTATGTACAAATTATACCATCATCATAATCCTGTAGTTTGTTCAAAATCTGCCCGCAGCAGAGATTCCACTTTCATGTTTTTTTTTATACTTTTAGCACTGGCAGCCATTTTTAGTTGACCAGAACAATTGTAAATACTTTTGTATTTAGAACTGCTGAAGGATCACTCTTACCTTATTGTATTATGAATCTGACCATCTGGTCTAAAACAATTACCATCTTTAACTCTTGACTGCCACCTTGTTCAGCAGACAAAAAGCACTTGCAGCTATATATTTTTGTTATATACCACAGAAATTCTTCATAATATAAAATTTCATTGAAATCAGTACCTTCATAATTTTCCCCAGTTTCTTGTTTAGTGGACTGGAACAAGAACATTTCAATTTTTGGTATAGTACCTTCAAAGGATCACAACAAATATTTTCTGATTTATCACTACAAATCTGAGACATCAAGGGACAAGCAATTTGAGATTACTGCCTGTGGCATCCTTGCATCCAATAAGCTGCACAAACCACCAATATGTCTTGTTGATCATTGTGGAAGGGCATTTATTGCCCAATTTAATGGTGTAAATAATAAAATCATCAACCCACTGGTGTAAGATTTTATTGTTTCTTTTTTATTAGAATGGTATTAAGTTGACTCTTTAACACAATGCTTTAAAAAAATTGTCCATGTAATTTTTGATGATGATATTACAACATTTTTATATGATTTAAACACTAAGCAAATTGATCCTTTGTAAAGAGGACAGCAACACAAGATTGCTTATTTAGCTGGAAGTTGCTTGTCCCATTATATTCTGTGCCAGACCAAATCTACCAAGCAGTTACAATTTCCTTTAAATATATATTCATGTGACTCTCTTTGCCTATTTATGCAACATGACAAAGCACCATTTCTCACCACAGTTGGTAGTGGTAAAGGAGATGAATGATGTCATATAAAATAAAACAAGAGCTGTTAGGACACAGTGCTCAACTATTCTCAGTGCAACAAAACCTGGATAATGTAAAATTTTCTAAGTTTGATAGGGCAATCCATGTCAGAGTTAAGGGCTATAGACAGTGACCTACTTTTATGCTCTCAAATGTGAGAAGTTTCAACATATATCCTTCAGTGGATTTGGAGACACCAGCTTGCATGCAAAAACTTAACTAAAGTCTGACCGCAGGGTACGTACAATAGTTCTCCCTATTCTTCCAAAAGGCGTTTACTTATGCAGACAGGACATAACTTTTGAAACTTTACCATTTGTTAAAAAGGTTTAATTAAAACTTTATACAGCTCTATGCTGTTTGTTGCTATTTTTTTTGTATTTTGCTGTTGAAATCCCTTAACTTAGAATGAACAGTTCAAGTTAAAAGCAGGGAAAATCCATTTAACAAATTCAGCAGGAAAAGGGTTAAAATTTGTCAACACAAACAGTAGTTTCTTCAGCAGGTGGGTTATCAAGGAGCAAGGCAGTCACTTGAGTAAATAAACATAACAAATACAATGTTTTTGTACGGCAAATACTTTATATATCTTTACAAAATGTACATAAACAGAAATAAGTTTTCACCGCAACAAAGTTTAACAATTCTACATGTAAATAGATATCCCGAAGTAAAACATGAAATAGGTGAAACACATGATATTGGACAGAAAACAACACTAGGGAGTGGGTCATCTATGAGCTGTGATATCATAGTTATATATGTGACAAATAGCTGTAAAAAGTAATGATAATTGACTCAAATGTAATTACAAACAAGCCAATGGGCAATATTACTTAAAAAATAAACTCTTTTTTTTCCAAGTAAAATTAAGTGCAAGTAACATTTTACCAAATGACCATTTCCAAGAAAACAACAAGAGCACTGCATGCAATGCCAACACTCGTCTGCTAAGGGCAACAACTGAAGAATATTATGTTGTCTAGCTGTTATGCACATCACTTCTCAATAAAATGAATGACATTGCGATTATGTATATTTAAAATGTTGGTATTTATACAAAAGATTATATATCAGGTGCAAAGGGCAAATAACTCATGAAATACAGATCACTGAGTTATGTCTCTTGTCCTACAGATGATCCTTATCCTGACTTTGATAATTTTCAACATTTTCTATCAGTAACAATTTCAAAAATTTACATTAAAATGACCCAAAAATACTGCTTTCAGGATAATGCCCCCTGTCTTAAAACTTGCCTTGTCACAATAATCAAGTATTCTAAGTTTAGTGTTGATGCTTTTAATAGTTATAGTCTTCAAATAATTCTACTTAATAAGCGATTTTGATAAAAAAAAATGTGAGTGAAATAGAAGAAAAACTCCAAAATATGACCTTCATAATACTGCTGCATGTGTTTAAACAGTGCCAAGTATTCCAAGTTATGTCTTGTTACATTCAAAAGTGTTTGGGTAATAAGCTACATCAAAATTTCTTGCACAACAACCGCAACCCAGCAATCATCAAAGCTTGACTTTTTCTGTGAAAAAGACATGCTAAAAATAAAATCTTAAGAAGTTAATGCCCAGAAGATTAAGAACAAAAAATATTGAATGATGTGATCAGCATATAGATACTGCAAAAATATATGTTTTTATAACACAGTGCTCCAAAATTCAGAAATTCTACTTTAAACTTCTAATATTGACATATTAAAGGTTTTTACTGATTAAAAATTCCTATTTTTTAAGTTAACTTTACATTTTGATCCTAGTGACATTCTGTGGATAATGACGGAAAAGAAAGAATATAAATTTACGCAAAACCTTAGTAACTTTAAGCTTTTACTTTTTTTAGAAGTTCATTATAATAAACAACAATCAACTAATAAACATCCTTTAAAAATGTTTAGCTTGCACAATTTACTAATTGTTAAATCTATCAAATCTCTTTATTTCAAATGAAGTCATTTAACAGGATTCAAATAACGATTTGATGAAGTTATAACATTAAACAGGATCATAGTAAAAGGATACCATGTTTATAAAATGGATGTCTATCAAAGTCCTGCTTTTTTTTTAGAAGAAAAAGAAGATAAATAATTGTTTCTGACGTTGAAAATAATTAACAAAACTCAAACTATAATTCAGCCGTAATTGATGAATTCATTATCCCAAAGCTGAAAATTGAGAGAGAGAGAAAAAAAATCATTTAAGAATGATGATAGTCATCTGCATCAATTCACACTGTTTGGGCAATCAATCCTAATTTACTATGACTTAATTTCAGCTTCTTTTGCAAAAACTACCAAGGCTTTGACAAAATAATTGTGACCAGCTGGAGAGAATAATAATAACAACTACATTGTCATAAACTGTTCACATACAAGACCGAACATGATGCAAATATTTCATTTCATAAATATTTTATTAACAAATACTATTTTATTTAGGATGATTTATATTTTTTACCAACAACAAGAAGTTATTCAAGTGAGCCAATATCACTCTAAGGTTGAGGAAGTATCTCTCAATAGAGTAACCATAAAGTTAAAGATTGGGGCATTTTTTTTTTACCTTCGCCCTTTATTATTCGAAGTCCACTATACAATGCTGCAGGTACATACCAAATATGATTGGGCATTTTATATTAAGATTACCTCTTCTTTCAAAAATTCAATCAAGAGGCACAAAAGCTCAACCTTTCGCAATTTCTATTCAAGTGAGTTACAAGTACATTTACTTTAAGATTAAAACTAGAATACCGAGCTTACTGTTATTGCCGTCAGTAATTTCCATTCCTGTATTGTAAATACCATACCAAAAATCTTTGTTAATGTGAAACTTAAAGCCTAAGCTAATCAACTGATCAAAACTTCCTGATAGGCCCTGGAAGCTTAAACAAAGACCCACCAGTTGTTTATTTATTTATTTTTTTTGGTGATCTCCATATCAAAATGTTAACAAGCAAATTCGTTGAATTTATATTCCCCGCCGAGTACTGGTTATTATTAACACAACAACTGAAGACATAAGGCTTTATTTATATATTAATCATGGCATAAACAGTAATATTCTTTGAACTTGATAAATATTCAGGGCAATAACAGAGCCATAACTTTGTGTTAAATAGTAAAATCAGGAAATGCCAATGAGATGTATGCATACTACATAACTAATCAAGGGCCATAAATCTGAGTTATAAGTATCTGACTGGAACAAGGCGACTATATGCACATCTCCTCTTAGTATCCCATAAAGTTTCATTGAATTCCAGCCAGTAGTAGCAGAGAAGTAGCGAGAAAACAAATATTTTTCTATATGGATACTGCATAACTAATCAAGGGCCATAACTCTGAGTTAAAGTGTCTGACCGGAACAAGCCGACGATATGCGCATCTCCTCTTGGTATTGAAGGTTCCCATAAAGTTTGGTGAATTCCAGCCAGTAGTTGCAGAGAAGTAGTGCGGAAACGATTTTTACTCTATATGCATACTACATAACCAATCAAGGGCCATAACTCTGAGTTAAAGGGTCTGACCCGAACAAGCCGACGATATGCGCATCTCCTCTTGATATTGATGATTCCCATAAAGTTTCGTTGAATTCCAGCCAGTAGTTGCAGAGAACTACTCCGGAAACGATTTTTACTCCATATGCATATTGCATAACTAATCAAGGGCCATAACTCTGAGTTAAAGTGTCTGACCCGAACAAGCCGACAATATGCGCATCTCCTCTTGGTATTGAAGGTTCCCATAAAGTTTCGTTGAATTCCAACCAGTAGTTGCAGAGAAGTAGCGCGGAAACGATTTTTACTCCATATGCATACTGCATAACTAATCAAGGGCCATAACTCTGAGTTAAAGTGTCTGACCAGAACAAGCCGACGATATGCGCATCTACTCTTGGTATTGATGATTCCCATAAAGTTTCGTTGAATTCCAGCCAGTAGTTGCAGAGAACTACTCCAGAAACGATTTTTACTCCATATGCATACTACATAACTAATCAAGGGCCATAACTCTGAGTTAAAGGGTCTGACCCGAACAAGCCGACGATATGCGCATCTCCTCTTGATATTGATGATTCCCATAAAGTTTCGTTGAATTCCAGCTAGTAGTTGCAGAGAACTACTCCGGAAACGAAATTCGGACGGACGGATGGACGGACGGACAACGCCAAAACTATATCCCCCTCCCGATTTCATCGGCGGGGGATAACAATCAGCAGATAACAGTAGTCTCACAGATCCGCACTGAAGAACAGTGCATGGCAGTTACTAAACTTAGGTATGTTATATTCAGTTAATGCTTAGATGTTTAAAAAGAAAAAGATATATATTTTAACAAAGAATAGATTATTTCAACACAATTCATAATCATATCATATCAAATAGATAAACAAGAAACAATACTACTGTTTTAAAAGATGTTACAATTCTGGTTAACTTACAGAATAAAAAACATAGAAATATATGATATTAAAATTTCACATGACTTTATGTACATAGTATTATGCTTATTAAAGTCTGGATCCACATACACAACAAAGAAGAAGGGCAATAACTTCTTCTGTTGCTGACCCTCACTCGGTGTAATGGGATACTTAAATTCACAGTATATTGAGCTCAAACATGGGACTATATCTATCAACCAAGATTTTTTCCAGCAAATAATTTTGTTAATAATAATAGATGAAGGTCAATTGTTGACTGAAAACAAGTAGACTGAAATATATTATTGTAAAACCTGTATGGTGTTGATGTATGTTACTTAAACTGTCAATAACAAAAAATAATCAAATCATAACTAACTGAACATTCTACATAAACTGTTTTTGGCAATTTGTCGTAGTTAAAGAGGTCAATGTTAAAATTCACTAAAGTTTAGCACTTGCTGTAATATGCTGTTAACTACATCATCTCTTGAAAAAGACATCCATAGTCATCATTGTCAGAATTAAAATGCAAAATATTCATATATTACCGATATGTATCTTTTCAGCACTTCAGTTGTTGTTGTTTTTTTTAAAGATAACAATAAAAATTATGAAACTGTTAAATACGTTAACAAAACACCCATTGTCACTTCATAAAAAAACAATTATAACAATCAACTGAAACATTCATGGTGTCATCAACTTTAATTTATACCAACTTCTATATATAATTTAACCAGTCACATACAATTTTTGGACATGTGAAAACTATTTACTTAATTTGTATTAAAAATTGAAATGCTAATATAAATTTGTTGTATATTAGATAATCAAGACCAAAATTTACAATTATTGAAAAGATGAAAGTTGAAGAGGTGCTACAGGATTACAGAAGAAGAAATAATAGAAAATTTAATGCTTAAATTTCAACATTGCATTATAATACAGCATTGATATAGAAACAAGATATGTTTGTAAAACATGTATGCCCCCTATCAGCAGCCAATTAGTCATGTGATAAGGTTATTATGACTTCTGACCCAGTGATCAAACAATTAATAAGGGTTATCAAGTATCTACTGGTCATGACCTTAACCTTTGACCCCTTGACCCAAAACTCAATAGGGGTCATCTGCTGGTCACGACCAATCATCATACAAAGTTTGAAGTTCCTAGGCCTAAGCGTTTTTAGTAAATTGATCGGAAACCGTTTTAACATACAAGGTCAATGTGACCTTGACCTTTGACCCCTTGACCCCAAAATCAATAGGCCATCTGCTGGTCATGACCAATCACCATACCATGTTTGAAGTTCCTAGGCCAAAGGGTTCTTAAGTTATTGATTTGAAAGCATTTTTACCTACAAGGTCAATGTGACCTTGCCCTTTGACCCCTTAACCCCAATATCAATAGGGGTCATCTACTGGTCATGACCAATAATCATACCATGTTTGAAGTTCCTAGGCCTAAGGGTTCTTTAGTTATTGATCGGAAACCGTTTTTACCTAAGAGGTCAATGTGACCTTGACCTTTGACCCCTTGACCCCAAAGTCAATAGGGGTCATCTACTGATCATGACCAATCACCATATCAAGTTTGAAGTCCCTAGGCCTAAGGGTTCTTTCGTTATTGATCGGAAACCGTTTTTACCTACAAGGTCAATGTGACCTTGACCTTTGACCCCTTAACCCCAAAATCAATAGGGGTCATCTGCTGGTCATGACCAATCACCATACCAAGTTTGAAGTTCCTAGGCATAAGGGTTCTTTAGTTATTGATCGGAAACCGTTTTTACCTACAAAGTCAATGTGACCTTGACCTTTGACCCCTTAACCCCAAAATCAATAGGGGTCATCTGCTGGTCATGACCAATCACCATACCAAGTTTGAAGTTCCTAGGCCTAAGGGTTCTTTCGTTATTGATCGGAAATCGTTTTTACCTACAAGGTCAATGTGACCTTGACCTTTGACCCGTTAACCCCAAAATCAATAGGGGTTATCTGCTGGTCATGCCAATCACCATACCAAGTTTGAAGTTCCTAGGCCTAAGGGTTCTTTTGTTATTGATCAGAAACCGTTTTTACCAAAGAGGTCAATGTGACCTTGACCTTTGACCCCTTGACCCTAAAATCAATAGGGGTTATCTACTGATCATGACCAATCACCATACCAAGTTTGAAGTTCCTAGACCTTAAAGTTCTTTAGTTATTGATCGGAAACCATTATTGCTTACAAGGTCAATGTGACCTTGACCTTTGACCCCTTGACCCCAAAATCAATAGGGGTCATCTACTGATCATGACCAATCACCATACCAAGTTTGAAGTTCCTAAGCCTTAAAGTTCTTTAGTTATTGATCGGAAACGTTTTTGCTTACAAGGTCAATGTGACCTTGACCTTTGACCCCTTGACCCCAAAATCAATAGGGATCATCTACTGATCATGACCAATCACCATATCAAGTTTGAAGTTCCTAGGCCTTAAGGTTCTTTAGTTATTGATCGGAAACCGTTTTTGCTTACAAGGTCAATGTGACCTTGACCTTTGACCCCTTGACCCCAAATTCAATAGGGGTCATCTACTGGTCATGACCAATCACCATACCAAGTTTGAAGTTCCTAGGCCTAAGGGTTCTTTAGTTATCACTCGGAAACCATTTGGTCTACGGACCGACGGACCGACAAGTGCAAAGCAATATACCCCCTTTTCTTCGAAATGGGGGCATAATAAGAGCAGGAACATAGCCCCTCACCTCTCCCTACCATACCACCCACCCCTGACTGTATAAATGTATAACTAATGTTTATCTGATAAATTTTAGTAAATATCTATTAATACTGCGCCTTTTGTTCGTTAGTTTTTTACAATTTTATATACAAATATACCAAAAATACCATAATGATACACAATTTCTGGTACCTATTCACATACCTGTTCCATATGTAAACCAAAGGTTTTTGAAGTTTTGGAAATGTCAATGCTTTAGTTTGTTATTTCTGTTTCAAAGGATTGTTTTAATTTGTGTATGCATAGATAATAGAAGTTATATCCAACAACATGAATTTCTTTAACAGATCATCAGTAAATTAACAGCTGAACACCTGAAAAACCTTTTCAAAACATGAAGAAATATATGTATGAATTTATTTGAACCAGATTTGAGAATGTGATAGCATGTAAAGTTGTTTTCCCTTCCCAAACTCGATAAATACATGTAGTGGTAACCACTTAACAGCAAGACATCTATTGTTAAGTTAACGTTTTCCCTTCCCAAACTCTGTAACTACATGTAGTTGTGACCACTTAATAGCAAGACGTTTATAGTTAAGTTAACATCTACTGGATTAACAATTAGTTATTTTCTAAATAAAATAAGACCTCAATGTGATGATAGGACTTATATTTTCAAAATATAAGAATTAAATAACTACAGTTAATTAATCACAAACAGGTATGAACAGCTTTAGTGTAAAAATGACAGAAATTCATAAAAAAAACTACATGGTATGTAACTAGTATAATAGTACATGTTGTAACTTCTGGCAGAAGGAATAACTTTCACCTATACAAGAAGTGAATTAAAGTAAGTGTGACCAGTCACCAGTTTCAATGCAACAAAGAAAACAAACAACAATTCTTGAACAAGATTAACTGTTTAGTTTACTACTTTTAGCAACATATATATATTATATATTTATTACACCCATCATTTCCATTCTGTTCCGACATTAAATCTCAAAACTATATTAGACCCATCATTTCCATTCTGTTCCAACATTAAATCTCAGAGCTATATGATTTTTCAAGCAACTAAGTTACATGCACTGGGGTTAGTTTGCACTATCTTATCAAAAATATGCACTCAAACTATAGGACTATTGTGTTATCTGATCATAAAATGAGGTTGGCACAACCTTTGTGACTATGCTGTATTTTCATTCTGCACATTTTTTTTTTGATTGGCAACATGATTTCAATTGAATTTTCTTTAATGTGATGAACTTATTTCAACCAGAGTTATCTTCATTTGCGGTCTTTACATAATTGAAAATACAGTTTGTGGTCTTTACATCATTGAAAATAAATCTTTCTTATGGATAGTAAAAAATAAACATTAATTTTGGATAGTAAACAATAAACATTAATTTTGGATAGTAAAAAGTAAACATTGATTTTCTACAATGATTTTATAGATGCTTCTTTACTCCAATGGTATATAGAGGCAAAATAACTTTCTTTATCAAACATCCAATAAATATATCAATGCAATATAAAAGATGTAAACTATACAGCTGAACTGTCCATTTAGCACATATTTCAAGTTGTGATTTTTTTTTTCAAACAGAGAAATTATTACTCTAAAATATACATAATTGTAAGTCTCATGATGTGTATAGATAATATTTCAAAATTTTAATAAAAATCTAATATATAAATTACGGGCAAATTCATTTATCATTGTAAAATACATGATACAATTTCATAAACTTTTTATAGTCAGTTAAAGAATTCACTCAGCTGTAAACAATATAATTGAAAAGGGAACTTTTATTTCATTCATGTAATAGAGTCATTTAGCTTACATATTGATAAAAAAATGATAAAATTCTGGAAAAGAAACCCTAACAAATGAAGTCAGTAAGAAATAAGAAACTTTTGGGACACAAGATGGGTACACAAAATTACAGATACAAAAAACATTACACACTACACAAGTCTATTTTGATTTAAAGAAAAAAAGTCTTAAATAACACAGTTAATGTATAGATATCCAATATATTTCTCAACACTATACATCAGTAACAAGAATCAATTATATGATGCTTTAATCTAAATCTCTCTAAAATGATAAAGTAACAAAAAAATCACAAAATGGCCATGAAAAACTCGCCTTTCCACGACAAATAATAAAGGAATATTCACCATTTTTATTTTCATGTTACGTCTACATACTTAAATATGATTAACATTCATACATATTTACATCTTTATATTTACAAGCATTTAAATGAAAAAATATAACAAAGTGACTGCATTTTTTTTCTACTGCCAATTTACAAAGATGCTATATACAAGGTAAGAAAAAAAAAAAAGAAAAGAAAAAATGTATGAAAAAATGATCAATCTGTCTGAGAAATGTCTCATATTTTATCTATTAACAACTCTATGACAGGTAATATGGGAAAACAAAACACAAAATGATTGATGAAAAATATGCGTGACCATGAGCATTTGTATACATATTTCATATGTTAACTATGTGATAGCGCTATATAAAGTCCGCCTCCTGTGCTTAATAAAGCAAATGTATCACACTTGAGAGAAGCTTGCATTCCATGGCAGCTTCGAAACATATTTATTTATTCTAAGCATTTTTCTTCAAATAAAATTGTTGCACTGCACTGCAGCAGTATTGTGTTGTTTTTCTTTGAGGGTACACATCCCTGCACTGATTTCCCTTAATGTTTAGCACTAGAAACAACTTATGATCACCACTTGTGTTACCTATCTATTACAATAACATATATCTATAACAACTCTGCTCACTATCAACTTCTTCCATCATAACTCCTCAACTACACGTATAAGAGCACTGAATATAAGAATTCAATTTCCAACATTTGAGCTTCAATACTATTCTGTAACATTTTAACAATTTTCACCCGTCTGATAATCATAAATCAACTTCCATCTCTTTAATTCCTGCTACCTGTGATCTTGTGACGTTCTACGACGTTTATTTACTGATGTGACTTTTCCTGTTTGGGCGTTTGATCCATCTGCAAAAAAATAAAAGATCAATATTCAATCTGAAATTGTTCTATTATTCCTGACCAGACATGTGGTCGATTACGTCTACATGTAATCCATTTCGATAATGATTACAAGTACTTTGAACCATTTTCAAAATTGTACTTGATAAAATTACAATTTCCCCCAAAATATGTAAGAGGATATTTGTTTTGTTTTGCATGTAAGATCGAAATATATTTCACTAAGTGGCCACCAGATGCAATATTTTCACGAGTGGCGTAGCTAGTGTTCACAAGTGAAATATATTTCAATCTTTCATGGAAAACAAACAATTTTCGTTTTTATTTCATGCTTTTTTATTGATTTTAAGTCATTTTTACTTGTTTTGCCGCGTAACGTCATGCCTTCCTCTTCATGAAGTCATCACATTACAACGTCACCGTACCAATGCTGAAATTTAGTTCTGTAAAATTTCTCGAATTTTGTTACATTTTTAACACAATGTATGCAGTTATTTACTTGCTTCCCCTAAAGAAAAGTTTACATACAACAGAGTTTACTTCTGTTGATAATTTCATTTAGTTAAGAAATATTATTTTCAACCACATTTAAATATAGGCTGGCTACAGTGAAAATTATCAAATAATAATTTCACTGTGACAAATATAATTTCTCTTTCCACTGCAAAGCATGTAATAAGTACACAATTACATTTTATTGCATTAAGCATTTATAAAAGGCATTCACAAATATTGTCTTGAGGTTATTTTCATAGAACCAGATATTAAAATCAGCAAAGTTTGAAATATAAATACAAACAACATGAAACAGTTCTGAATTGTATAATAGTTGCAAATAATTACGATAACCTCATGCCTGTCCCTAACCAAAGCTTGAAAGAGTTTCAAAGCTGAGCATCTTTAAAATCTGTTTTAAACTGAATATAAAATATAACTTCCCTGCAGTGCCAAATTATAAATCTAATGAAGAAAGTGTTTAAGTTTAATGAGAAATAACCATCTTAAATTATACATCTTTTATATTAATTTATAAGCATTACTGGTATCATATTAATTTTTTTCTTTTTTGTTGTTGTACAAAAACAAGGGCAGGAAGCCCTCTCATAAGTGGTTTTTTTTTCTATATAAAACCAACACTTTCCTGTCTGGAGTGAAATACTTTTAAAAGAGTCATACCTTTAGTTTCCTTAGACTTAGCAGATCTTGTGGTACGTTTATTTTCTTGGGACTCTTCACAGTTCTCCATTACTACCGGAGAGTTGCGGCCTCTAGTTCGACTTCCTCGCAATGGAGATTTTTCCCTTATAACTGTAAAATTTGAAAATACAATTTTTATCATCAGAGTTAAATGAAGGATGTGCTTTAATAATAATTAATACTTAACCAGCATTCTAGAAACAAAATTTAATGTCTGCATGCAAAAGCTGACACAAGATACCAAATAAATTCAGTTGGCAAAAATATTAGAAAGATGAACATGTTTTGATGTAGAATTGGTTACAAAATAAAGCCTTGAATATACAATAAAAATTTGAAATAAACTCAACATACAATAAATACAGTTCTGTTACAAACAAAAACTAATATAAAAAATGTAATGATTTTAAAAATAATGGTTACTTGCTACAATGTAATTTCAATCATTTTGGGAGTACAAACTTAACAGCACTATTACAATATTCATAGAACTTTTGATGCAAAAAAAAACTTTGATTTTTTTACAAATATATTTGAAATGGCTTTAAGATTATCAATATTTGACTGCATCATACCATTAGTTCCGGTCTGTTTTTCCAATGCTGGTGCAGATGGTGACTGTCTATTTCGCCTTGTTTGTTGATTACGCTTCATTTCCTCTATTTTTGATACCTCAGCTTTTTTCTCTACCACACCTTTCCCAGCAACTACTTTACTATCTTTCCGACTTTCTCGTGCAGCCATGGGCTTTGTCTTGTCTTCCTGCATATTCTTGGAATTTGTCCGAGTTCTAAGTCCAGCTTTAATAGACTCAGTTTGAGTATTAGTTTCATCTAAAGTTTTACTTTCTTGAACTGGGCTTACATAAGTTGGTTTAGCACTTAGCACACTTTTATCTTTAGCACTTTCTGCTTTATTTGACAGTTCAGTATTAGGGTCTATTTTTAATTTCTTTGCATCTTCAGAAGTATGACCATCATTTTCATTAGGATTAGTTCTTTTTCTACTTCTTAACTGTCTAGGAGCTTCTCCAGGCTTATCTTCAACACTTTCAGAAGATGCTCTCCTTTTTCTTTGTGATTTTTGTCTCTGTACTCCCACAGCTGATTGAGATGACTCCGAGTCTTCATGAATAGAATTAATGCCACTAAGAATACTAGGATCACTGTTTACTATAAGTGAAGGCGGTTTATCTTCATTCACAACAACTGTTTGTTCATTAACAACTTCACTTACAATTTCAATCTTTGTGTTCGCCCCAGACCCTGCTGGAGTTTGTATATTAATAGATGTATTTGTTAAATTTTTATGTTCAGAATGAATTTCAAGCTCAGATTTCACTGTCAATGGATCTTTTTCTGTTGTTATTTTCACATCTTGTATTTCTGAAACTGCTATAAGAACTGGAGGAGTCAAATTATTAGATGAGCAAGAATCTTGCGATCTATTTAAATCGCTATCACATGAATCACTGCTCAATGTGGACCTTACGACAGGCCCAGGTTTGATAGAAAAATTAAGGCTCGGTTGACGTTTTAATTTAGGTATATCTGAATCATCTGCACCAACTTTAGTCCCTGCATTTAATGAATCTTTTTGCTTTTCACTTTTTTCATCACAGTTTAGCTTTTGTTTAGTTTCTGTTGCTGGACTTTTTGCACTTGAATAAGTTTCAACATTAGATTTTATATTTTCAACTACATTACTAGACACTGATGTACCATGCCCTGAACTTACACTAGTAACTGCTACAGATGTTTTTATTTGTAGAACTGGTTGTGATATTGTTGTAGTCCCTGTTGCAGGAACAGGCATATTTGCTGTTTCCTGAAGCATTTCAGACAAACCCATTTGAGAAGAAGTACTTTTTGGTATGTCTTTATTCAACTGGACAGGGTATTTAACAGAATAAGGAACTGTTTGAGGATGAAGAATAGGGGGGCCTAATCCTGATGAGGAAGTCTGACAGTTATTACTCTTAGACTGCACTATACTATTGCCTGCCATTTTGGTTTCACTATTGCACACTGAGGTTTTTAATTCATTAACACTACTTACTAAGTTAGAGTAAGGAGATGTTTCAGTCTTAGTACCATTATGCTTAGTTACTGTTGACTGAAGTGAATTACCACTAGAATCTCCTAGTTTATGTGAAGGTATTGAACCAGTTACAGCTGGCACTAATTTAGTAGCCGAGGACGACACAACACTTGGATATGACATGCTTACTGGTTGAGAGTCCACTGATGACAAAGGTGGCATACTGCTCTTATGATCTAAATTTATAGCATCTAAACCAAGTTTTCGAGAGGTATCACTTTGAAAGTCTATTGGTCCAATGCTTACCGCCGTTATAGATGGAGTGATCGTATCAATATCAAGCACTGAAGTTTCTGGAAGGAAATTTCGTGTGTTTGATGTTGAAAATGAAGTTGACATCAATGGAGCGGATCCCCGTGTATTTGCATTACTTGATGCCATGTGACCTGAACTTGTTCTTGTCACAGAGGCACTACTTGACGGAGATCTGCGATTGGCATGAGGTAGAGAAGTGTCTAATAATGGTAATGGAAACAGTTTCTGCACAGACTCAGTAAGTCTCTTTGGTGGAGGTAATGAGGAATCAAAAGAATGCATTGAAACAGAGGTGCTTGTTGCAGCTCCAGGAGATGAACGTCGCGATGAAACGCTTGTAACAATTTTTTGTTCCTCTGTCACAACTTTGTTTGTTTTTGTATGTACACTGTTACTTTCTTTTTCACTTTTTAATGTTAGCACATTTGTATTACACTGACCAGCATGTAAACTATTTGGCATCAAAGGACTTTCACTGGCAGAATGAACTATCTCAGTCACAGCTGAACCAACACTTGATTTTGACACATGACCTTTTGAAGGTGAAGCTCGTGTAGTATGGTTCAAAGTCTCAAGACCATTTGCTATTGAGGTTGCAGCTGAACGTGCAGCTGCATGTTGTTGCAATTTCTGAAAGAAAGGTTTTAGTTCTTCTAGCTTTTGAAGAAAGCCAGGGTCTTTGTTTGCAGCCATGAGTTGGCTAAAATGAGGCTGAGCATATGCTTCAAAAGACTTGAAGAGAGCTATGCTGTCTATATTGCACTGTGGTGACACTGTTCGTGGTTCAACACCAACATGATTCATGTGACCAGACATGCCTGCTACAGATTGTGATGTAGACAACATATGAAAAGGTGATCGCCTTTGTTCAGATTTTCCTAATTCACTAAATGGTGATTTACTGTGAGATTCCCTTGATGCCATGTGTGCAGGAACATCTTGGCTGGTTCGGAATGACTGACGACTGTTACCTCCTTGTTGGGTCTGTTCTGAGCTTCTCGGGCTTCCACCTCCCCTTGGGCTGCCAGGATTACGTGGACTACCAGGATTGCGTGGGCTACAATTACCTCTTGGGCTGTTACGTGGGCTAGATTTCTTTTTCTGCATAGATGACTCTGAACCTGAAATAAGGTATAAACATGAAATTGTAATTTATAAACATGAAAAAATACTCATAAATTTCACTAATTTACTTGTTTAACAAATAGACAAGAGTAATGAAGTTCATTGTTTCCAATACTGTTGAAGTTATAAATTACCTAAATGTATGCCCAGCCTTTAACAGGTAAGGATAGGATGAGTGCACTAAATTCTTAAAGACAAACACAGAGTCAATACATTTTATTATCACTTAATCTACACTTGCAACAACAGCAGTCAAATAACTTCACCCTCTTCTATTCTCATTGCTGGATAGTAAATGCAAGAAGACAAACTAAAAATTATCCATCACTGACTGAGAAAAGTGGAAGATGCTGTGACACTGCACAGTAAAGAATGTCTGATGTATTGTAATGAACAACTAGAAGGGTTTTTGTCACGAAAACTTATGTCTCCTAAAACTATGTGTTGTCACACTGACTCACTCATGTGAAGTTTCATTGAAATCCCACCAGTAGCTTGACCTGTGAAAGGACAAGTGACAAGATTTTTCTATTTATAGCTCTGACGGCCATTTTGTACAGCAAAGCGGAACATGCTGTGGTATAAACAACTAGGGATGGTATTGTACTCCTGTGAATTTTGGTGGCAATCACGCCAGCAGTTTAATCTGTGATAGCCAGACAGGATTTTCTATTTTTTTGCTCTGGCAGCCATTTTGTGCAACAAAGTAGAACATGGTGGCGATATACACAAATAGGGATGGTAATGATCACTCATATGAAGTTTTATTGAAATCCTACCAGTAGCTTGACCTGTGAAGGCCGGACAAGATTTTTCAATTTTTAGCTCTGGAGGGCATTTTGTGCAGTGAAGGTGAAAGTGCTGGCGAGGTGCACAACTAGGGATGGTACTGATCACTCCTGTAAAGTTTGGTTGAAATCCCACCAGTAGTTTGACCTGTGAAGGCCACAAGCTTTGTGCGGACGGATGGACAGACAGCAAAGGAAAAACAATATGTCTCCCAATAAAAATTTTGGGAGACATAATTATAAGGTTTTCCTGTTAAAGTAACAGTGACTTTGAACTTGACCTAAAATTGGTGTTTTTGATAGGACTTGTCAAGTAGCATCTGCATACAAATTGAAAGATCCACATATTTTATGAGTATGCTTTAAAATCAGACAATTGAAAATCTTGTTTGGTTTTATATATTATTAGTGAAGACTAAATTTGCACAATATTTATATGTCAAACATGTAAATATCAGTACTAAATCTGAACAAAAGTATGTCACAATTCCAAATACTTATGCAAAGTAATTTTAAAATCTGTCAAATTATTTGACAGTGATATGGGTTTGTCATCTTTTGACCATTGAGCTGGTGCACTAAATATAATCTTCATGCAATGTTAAATTAAAACCCCTGAATGAATGACAGAATTGCCGACAGGATAAAATCATGCATGGGCTTTTAAAAATATTACGTTTGAATTCCAAGTGTGACCTTGACTTTTGAGCTCCAAAACTGGTCTTGCATGTGACACATCATCTCAGTGTGCCACACATTAATGCAAAATTGTTTCAAAAACCATCCATTTTATGATTTAAGATAAGGTCATAGTCCTAACCAACCATTTTTTCACAATTTTATCAGGACTTTTAAAACTAAGTGTGACCTTGACCTTGACAAGTCTGCCAAATCATTCAAATATTATTTTCACTAATGACAAAACATTACTGCTGATAAATATCAATGTACTTTTATGGAAAATTTCCTTTGAAGTAAATTGTGACCTTGACCTCTAACCTACAATGACACACATCATCTTAATATGCCATCATTCATACATAACTTTCAAACTACATTCATCAATGACAAAGTTATGGACTGTATGCTAAAATCAAATCACAATGATCAATCCGGACTTTGGAGCTTTCAGCTGGAGCCGCAATATATTGTCATCACGTCCAACACATTTAAGCCAACTTTACTTTATCTATACTTTATCTTTAAGGCCTAAAACAAAATATTGTTTGTTTCCCCTTCCACTACCTACCCACAAAAATCACAGCTACCCAAGAAATTTAATTGCCTTACAAAAGAAAAATTATTTTTTACTATTAAAACATGGAAGCAGAATCTGTCAATGAGAATCACATCTTAACAGGTATATCTGTCTCATGTTTTTTAAATTGTAGCTATACAAACTGGGATAATATAATGTTGAATAAAATTTTGAAAATATGGTTCTAAACTTTAAACAGACGCTAAGCAATCACTATCATTTAATATAGAAAAAAAAATTGGATATATATTTTTTTTTAATCCAACCTACCTACCCTACCCAAACAAGCATGAAAAACAAAGATCATTTTAAGGCTGGCCTAAAACAAGTGACTCCCGGGGCAGGGGCCAATTTTGACCATATCATCATGATTAAAATAACTTTCTCAGAAATCTGCAAACTGATGCTACATGACTAAGACTTAAATATCTTTCCTTCGTTAGTTGATATAAATCTAGTGACCCTGGGATGGGTCAATATTGATCCCAGGGGCATAATCAGCTTTGCAGAGGTTCACAGGGTAATGCAAAATGCTCAAGTATTTTAGCTCTTGGCATTGTAATTTCACAAAATAAGATTGAAATGTGTTTTCTCACACAAGACTTTATCAACTAAGTGACCCCTGGGGAAGGGTCAATACTGACCCAAAAGACATGATTAATACCAGTTAATTTGTGGTCCATAAAGTGAAGTTACATGCTAAATATCTAAGCACTGGGCATCATTTATAGATTCACACAGTCAGTCTCATATATGTTTCCCTATATAATTCTGTATAAATCAAGTGACCCCTGGGACAGGGCCAATATTGAACCAAGGGGCATGATTCATATCAGTTTTGTTAAAGTCAGTAAGGCAATGCAAAAAGCTTAATATCTCAGCTCTAGACATCGCAGTTTCACAATGGAAGTACAATGTGTTTTCCTATATAAATCTATATAAATCAAGAATTAATCCCCGGGGCAAGGCCAAATTTGATCTAAAGAAGCCCAAACATGTGTTATACACATCATTTCATTATAAGTAATATTTCTGCCAAACAGTTTTAATTTCTTTCTAATGCCATTATTGGTATTAAGAAACAAAATTTTGAAATTGATACAAAATGACCACATTGTGACCTTGCCCTGAAGAAGGTCAAACTTGCCCTCTGCACATCAGACGGCCTGAATGCACAGACCTAACCTGATTTTAGTTAAGATTAACTAGAAGCATTCTTGTCACAAAAACATGTCTGCAAAACTCACTCATGTGAAGTTTCATTGAAATCCCACAAGTAGCTTGACCTGTGAAAGCCAGACAAGATTTTTCTATTTATATCTCTGACAGCCATTTTGCGTGCGAATCGGAGGGTGCTGGTTTTGTCCATAACTAAGGATGGTACTTATCACTCCTGTAAAGTTTGGTTGGAATCCCACCATTAGTTTGACCTATGAAGGCCGGATAAGATTTTTCTATTTTAAGTTCTGACGGCCATTTTGTGCAGCGAAGTGGAACGTGCCGATGACATGCAAAAACAAGTGATGGTACTGATCACTCCTGTAAAGTTTGGTTGAAATCCCACCAGTAGTTTAACCTGTGAAGGCCGAACAAGATTTTTCTATTTTAAGTTCTGGCGACCATTTTGTGCAGCAAAGCGAAACATATCAGTGATGTGCACAACTAGGTATGGTACTGATCACTCCTGTAAAGTTTGGTTGAAATCACACCAGTAGTTTGACCTGTGAAGGCCGGCCAAGATTTTTCTATTTTTTGCTCTGGCGACCATTTTGTGCAGTGAAGCGGAACATGGCGGTATTGTGCACAACTAGGGATGGTACTGATCACTCCTGTAAAGTTTGGTTGAAATCCCACCAGTAGTTTGACCTGTGAAGGGCTTAATGCGGACAGCCGGACAACCGAACAAAAGGACAGAAAGACGGCGAAGGCAAAAACAATGTCTTCCAAAAATTTTGAGAGACATAATTAATTACAGCACTGTACAAATACCTTAAGACTGAATAAGACCATTATATCATTGTACTGTCAGTGTACATATACATGATATACTAAGTGCATCTAACTACTACATTGACTCACTTATCAACACTTAATTTAGCATTTTCTTTCAGCTTTGTTTAAGGTCGTTGACTTCAAACTACTTGCCCCTCACCGCTGTGGGTTCGAATCCCGACAGGAACTTTAAATCCTTTCATGTTAGGAAGCTATCCAGCTAGCTTATGGAATGTCACTGGTTCTACTCAGTTGCCCGTTCTTATCCGAAATAATGCAATGAAGGGCACCCCGAGGTCTTCCTCCACCAGTAAAGCTGGAATGTCACCATATGACCTATACTGTGTCGGTATGACAAAATCCCGAACAAATAGACAAACAAAATCAGCTATGTTTATATATTATCAGAATAAATGCACAACAGTGCAATACCATTTTTAGGAGTTTCAAAAAGTGGCATGGGTATGAGAAAAAGCTAAATATAATATACTGTATTCCTAGAAATGTTCGCGGATACAATATTTCGCTTTTTCACAACGTCGGCATTTTCGCGGATACAAACTTTCGCGGATTTGTAGTAACCGTGAATTTCGCGAATATTAAATCACTACGGCCTTAAGAGGCTACGTTTTTGATACATGTCCTCGCCTGTTGGGTACTTTTAATTATTTTTCTTTTTTTGACAATACCTTTTCATCTATTGACTGGTCGAACACAGACAGTTGTTCCGTGAATACTTTTATCTTATTCCCTTACGTTTTTCATTATGTGATTAATTAAGATATAGTCAAACCTGTAAGCTTTTATTCTCATTTGAATCATAACTGACTTTATCTTCAAAATGTCGATACGTTTTTTACACAGTATCGGACTGTACATCGCTTTTATTATAACAACATAACAGCTGCTTATCAATGTAGCACTTGATCGCTATTGTACTTTTAACAAAGGATTACACCTACTCCAAGCAAATAAAATCCAAGCCATTCAATGCACGCAAACTGTAAATGCTTTTGTATACGTTGTGACTACCGAATAACGTCAATAAGCATGATAATTACTAATAATTGACAATTTATTTTCTTCAGGGTCCAAACAGGTATCTATAACATACATACATATTTCTTTAAATACACATTTCTATAGCACCTGCGTTTATATGTTGTTTTTGTGTGTGTAATTAGATTATAATAAATATTCTGCACGTTTTTGTTTATATTTGGTTGAAGCTAGAAATGTTCGCGCGGATTTGTTATAAGTGACATATTCGCGGCTATAAAGATTTGCGGAATCATGCCTACCGCGAAAAGCGCTAACTTAAAACATGCGAAATCTTTTCTAGGATGGGCTTGTTTAGTAAGTTATTTCATGTCATATCAACCTACCTTGCATAGGAAACTGCCCTTCAGCTGCATGTTGCAACGAGTTTGGTAAACCCGTTGACATTTTTGGGCTCTTTCTATGAATGCTTTCATAAACTGCCTGTTTTACTCTGTTCTCTACATTGTTGGCAAATTGTAATGATTCATCTGATCTGTTGTTATGTAGCTGTTGTGATTGACTAGTAGAACACATATCTAATTTTTCAGTTTTCATTTTCACCCTTTCAAAAACAGAGTTCAATATTGCCTTCTCAGACATATACTTGTGGTTTTTCTGAGTTTCTTCGAGAGCATAACCTACTATCATACTTTTAGCATTTGGTGGCGGAGCCTGTTTTAGAGAATCTATATTTGGAGTTTTGGCACATTCAAATGAGTTGTGATTCCCAGATTTAAAGTCATTATCTCCATGTTCGGACGGTGTATCATCTGACCTCTCGGAACAACTGCCAACACCAGAGTCATTATTGTAACTACGCACATCTAAATGAGGACCCTGGTGATTACCAGTGTCAGGGCCATTCTGAGTATCTAGATTTGAACACTCTGAGTCTCCGTTACTATCTGGTGACCCAGATGATTTAATCATACTGTCATGTTTCACTTGTAACAACGGTTTATTGAGCAATTGAAGGGGAATAGATCTAGAGTCAAGTTCCTGAGGTATGTTTTCACTCTTACTAGAAAAAGATTTCTTTTTCAATTCCAAAGCACTTAAGTTATCACACTTATCTTCTGGCCTTTCTTTTGTCACATCATGTTTACTTTTTGGTACAATTTGTTCTAAGTTACTATGAGAGGCCATTATATCATTTTTCAATCGCCCTTTTGTCAACATATCATTTTTTACACCTTCAGTATAATGTTTCTGTATTAAAAGTTCACTTGAAGCGTTAACACCTATGTGACTAGAACTAAAAGGCTTAAAACTGTGTTCACTTGAAGCCACACTATGAGGATTTAGTTGTTCAGTAAACTGTTTTTGTACGCCCTGATTGGGGTTCTCTAACCTACCCTGAAGCTCTGCAGCGTTACCTATATCCTTATGTTTACTGTCCAGTCTATGTTCCCCAGTTAGCCCAACCTTATTTGTAAGAGATCGCGGAGAATTTTTATCACCTTCACTTTTAGTTGGACTTGTGTCTGATAAATCCATGGGCTCCAAAAGCCCTGTAACTGGATTTATTATCTTACCAGCAGTATCACATTCTTCTTTCCGACATACACCAGGACTAGTCAATGGCACAATTTGTTCAGTCTGTAAGTTTTTACCATGTAAAAGTGCCTGAGGAACATTCTGAAAACCTTGTTCTTTCACTGAGGGATTTAAGTTACGATTAATGACTGTTGAAGCTGAATGTGAAGATGCTGTTAAAGATGCCCCACTTGTAAGCTCTGTAGAAGTTCCTGGTATAATAGCATTAGGTGCTGACACAAACTCCCCTTCTTTCTTCTTCTTTTCCTTAGGTTTCCTTGGTTTTCTCTTTTTCTTCGGTGGTTGTAATAAATCTGGGTCTAAAGTTGGAGGCAATCTCCCCGTCCCTAGTAGACTTGACAAACTAGGATCATTCTGCAACAAGTTTACCAAGAGTGGACTAGCCCCTGCACTGCTTAGCCGCAACTTCTGGAGATTGTTCATGTTCATGTATGAGCTGCCTTCAGGATAAGGGGGTGGAGGGGGAAGGTTGTCTAAAGAATGTCTAGGAGGCCCTGGCGGTAAACCAGGTGGTAGGCCAGGGGGCATACCAGGTAACTGTGGAAATTTGAGTCCCGCTTGCCCTGCTGGACTTCTACTTGGACTCACAGAATTAACTGATGGACTTGTAGTCGATGGATTGTTATGATGACTAGGTTTACTTGCTGTTTGTTGAAATGTTCTATGCTGCCCTATACCATGTTCTGATAAAATATTATTCACTTTTGCTCTTGCACCCTCCCCATGTCTTTCACTTATCTGCTGATTAAATAATGAATCTAACAATGAAGGCCCTTGTCTTAAATAATCCGCAATATTTTTACTAGTCACATCTACATGACTAGGTCCGGGTCCTTGTGGACCAAGCTCATCTAATGATGGTGAGTTTGTATTATACACTGAGACTGATGGAGTAGTTGATTGGATTGCGTCCCCTGTTCTGAACACAAGTTGAGTTCTTTCATTATTTCTTCCTGCTATAGTAAGGGAAATGTTCTGATCCTCAATCTTAACAGCAAGCACACCTAAATCCCTAAGAGTGGCATTTCCCTGCTGAGCCAATTGTTTCAATCTTGATGCAGCCTCTCTAGGGATTTTAAAAGTTACACGGACACTATTCCAAGGTTCAACCTTTTTAAGAATCAGCTTCTTTTTATCTGAAAAATAAAGGATAGAATTTTCTTACAATGTTAAGAAACAATTTTGAAAATATTATTTTTACTTTCAGCATATAGTTTATAGAATAATTATTAAAGTTGTTTATTTTAGAAATATATATAATTTATCATTATATAATTGAAATAGTAAAAAGTGAAATTTATTAAATTTAAAGGTATGTGTTTGTTTCTTGTAAGATTGAAAAATGTGATGTATATTTCATAGAGTACTGTAAACACTGCAAGTAATATTTTCAAGGGTATTGAAACATTTTATGTTTCTGGAATGATTTAGAATTAATTGTTACTGATTATTGCCTTGTTATGATGTCTTCAATATGACTTTAATACTCAAGAAATTCTTTAAGTTATGAAGACTTTTGGTAGATTTTAATATCAAGAGCACAATATTTCTGTACCTACAGCTATCAGGATTTTAAGTACAATGCAATATACAGTACTGTATTTCTAAATTCTAATGAAACTTTCCTTTTATTTATTTATATATAAAAGCTATTAGGGCTGGGGCGAGTATCTGAGTACTCGGATAATCACGAATCAAAATGAAAAATCGAGTTTGAATATTCGTAAGCCCAGAGATCGTTGATCGCGATCTTATTTTTTTATATACATTCACTGTTTCTCACACTCATAAAATCGGGAAAAATACGATTTGAATATAAATTATATGAAGTTTACCCAAATACAATTTGCCGGTTAAAGACCAATGTACCACGATGCTAAGCTAGGAAGTTATTGGTTTAAAAAAAAAAATACTCATCCAAAGAATAAAAACATATACATGTACCTAGTTTATATTTTATATGTTTAATGTTTAGTATTGTTTTTTTTAAATAAACATGTTTTTATAACTAATGTACATGTTTTTATGGGTGTCTTGATAACAAAAGATTTGTGGTTCGATTTGTGAATCGTAAGTGCTGAATCTTGGTTCGGATCGGATCATCACTTATCCAACGATCCACATCCCTAAAAGCTATTTTTCTACATAATCTAACTCAAATTTAGTTTTGTAATGTAATATAGAAATATATTTCACTATAATATTTCAATATGCTACAGAAAAGTGAAGTTTACAATAACCTGTCTCCATTAGCTCAATATGGAAAGTATTTAATGAATACAACATGTTTTGAATTTAGAATTAAAGGGATACTCAGGCAAAATAATGGCAAAAATATAAAAATGATTTTCTGTACTCAAATCACCCTAAAATGACATTTCTTAAAGTCCCAACATGAATTTCTGTATAAATTCTATATATTTTGGGTTTGAAGTTTAAATATATCTATATATGTTGAACGAAATTTTGACGCGAACAGAATCACTGAATAGTTTAAAAACAAGTCGTGCGATTTGAACAAACCCTGGAAGTTACAATAACAAATATTGTGGATATTGTATGATTGAAACAAGTCTAAGTAATTGATTTGACATGTTTTTTAACGTTTCCAGAGTACAGAGTGACAACTATTGTGAAATTTTAGTGCTCTAACCTGACCCACGCGGGTCAAGTTAGGAAAACACCATTTTATTCTTTATATGGAGAAAAGTTTTGTTCCTTTGACTGTTTAGTGTATTCATTTTGAGGACATTTATAGAATAATGAATGAAAATTTCAAAACTAAGAAATGAAAATTTTGCCTGTGTCTCCCTTTAACATTTGACAATGTTTTAAATTTATATTTTACCATAAAAACAAATTTTTGCAATAGATTATCATAAAGTACCTTCTGTCACAGAAATGAAGATATGATGCCTGGTTTTACAGGTTATACATTACATTTACAAGCTGATTACCTTCTTTTAAGACTTCAAACATGCCAAAAATTTAACCATTTTCTTTTATGAGCTAGTTAATATTGAACCCATGAGTTTCAATTACATATATTCAATCAGGCAGTTGACAAAAATAATGTCACTTCATAAGTATCAGCACTAATCTGTCCTCTTTAAGCTATTTCAAACTCAGAATAGTCAGAATAGAAAAAGTTATCTAAAAACATTTTTTTCTTCGTAAGTCATTAATTTAGTAATGTGACAAGTGTGTTTAACAAACCTGTGAGTAGGAGATCCTTTAGACTTTTCTGGAAATCCTCAAGCCGATCCTTTAGATGTGGATCGTGGTAATCTCCCTCACAGGTGAACACAGTCTCAATGTAGTCCTCCTGAGGACCCATCGTCAACTGAAGTCGCCTGAAATAATACAACATTTGTTTTACATTTCTTTAAAATCAAGCTGTCAAGCTGCAATAAAGATACAAATTCAAAATACAATACCCGATGACAAACTGTTGAAGAGGTAACAAGTCTGTGACAGTGCCATAATTATGATAATAGGGCTAAGGTGAGTTTCCTTTACTAATCTTTAAATAATAAAATTAAGATCTAGATAGTAGTAAAAGAAGAGACTGTGTCATAGACCTTTGCTGACACAGTAAACATGGGCCATAAGGCATAACAAATTTTGCCAGTTTAACACTCTTGGTAAAGTTTTTAATTTTATGTGAGAATATTTCTTGACGTTTTATTAAGGTTAACGATCGAACAGCATGTTGTATTAACATTTTTTGGTGTTTGGGTGGTTGTATGCTGAGTAAGCGTTGAATTAATCATTTAAAGGAGAATATGGGAAATTTGTAAACTGTCCCAAATGACCAGGGTTTATTTAAATCCCTTATCATGTTTAGCAACTCCTGCATTTGATTAAAACAAGAATTAATTTCCACATAGGTTTCCCAAAAACACTAAGTCTAACAATAGCTCTTAAGGTAACTATATTAGGCATGATGCATACAAAAATTATTTACATTTTAACTGTCAATTGCATTCAACCTGTGCAGTACCACTTTCATGATTAACTGTAAGAAAACCAAAATATCCTTGTACTTCTAACAAAAATTGCACTATCCATGCTTTTATAAATATAAATAAAAACATAACGTTACTTGGAATACTTGCACTGTCGGTAGAGATATTTTTTGCTTTTATTTATAACCATTTTCAGTATTTATTTACAGAATGTAACCATCAATACTCAAATGAAATTTATACTACATACCTTAAGAAATAAAGAAGTGTTCGTAAAAAATAACATTTTTTAAGGAAAAATTCTAAGTTCACGAGAAGATAATTCTTGAAATATTGGTGCTAGAGTTAATAACCTTGTCACTAACATGTGGTTGATGATAAGGGAACATATATTAACAGTTGATCCCTTAAAAAATAAAGAAGTAAGAGTAAAAATTAATATCTTTTAAGGAAAATTCTAAGTTCAAGGGGACATAATTCTTAAAATTTTGCTTCTAGAGTTATGAACCTTTTCACATAAGATGACATCATGTGGTTGATGAAAAGGAACGTATATTTGAAGTTTGAAGGTTATATCTTCGCGTTACTGCAACAAACATTTTTTTAAGGATGGCCTAGACAAGCATTCTGACCAAGTCTCATGACAGGTGAGTCAAAAATGTGACCACTACAGTGTTAACAAGGATTATCCATATTTGAGCAGTGTGACCTGGTTTTTTACCCAGGTGACCCATATTCAAACTTGACCTAGAAATCATCAAAACAAACTTTCAGAACAATTTCCAGGATACTTGGATCAAAACAGTAGCAACTAGAGTGTTAACAAGATTTTTCTATTTTTAGCTCCGGTGACCGAGTTTCACATGCAATTTCGAACTCATCCGAGCAATTACCTAGACAAGCTTCCTGACCAAGTTTGATGATAATTGAGTCGAAAATGTGACCACTAGAAAGAATGTTAACAAGGTTTTTCAATATTTGGGTGGGTGACCTAGTTTTTCATCCAAGATGACCCATGTTCGAACTTGACATAGAAATCATCAAAACAAACTTTAAGACCAATTTACAGGATATTTGGATCAAAACAGTAGCCACTAGAGTGTTAACAAGATTTTTCTATTTTTAGCTCCTGTGACCTAGTTTTTCATCTGAGATGACCAATGTTCAAACTCATCCAAGCTATCAACTAGACAAACATCCTGACCAATTTTGATGATGATTGAGGCAAAATTGTGACCGCTAGAGTGTTAACAAGGTTATTCTATTTTTTGCTCTTGTGACCTAGTTTTTCATCCGAGACGACCCATGTTCGAACTCATCCGAGCTATCAAATAGATAAGCATCCTGACCAAGTTTGGTGATGATTGAGGCAAAAATGTGACCGCTGGAGTGTTAACAAGGTTTTTCTATTTTTAGCTCTGGTGACCTAGTTTTTCATCTGAGATGACCCATGTTCGAACTCATGCAAGCTATCACCTAGACAAGCATCCTGACCAAGTTTTATGATGATCGAGGCAAAAATGTGACCGCTAGTGTGTTAACAAAGTTTTTCTATTTTTAACTCCGGTGACCTACTTTTTCATCCGAGATGACCCATGTTCGAACTCATACAAGCAATCACCTAGACAAGCATCTTGACCAAGTTTGATGATGATTGATGCAAAAATGTGAACGCTAGAGTGTTATCAAGGTTTTTCTATTTTTAGCTCCAGTGACCTACTTTTTCATCAGAGATGACCCATGTTCAAACTTCTCCGAGCTATCACCTAGACAAGCTTCCTGACAAAGTTTGATGATGATTGATGCCAAAATGTGACCGCTAGAGTGTTAACAAGGTTTTTCTATTTTTAGCTCGATGACCTACTTTTTCATCCGAGATGACCCATGTTCGAACTCATCCAAGCTATCACCTAGACAAACATCCTGACCAAGTTTGATGATGATTGAGGCAAAATTGTGACCGCTAGAGTGTTAACAAAGTTTTTCTATTTTTAGCTCTTGTGACCTAGTTTTTCATCTGAGATGACCCATGTTCGAACTCATCCTAGCTATCAACTAGATAAGCATCCTGACCAAGTTTGATGATGATTGAGGCAAAAATGTGACCGCTGGAGTGTTAACAAGGTTATTCTGTTTTTAGCTCGATGACCTACTTTTTCATCCGAGATGACCCATGTTCAAACTCATCCGAGCTATCACCTAGACAAGCTTCCTGACCAAGTTTGATGATGATTGAGGCAAAATTGTGACCTCTAGAGTGTTAACAAGGTTTTTCTATTTTTAGCTCTTGTGACCTAGTTTTTAATCCAAGATGACCCATGTTCGAACTCATCCGAGCTATCAACTAGATAAGCATCCTGACCAAGTTTGATGATGATTGAGGCAAAAATGCGACCCCTAGAGTGTTAACAACAAAATGTGAACAGACGGACGACGGACAATCATCGATCCTAAAAGCTCACCCTGAGCATGCTCAGGTGAGCTAAAAATGAAAAAGTTATAGTAAAAAATATTTTACTGCACCAAAACTTTAATCTGAAATCTGGACGCGAACACCATCGCTGGGGTGAGTAGGACAGCTCTCCACATATTTTCTATCTATAGTAAAGCTAATAATAGGAGCCTTCTTCAAAAACAAGTCTAATTTCTATGTACATTTTGAATACTCTTTTTCAATTCTTTGGAAAAGTTTCGTGCAACATTGTTTATTCTACCCTCCAACAGTAATAACCGGCGCTTTAGTTGAATTCGGATTTTTTATACAGACTGGAAAAAACAAGCATCTATCGCCATCAGGCCCGACCCAGGTGACACTAGGAAAAGGCATGTAACAGTTGGCAGTGATCAAGCAGATCTATAGACTAGTTTTTAATTCAGAGTATTTAATTTGAATTATTATAAACTAAAAATATTAAAATGTTCATTATGCATGCATGCATGGGACTACTATAATGTGCTCCTCTTTGTTCACGGTACTTAACGCTTTGAAACCAGAAAGAAAACAACAACAAAAAATTATGGTACAAAAATTGTCATAAGCTGTAACATATAGGTATTTTCTGCTGTATGGCACAAGGAAACAACAATATATTCAGTCAAAGTCAATTTTAATGGACCAAACGCAGACCATATCGTATGTCAGCCATTTTGAAAACAGTATACTCATCATTTAAATCACGGTAATCGTGTTACAGTTCAGTTTTTTCATGTTTCAGTTAAAATTTTTACATGTTATTTTGCTTAATTTTAATATTAAAATTATCCTTACTTTGTAACTCAAATTTTTTTTTTCAACAAACAAGAACATTTAGAAAATGATGATTGTTTCAGACATATGCACAAATTTAATGGACTATTATTGCTTTTTGCAGAAATTTGTAAGATATTGTTCTGTTTTACGTAAAAATCTAGAGATTTAAAATATTTTGCACAAAAACTTTGTTGTATAGTTGTATGAATGAAATATGTCAATTCTGTCAATTTAAACACTGGTCACATGAAAATATGCCATTACTGTAAAATAAGTGATGACACGGAATTAGTGGTGTTGAGTATAGCATTTTCAAATTTTACACATCTGAGTTATACATTTGTCACTAAGAAACTGATACATTTTAATCATATATTGGCAATTTCTTTTATGAGTTTTGGGAATTTAGAAAGAGTCCGGCTCCTGTCTTATTTGGAAGAATTGCACATGTATTGGGAAGCCAAAATTGTGATTTCTTTTTATTCATCACAATGTCATATTTGTTGTTTTATATTTTATTTATATATATTATGGTGTCAATGTCTCTGTTTTTGCTTCTTTGGAATATTTCAATAATGCTTGATAACATGTTCCTTGGAACACATTCTTAATTTTAATAGAGTATTTTTTCTGGGATTCATACATGCTGAACTTACAGCTGAAGTAGTTGTATTTAAGCTCTAATGTTGGCAGAGATGATACTCTAACCTTGGCAAAACTGGCCCATCTGAAACTGGCTGTTTGGAAAACTATTTCATTTGTGTATGGTTAGGTTTAAACTTCACTAGTGCTCATCTAAATTATACAGAAAAAAACATAACAAAGACAAAAGGTAGGGTCGCCTTACTTGAACACAAATATTAAGAAAATCTTCATTCTTGGATATTATATTACATAAGCTCTACAAATATAAATTCACATGTTAATGACAATAATCTCTTGTACCAGTGTGATTATTAAAGAATCTATCAATTCAAAAAGATTTCTGCACTTTCAAATTTAGCTAGAACAAAGTATTTCATTAAAAAAAAATTTGCAATTATGTGTGTAATAAAATGAAAATTTTGGACCAGTAAGGCATTTATTTATCAGATGGCAAGAAAAAAAATGCCTTTAACTGGTAGGTAAATAACATGTGTTGTTTTGTTTTTCTGAAGGATGGTGCAAACTAAGCCCTACTGCTAAAAGATTGTCATTAAAAAAAATTCTGAGATGGTCCATTATGAATTTTAGGCGGTCAGTTTTGCTTTGATCACTAGGGCTAGAACAAATTATCAAACTCTTAGAAATTGCCTACCCTTGCATCGCCAGATTTTCAACCTTTTGATTTTATTCCTTAGAGTTATTATTTGTCAAAATGCAATAATAAAAACATTATTGTAACTAACATTATTAGGGCTGTGTATTGTCAGGAATGAACTTATCATCATGACAAAGACAGGAAAAAGGGAAAGCAACGAACGACTAGATAAATGGCCTTATGTTGGTGTTTAATTGACAGTTGGTAAAGCGCCATGTCAAATGGTAAGCATGGTGTTTAAAACATATACTGATACCATTATCATAATTTAATCCATACAATGACAACATGAAAGAAGAACATATTAATAGAAAACAACTGTTCAAATTACATTCCAGTTGGCTTATATTTCTGTTAATATGCAGACTTCCCGAAAGTTAAAAAAAAGTGTCAGACATTTGGTCTGACAAACCATGAAAATCTGTTCGACCGAAACGATATCTGTCAGACCGATTAAAATTAATCAAAATCAAAGGAAAACTTGTGTTTGTATTTCTAAGACACTTTTAGGTTTTAATTTTTTCGCCGTAAAAATCAGCACAGTCCGTACAGCTCATTTTTATCTCATCCCTGTCAAACACCATCGATTCACGGTCCTGCTTCCATTTTTATTAAATTTTGTCTCAGATCTATTCTTTTCATCCTTTTACTGTACTGCGCGCTCTGCTGACGTAGATTTTCGTTTTTTCCCACGTTTGGCACCTTTAGCGATGCCATTTTGTATACATGCGGCTTGGACAGTCAGACCGATCCGGAATAAAAAAAATCGCCGGACCTAATCAAAATTTATCGGACATGTCCGTCGGACCGACGTATTTCGGGAAGTCTGAATATGTCACTTTCTTGACAAAAAATACCATTTCACAACAAGAAACAGGAAATACTGGAAGAGAATGTGCCTTTTTGGAAGAACATAACATGGTATGAATCTCCAGTTGCTCGTTCCAAGTCGCATCAGCAGTTTTCGAATTTCTCGCAAAATCTATGCTAACAGGTAATAATGTACCACATTTTTCTATGAAATGTATGCATACTGGTTGACCCATTAACAAAAGTCATTATTTGTTCAGTGTTTCCATTCCCCATATCAATCAAAACACACTGGGACAATTTGTGTTCATGTCACAATATAGGGAGCCATAGGGAGACAGAATGAAACTTTTAAACTTAACTTTCTCTACTCATCAAAAACGGTTGTGCCCCTTTAACTTTACAAATTGTCTATGAATAACCTACGTTCTGCTGCAATAAATATATATGAACATCTTAAACAATGAGGACATTAAGCGGGTGGGAAGGTATTTTTATCCATGTCCACCATGTTTGTTTTCATGGGATATTCACGTTTTGCAAAACGTATTACAACACATTTTCAACGGTATTTTGATTGACATTTAGGGTTCAACATCCAAAATAATGTACTCATTAAGTGATTCAAGGTTATTTCACAATATATCATTTACTGTCAAGGCAAATTTTCCACATACTGTATAAGGTGGCCATTTTTGCAGGATTTTTCACCCGTGCAACATACTGCATTTTGGGATATTTTTAACAGAGTTGACAGCAAAAACTGCATATATTTCCAGCTCTTTTTGACAGGAGAGACATAGATCAATGTATTCTTTATACTAGGGCGGAGGCATTATACCTGTGGAGGCGATAAAACGTTCCTAGAAATGACCTTGTTTCTTCAACGCCATGGAACAATAACAAGTGCCGCCATTTGCAATACTATCAACACGCATGCGCACTACTGACACTGCATGCCGGGAATAACATCCGTTGATGGCGGGAAACACGAATCAGCTGTTATTTTCCAAATGCACGTGATTCTAAGGCAAACTAATTGATTATTATAACGAAAACTTAATGTAATTATAGTTGTGTTCACTTTTTTGATTTTATAGGTTCTAGATGAAAAATTATGCTCGAATCATTATCAGCGTCAACGTGAAAGAGACTACTAGATCTAGTTCCTACTAGTCCAGAGTCTATCGAATAGAAAGACTCTGTACTAGAATAGCATCAGCAATTCAGCATTTTTTTCTATCACTTATTAGAATAAGATGCTGTTCTAGTCAGAGAGCGAAAAATTACAGATAAGTTTGGGATTGTTATTAACAAGATCTATTTAGGTTTGTAATCTCATGTCAAGAAATATGTGCTACGAGCAAAGACATATAGATAACGTTACAAGTCACCTTTTGCTACATATGCTCTGGCACGAGATGTCACTACTACTTCTATATGGCGATATTGAATCAGCACTTACTTCCAAAGTGCTAACCTGGAAAGACGGATGGGGCTCAACTGATTAAGCAATAGAAATAGTTATATAAATATACATGTATATTACATCACAGCTGATAATAATAATTTACTAAAAGCCGTGAATACCGATATATTATATAGACATAATATATTTGAAATGTTACATCAACAATAGGGCCTATCATAAAAAACATGATTCAATGTGACAGTAAATTAGTACGATTCCTTATGTTTCTAATGCAGTGCGTGTAAATTGGAACGGATTAATATACCGGTTGATAGACATAGAATCTAGACTGGCTCTGAAAAAATAAGTAAAGAATAAAATTTCTTTTAAATTTCGAGAAAAAATGTGAAAAAAGATGTGTCAGAAGTGGGATTCGAACCCACGCCCACATACGTGGACCAGAACACTCATTGTAAAGGTTATTACACCTTGAGTCTGGCGCCTTAGACCACTCGGCCATCCTGACATATGAAAATTAAGGGAGAAATATGCAGCATATAACTTGTAAAACGCTTGAAGCTAGAAAATGATGGTTTAGTGATAAGGAAAAAACTTTTCAATTAGTTTAACCTAATTCTACAATGATTTTTGAAAAGAATTAAGGTATAAAGGGAATGACAGTTGTCGCCCTTTATACTACAAAATATAATTTGTCTGTGTATGGTTATTCTTTCCTAATTGAATTAAATCTAAATGACCCATATTTAAACTTGAGCACTAAAATCATACTTTAAACTCTGATACCCTACGTTAGAATCTTCTTTATCTAATAAGGACTAATTGATCAAATTTTTATATTGGTACGACCTGTAATAAGAGCGAAAGCATGTACGCTCTAAAGTTTACACGGATGCATCATAAGAAATCTACGGGGACTTTTTGCTTTTTGTTGTAGAACATTAATTCGAACTCGGTTAAATTGACTTAACATGATTTATAGGTAGATCAAGTTCCATTTGCTCGTTTTTGTAATTCAATTAATCTTTTATCAAATAAAGACCTCTTATATATGAGATCTTTTCATAAGAATGAATTCAAGAGCGCATATTTTGATCTTAATATCAGTTTCTAAAACTTAAATGGATTAATGCGGGACTTAATTACAATTATCTTAAGCCCCAGAATGAATATAAATATTGATCATCACCGGCTAAAGATATTGAACTATATTTAATTTGTCTCAACAATATTTTGATACATGTAGATCTATAAACAGATCTACTGGCTACTGCTGACCACGGATTTATATTACATAAATATAAATCCGTGTGCTGACCGAACAATTCGAGTAACTTGAAACATTTATTATTATTATTTATTATTGTTATTATAACGAACAATAAAATTAATTTACGTATATCTAAGTGATAGATCACGCGACCACGTTTTTTATGATTAATGCCATCCATTGTAAGATTTACATTTAAAATATGTGTCTTTTTCGGTCCAAACACGATCATGTTAAATATCAAATAAAACCACTACTGATGAAAGTCCATGTTTCTCGTGCAGCGCCGGGTCAGACCGTTTTAATTTTGTAAAAACGTACTAATAAACTTTAACCTATACATAAAAGCATTTTAATAATATTTTATTGAATGAAAAGGTCAGTTTATCATTTGAAGATGCAGTACCTTTGATAATAATTATTTTCTAATAATTAATAAAGATCATTTGAAAAAAACTTACTTAAATTGAATACTAGTTAAAAACAATATTTTACCTTGTAATAGAAATTGTTTGGAGTAATCTCCCAATATTATGAAATAATCTTGAAACGGACGTTTTCTTATTCTACTACTCTAGATAATAATGTTCTAACAAATTTATTCATTTTAATTATTTATCTGATTTCCCTTTTCTGTATTATTCTAACCAAATAAGTGCATATTTTTTATTGCAAGTACATTATGTGTGGAAAGGAATTTACATAAGTCACATTTGACTTGTTTTCCAATCCACGAAATATATCAGTGTGATTGTATATGCTCACTGTATATATTTATGTTGTAAAATAAAAATAAAATATTGTTTAAACTAATAAAGATCCTTCTTTAAGTTGCGGGTCTTCCGCAGTTGCTGTGATTGCTCTTGCGTACGCGCCTTTTCCACTTACCTCATGCAGAGATGTTATGCAACAATAAGTAAAAATTAGTGTTACATTTTAAATCATTTGACTGTTTACCCCCCCCCCCCCCCCTGAAAAAGGGAGGGCTTTGCTGCAGTCGGTCGGCCTGTCTGCCCAGCTCAATACAAAATCATGAAACCTGAAGACACGAAAAATACATCAATTAAAAAGGGAATTTTTGCGTTTTTACGTGTTGCGGCAATATGCCGGGTTAGAAAATTTCAAAATCCGCGTCTTGTTTTTGCTCCCTGCAAGTATTTCAAATAAACGTAAGAGGCATCGCCTACTGAAAGTTATTTTATATTTAGCGCTTTTCAGCGGGAATCATTTTAAAATTCTAATAAAGGTTTGTGGAAATCCAAGCAAAAAAATATCAAGTTTTGTATCTTTTTGTCCGTCAGCAGATTATGCTTGCTTCAGTCAGACAAAGGTAAGCCACGCCTACCATGATACAAATGTTTATCACGTGATAATTCTGACCCTTCTTCTGAAATTTGGCATGATAAAAGGGCTACCCTTCAAGGTATATTCTGTAAATTTTCGATTAGATTAAACAAAAATTTATGAAAATAAGAGATGTCAATTTTGTTGAACAAATTTACCGACAGACTTGCAGACAAAACAGACAAAAACTATTTCTCTTTTTTTTTCAAATATCATCCGAAAAATAATCAAACGGAGGAGTTTTATCATGTCATGGCTTTCATGGATTTATTTCAAAATGGAGGGTTTGTTATTGTTATTGGGTGTTTTTTTGGACTGACGAGTCCAGCCGTGTTTGTCTGACGTAATGCGACGTCTGCGCGCACTATATTTTTCTCATAATTTTGTCAATTCTCGTTTCATTTCAATGATATTTTGTTATTTAAATGAAATGGGTTTTGTCTTTGGAACAGTATGAAACACATTTATATCATACAAATATTTCGACTGCTGTATAAAACTATCCGATACCCCGATTTCTAAAATACATGTAAATGTCTTGAGTTTCAGATTAATACCGCCGAATGGTTACCTAGATTTTTTAAAATCACTTTTTAGTGAGAACGTTTGAACAATGTTTTAACATAGAAATACGAAATTTAGATATATGAAACCATAGAAATATGCAATAATTAAAATAATTTTACCACCTAACCTGTAAGTGGCGGGTATATCTACATTTTCAGGTATGTAACGTCGAATTTTAGCTTCTAAATTAGCCAAATCTTTTCCTATTTATTTAATATTAGTCTTAAAATGTGCACATGAACAGTTTCAAAAAAATAATATTCAACACGACGTGTATTGCTTATATTTAGAAAATTCACCCCTATCCGGATTTGATCCACCAATTCATAAAGTTATGAAAGTTTAACGTCGAACTTTTGCTCTCAAATTTGTCACATCTCTGTCGATTTTAATGAATTAAGTCTCAAAATACTTAGTCTCAAAATACATGTGTATGTATTACGTTTTGTGTTTTTCCTTTGAGGTGATTGAGATAGCGCTGTGCTTCCAAAAACTTGAATAGCCGCCCTTAATGTAGTAGAGCGAGGTATTATTCAAAATTATACAAGACACGGCTGCTTGGCATCCGAATTTCATCACTGTACAGAGGTCACGAGTCTCAACATACAGTAACCTGTTACAATTATCAGGCAGGTAGTATTGATAAAAGCTGTTTGCTGTCTGCCTTTTAAGCTGTCACAGCGTACAAGGAGCTCCCAGACCGTATATATGGTACCCGTTCTTGTCCCTGCTAGCTTGTGGTGTAAGACAGGCCTTCTTCAACAGTTTGATCTCTGGAATCTGTCCTCAAAAACAAAGCTCGTATTTTAACCAGTGAGTCAGTCAGTTAGTGTTCTCGGGGAAGCAACGTTCAACCAAATGAAACAAATATGAATTCATATTGTAAAATAATTGTTTAAACAGTTTGTATGACAGATGAATAAAGAAAGGCAAATTGATAAAAAGTTAGGAAGATATAACGTCGAGCTCTGTTTTGCTCGAATTTCATTCTATATTTATACGGCAGGGCACATGTACGCTACTGTATTCTTAAGGTTTCAGGGGGGCTAATGTCCGCTCTTCAAAATTAGATCGGGAGTCGCAAATATTTTCCTTAGCAAAAAGGGGGCAAATGTCTAGAGGCAAGACCGAGTTGACAAATGTTCGTTTTCCTGTCTATCTCCAAGCGATCAAAACAGTTCCAACGTACATTTGTCTCGGACAATCCTTCCATCTCTTTAATACACTAAAGCATTCAACTTAATTATTCAATCGACAATAATTTTAAGCTTTTGCAGAGGAGTACGTATCATAATGTTGAGACAGCTTGGCTTAAACCTTGTATAAGGCCCA